TCTAATTATCAAGTTACCCTCAAGCCAATGTAATTATGACATGTGTATATTTAAAGGAGTGTAGCGACAACGTGTCACCCTATTCAGTGCTGGATATTCAATTTATAGTAAAGATAACATTAAAACAAGAAATGGTAAATACAAAAATTAATTTAAGATTTTCAAGCGGGGGGGGGGGGGGGGGGGGGGGGGGGGTTCCGAACCCCCCCCGCCAAACCCCCCTAAATAATAGTATAAATCGCACCAATAAATGGAACTTAATTGTGTCATATTTACCTCCAAACGATTAACCTACATGGCCCGAGAACACAATTATTTCGTAGTGCATTTCTTTTAGACAATAAATTCCAATTAAAAAATCGCACCTGCTCTATCTCAAAAAGATTTTTACAGTGTAGTGTACTACTAGTGGGACAAATAATATCAAAATTATAGAAACTTCTACCAGCTCTAACTCAAAATATTGACAATTCTGTGTTAAGGGGGTCTTAAGTTCAGTTTGACAGCTTCAGACGTAATAAAATTTGACCTTTTTTTAACTGGACCAAATCACTACTTAACATAAAGATTCAGCACCTAAATTTTTTTAACATGTAATTTCATCCCCCTACTTAATATTTCATGCATTAAATATCAAGAAATAAATCGGGAAAGTGTATTAAATAAAAAATGCAAGTTATACAGAGTGGCGGATCCAGAAATTTTCATAAGTGGGGGCCTACTGACTGCCTAAGAGGGTCATGCTTCAGTTATTCCCTATATAATCAACCAAATTTTTCCCAGAAAAGGGGGGCCCGGCCCCCCTGGGTCCTCCCCCTAAATCCGCCTATGATACACTGTTCACACTAGGGACTATATTCGTAGACAATGAAAACCAAAGGACGATAACTGTGTCCCTGTACCACATGTAACATTAGAATACTCACTTGAAAGGATGACTGATTTTTATTTTTTAAAGATAAGAGTCTGATATAGGGCCTGAAAGCTGTCGTGGTTGTGAAGATTATAAATTCCGCCAGGCTTTTATAGGGAAAAATGGAGAAATTATAAATGGAAATATAATGCACGCTGTTTAATCATGCTTTTCAAGGCTATCTACCGATGACTAGTACACAATCATTTTGAATGGTGAATAAGATCATATAGTTTTAGATGAATTAAGCACTCAGAAACTAGCTCGTAAAAAGGAGGAGGAAATCCAGTTTTTCAGTAAATATCAAAGTAAAAGTATATAAGTCTATAACATTTGCGCAATTGTATACTTGTTTTATTGACGCAAATGAATGCTGCAGTTTTCAAAATATAGTGACGCAAAAGAAGAATTGGCGTAATTAAGTTGTGGCAAAAATTGATTCTTTTTCTGTGCAAATGGATATCGGCCTTTAAAACACCGTTTGTACACTAGCAAACGTGTATTTATCTTTTACGCTGTCTAGCATGGGATTAAAAGTTTTGGCAATTTGTGTAGGATTTTAATTTTAGAAAGTAACGAACAAGAAAGAAGATCGTCAAAAACCTGAAGTATATCGGAAAATGAGCTATGCACGATCAAAGAAAATAGTCTGGTGCGTCGATATGAAATTTTACAGAGGCATGCATTATTTGTAAAATTTAATTAGTCTATTAATAACAACCATTTGTAGAACTGATTCTTTTGATCCTTCAAATATGTGTAAAATATTCTTTGATAGTTTCTTTCATATATACAATTGCAGTATGCTTATAAATACTGTAGATTTGTATTTGATCATTGATTGCATGCATAATGTCCAGTGACAAATATTTCATGAGTTCGTACAAAGAACAAATCAAAAACTTTTAAAATACATTTGATTGGTTATTTAAGGTGATTCGATCTTGATGATATGCATGAAAGTTTGTGAAGCTTACCTCTGAAATAAAGAAATCTAAAAAGAAAGGAAGAGTTATTTTTTTCTTCTTCTGTATTTTACTCATACATGAACTTAAGCACTTTTTACAGTCAAAATAATAGTTTTAACATCGACAGCAGCAATTGCAAGCGACGCTGGTTCCATATAAGTTTTCACGAATTTTTATAAATCCCTGACCATCTTCGGTTTATATCAGACTCTGATATTGAGGGGAACATATACTACCATGAATGTCTTGTCTTTTTTAATACATTTAGATATAAAACGTGTATCTCATATAAAGCTTCATTTATAGAACATTATTTATAATATTGTGTCAAGGAAATATTTGGATCAAAGAAATATTTGGAGGAGGAGGAAGAGGAGAGAGAGAGGGAGAGACTAATATTTTTCGCGGTATTTGGTCTCGTGTTACTCATGTCAAAATGTGATGGAAGGAAATGTTTCCCCTTCGTTTTATATAGCAGGGTATTCCATAGTGTAATTATATTAGTTACAGTTTTTTTTTCTATCGGTAAGAAATGGTATAAAGTTCGAAATCTAATTATCTACATTAAGTTATAGTACATTTAAAGTAAGTTTATTGCATTGCTAAACGCTTCTCAATCAAGATAAGAAGTTTACAACCAATACTATTTTTTGCGACTGAATAAAATTTATTTAGAATGGATAGTTCACGTTCCATTGAACTAAGGGTATTGTTTAGGTTTTTTTTTTAAATTTTATAATGATCGAATTTGAAATGTTATTAAAACAATGATTCAAAATTACAAAAAGACATAAAAAATTACGCAATTAGTATAAAATAAAATTTATAATAATTAAGATAACTTATTTGCTTTAATTATTTAATTAACAAGTGAAATGTTATCAATCCAATCTTTCCAATCTAATATAGTCCAAAGGGTGACAGGTGTATAGAAATATGGTCACTACAGGTCTTCTTCCGGCTGGCAGTAAAGAACAACCATGGCAAAGAGGTGCATCCATTTGGTTGTTCGGGATATACAAGTACGCAACCAACTATAAATCAATCCAATCTAATAATTGTTTTTTTTTTATCCCGCATTTTTTTTTTATAATAAATTAAAAAATAAAATGATTGAAATAATTTTCTGAAATAAAAACCTAATATATATATCATACGCTTTACAAAACGATATGCCACACGATAGATGAAACGTTAAACGATATCATATACCATATACGATAAACGAACGCTAAACCATACCATGTACCATACGACAAATCAAACGCTTTACGATACCATGATGCAAACGATATACTGAACACTAAACGATGACATTTACCATACGATACATGAACGATGAACGAACGCTGACCGAACGTTGTACGTACGCTATACGAATGATGTACGAACGATGACCGAACTCTATACGAACGATTCCCGCACGCTGTACGTACGATTCCCGAACGAAAAAAGTGTTAACTTTTACGTTACAGGGACTGTATGTGATACTCGTAGAATGTAAAACCTTGATCTTAAAGACTTTTAACATAGAATTCGATCATAACCAGTTTAAGCAGACATTTCACTGTGTGCCATTTTTTATATGTTAAATGAAAAAAAAGGGTTGGATATTTCTCTCTGTATTAAGTTCCATTTTCCCATGGAATTAGAGGAAAGGAGTAAATACTTTGTATGTGGGAAAAGAGAGATAATATCATATTTTTTTTCATTTCCTTCCCAAGTAGAAAACACTTGTTAATACAAGTAGTAGAAAATGATATTGATATATTGAAAGTATATTTCCTTATTTATGATAAAAATAATTCATATATTCATAAATAATTTTATTAATTGGTGATTTAAAAAAAAAAAAATTATTTAAATTTTTTCATGTGATTTAACATGTCACAATTATTTTAACAGCTCTTGAAACTATTCTTCTCTCATGTTTGATAAAATTATTGTTGCAAAGAGATTATTGTACTAATAGATTAAAAAAAAAAAAACTCAACAGACACAATCAGAAGTATAAATAAAAAGTCTGAAGACATAAATACATATGTTACTTTTGTGAGTAAAACATTGGGTTCAGAAGTGGAATTTTGAAAAATGGGGTCCCAGAGTAGACAATGTTAGGAGAAGAACATGAAAAAGTCTCTGTATTAACAATATATTCTGTTACCTATTCTAACATCAGACTCAGACTTCTTTTAAACTGAGTTTTACTCTGCGTATTGCTCTGTGTTTGTTTATTTTACACTGGCTAGAGGTATAGGGGAGGGTTCAGATCTCACAAAACATGTTAACCCAGTGCCACATTTTTGGGCCTGTCCTAAGACAGGAACCTCTGGCCATTGTTGGTCTTGTGTGTTTTTTAAATTTCTGATCATTTATATGTTTCGGAGTTTAGTGTGACGTCCATTTTCTCTGAACTAGTAGTACATTTTTGTTTAGGGGCCAGCTGAAGCCCGCCTCCGGGTGTAGGATTTTCTCGCTGTGTTGAAGACCCATTGGTGGCCTTGGGCTGTTTTCTGCTATTTGGTCAGGTTGTTGCCTCTTTGACACATTCCCTGTTTCCATTTCTCAATTCTATGTAGCTCCATAAAGGGTGGCCAAGTATCAGGATAATATCAAGACCGAAATGAAAACTAAAGCAATGTGCAATAATCTTTATTTGTGGTATGAATGTAATTGTGCTGAGATAATATTAGGAAAAAAAATATAGAAAATAATACAAATCATTTTTAGTTCGTCTTATTTGAGATGTAGGCAACTATAGGCAACTGTACGGCCTCCAAACAATAAGAAAAACCCATATTGTATGTTTGGCTAGAAAAGACCCTGACATGAAAAATGTGAAACAATTCAATTGAGAAAACTAATGGTTTAATTTATAACAAAACAATTTAAGAAAAACAAATATGACAAACATCAACCAACGACAACCACTTAATTACTGGCTTCTGACATTGGACAGGCACATAAAGAATGTGGCAGGTTAAACATGTTTGAAGGTGCCAGGAATTGAGACTACTAACATACTATGTGTTAAATTAAAAGAATTTCTAGAAGGTAGACTTTTACTAATTATAAATGTAGTTATGAACCCTAAATTATTTTGCAAATTTTTATTTCAGAAATTAGAAGATAGAATACATGATTTATCAAGCATATCACTACTAGAAAACTACCTCTATGTGACAACTCTTGATGAGCCAAAACGACTTGTTAAAATTCATCGCTATGACTACTCTGTTGCTGCTATGGAGATAAAAAATGACCTTGTGCAACCACATCAAGTTCATGTATATCATAGACAAAGGCAACCTGATCTACCAAGTAAGACATAATTATACATAAATTCACTGTTTTAGAATGTGATGCATTATGGGTAAATTTTTAAAAACATACACCAAATAGTTGTGATTGGTTAGCAATCTCCTTAACAACAGATATTGACCAATGGCTAAGAAAATCCTTTCATTTAAGTGTACAACCAATGTTTTCAAAACTACCCATATTCCTTTAAGATTCTGAAATGGCTAATGTCTTTAGTGTGCCATTACAAGAGATAATGTAGATAATAATAAATTTTAGATTAAACGAACATCCTTAATTTTGAATTTTGAATAATTAAAAATTAATGATAAATTTTGAATTTTGAATAATTAAAAATTAATGATAAATTTTGAATTTTGAATAATTAAAAATTAATGATAAATTTTGAATTAAACGAACATTCATAATTTTTAAAGCACCAACGGTAAGTTGTTCAGCATATTTATTATAAACTGAAGAGGTCATCTGGGAAAATTAATTGGGTGTCTGGATGGGGTTTACAGAATAGAGAATTATGGGCAAAAATGGCAGAATAAATGGCAAAAAAATTATAAAGAATAGAGAAAAATAGTGGGGTTCCAAATTATATAGACTATATTTTGTGTGTTTTTTTTGCTGTGCATGTATTGATTTTTTTGTCATGAGTGGATACTCCATATCTTTTCTTTTTGTATTAGAGAATAATGGGTAAAATAAATGAAGAATAGAAAAAATGGTATTCAAAAATAAAGAATAAAAAAATAAACACCCCCATCCAGACCCTCTTTAATTGTGTAATATAACACAGAAGTAAAGCATTTTGCACAGCAGTTAATTAAAACACAAAATTGAAACATTGCAGGTAAGATATCAGAAGCAAATTAAAAAAAAAATTTTGGTGCAAAATTTCCTGGTACATGATGATAAAAATCAAAAGGAATCTTTTCTCATTTAAATTATTCAGTTTTGTATTGTTCTGTTTTTCAGAGGGAACAACTAATCCATGTTTAAGCACTAAATGTACCCATCTGTGTGTTTTGGATTGGAACAACGACACTGTGTCAGCTAAATGTTTATGTGAAGCAGGTTACAAAATGAATGCCAAAGGAAACTGCACATGTAAGTGTACCATGTGAAGCTAGCCATTTTATACCCCCGCTTTAAAAAAGTGGGGGTATACTGTTTTACCTCTGTCTGTCCGTCAGTCCATCTGTCAGTCCGTCCCTCCCATGAATATTTTTCGTCGCATCTTTCTCAGGAACTACATTAAAGATACAAGGCTTATAAATTGGTATGCCCCTCTCATATGGTTACCTGATTAAGCTTTCATTGTTTTCTTTTCTGAAAATAATAAGCATTTCTTTAATGGTGCTTGGTTGATAAAATTTTGGTCTAAATGGTGCTTCGTTAATAAAGTTTTGGTCTAAATGGTACATAGTTAATAAAATTTTGGTCTAAATGGTACATGGTTGATAAAGTTTTGGTCTAATTGGAGCTTGGTTAATAAAGTTTTGGTCTAAATGATGCTTCGTTATTAAAGTTTTGGTCTAAATGGTGCTTGGTTGATAAAATTTTGGTCTAAATGGTGCTTCGTTAATTAAGTTTTGGTCTAAATGGTACATATTTAATTAAGTTTTGGTCTAAATGGTACATGGTTAATAAAGTTTTGGTCTAATTGGAGCTTGGTTAATAAAGTTTTGGTCTAAATGGTACATGGTTAATAAAGTTTTAGTCTAAATGGTACATGGTTAATAAAGTTTTAGTCTAAATAGTACATGGTTAATAAGTTTTAGTCTAAATGGTACATGGTTATTAAAGTTTTAGTCTAAATGGTACATGGTTAATAAAGTTTTAGTCTAAATGGTACATGGTTAATAAAGTTTTAATCTAAATGGTACATGGTTATTAAAGTTTTAGTCTAAATGGTACATGGTTAATAAAGTTTTAGTCGAAATGGTGCTTGGTTAATGAAGTTTTGGTCTAAATGGTACATAGTTAATAAAGTTTTAGTCTAAATGGTACATGGTTAATAAAGTTTTAGTCTAAATGGTGCTTGGGTAATGAAGTTTTGGTCTAAATGGTACATGGTTTATAAAGTTTTGGTCTAAATGGTACATAGTTAATAAAGTTTTAGTCTAAATGATACACGGTTAATAAAGTTGATTTATCTGGCTTAGTGCCAATAGATTATTTTCATATTACTAACTTTTGACTCCAGAGTTTGTATATTTTCGACAGGTTACCTAACCTGTGGTAGGACATCCTGGTACTCAGTCAAGTAAGAGCAACTTAAAAGAAGTAAAAACAAGCTTACAATTTGGGGGGAAAATTAATTGTTTTATGTTTTCTAGACACAACAAAATCATTAGAAAACAGCAAACTTTCCCCTTAAATTGCACCTATTATATGATTGATTTTTCCTTCTTTTACTCTGGAGTCAAAAGTCAGTAATATGAAAATAGTCTATTGGCTTGTCTGAATGAAGGACACTATTGTGATAAAGGGAAAAAAATCAGTATTGATACCTCAGATTGGATTTTAGGTTTCTGATTGTTGAAAAACCAGAGCTAGCGAAATTAATTTTGACTGAAATAGATTTACTTGTGTATTTCAGATGACAAAGACTGTAAAGGAAAAAATGATCCAAGCTGTATTGTTTGTAAGTTTTCTTTCTCATTTACTACATTTCTCCCCAAAAAGTGTACTTTGCTTGATACAATATATAAAAACACACTTTTTATGGAATATATGATGCATATAAAATTACACATAATACATAAAAAGAAGAAGAGGAAAACTTTCAAAATAGAAACAGCTTTAAATTATTTATTAGATTAAATTTAAATTGATCAGCAGGTAGCATTTGCAATGATTTTTGAGCAGAAATTTCCTTTTTAAAAATCTTTGGTACAATTCTTTTTCATCACTGCAATAATCATTTTGATTCAGCAGTAAACTATGTATTAATAATTGCTCAAGGTGAAGTTTTGTTAGAGTTAGGATTGATCATTGATGACATTCTTTGTTTTATTTAGCTAATTGAGGGTTGCTTTGACTCTGCACAATAATCCTTAAGGATCTAGTAAGAAATAAAAAATATTTGACAGTGATGAACAAGATAAGAACTGAAATGACTGAAATAAATATTTAAAACTTGACCATCCAGAAATATGAAGTTTGTTTTTGTAATTTCATAATCAAAATTTAGATTGGCAGTGAGGAGTTTTTTTTTACATTGTAGCTTGATCCTTATGTGCAGTAACTATATTTTTCACTTGATAGATTTAAGGATTTTCACTACTCTGTTTCAAAATGACAAGCTTTTTAAAAAACTGTTATGAATTAATAGTATATATATATATAACAGAACTAAAAAAGTAGGAAAAATGCAAGGTCCGTGTCCTTGATTTTGAAATAATTTTTGGGGATTTGACACTCTCTAGATTTTTCATATATTTAACAGTGACACCTTTTTCTTTCAAAAACTTTGAAAAAATAACAAGGATTTCAAAAAAGGCCTTTTAAATTTTATAGAATACAATTATGAAAAGAAAAGTAGGGATTATCGGGGCCAAATTTTTAATGGCACCACATGGATAAACCAGATGATTCCAAATATCTGACAAAATTAAAAACAAGATAAACTTGTATGCTTTATTCCAGCTGAGAATTGTTCTGAGGAACAAGTTCTAGGTCCAGGAGGTAGATGTAACTTAATCTGTAGTGAAATAATTTCTTGTATGCTTTATTCCAGCTGAGAATTGTTCTGAGGAACAAGATCGATGTCCAGGAGGTAGATGTAACTTAATCTTTAGTGAAATAATTTCTTGTATGCTTTATTCCAGCTGAGAATTGTTCTGAGGAACAAGTACGATGTCCAGGAGGGAGATGTATACCTAAGAGTTGGTGGTGTGATGGACAGGGGGACTGTGACGGGGATGGAGACGAGGCATATTGTGGTATGTGGGAACATTTCTATTATACAGGGGCCTTAGATTGTCGCAGTATTATCTTTTTATTAATCATCTCTCAAAAAGGAGATTTTTCCTATTCAATATTTCATAGTTTAAGGACTAGGGGTAATTTTTGTCTCTCCTAGGATGAAAGTTGCAGAATGTGAGACATAAGGATGCTTGTCTGGAATCCATTCTTGAATCAATCATTTACATGGCTAATGTTAATTTTTATACGACCGCAAAAAAATTTTTGTGGTCGTATATTGGTATGACGTTGGCGTCGTCGTCGTCGTCGTCGTCGTCGTCGTCGTCCGGCGTCGTCTTCCGAATACACATTAGTTTTCGCACTCTAACTTTAGTTTAAGTGAATGGATCTCAATGAAATTTTACCATAAGGTTCAATACCACAAAAGGAAGGTGGGGATTGATTTTGGGGGTTATGGTACTAACAGTTAAGGAATTAGGGGCCAAAAGGGGCCAAAAATAAGCATTTTTGTAACTTCCAGACATAACTTGTGTGTAAGTGTATGGATCTCTCTGACATTGTACCACAAGGTTCCATATCACAAAGGGAATGCTGGGATTGATTTTGGGGGTAATTGCCTCCAAATTTTAGGAATTAGGGGCCAAAAAGGGGCAAAAAACAAGCATTTTTCTAGTTTCATGACAATAACTTGTTTGTAAGTGTATGGATCTTTATGAAATTGTACTACAAGGTTCCATATCACAAAGGGAATACTGGGATTGATTTTTGGGGTAATTTCCTCCAAATTTTAGGAATTAGGGGCCAAAAAGGGGCAAAAAACAAGCATTTTTCTAGTTTCATGACAATAACTTGTTTGTAAGTGTATGGATCTTTATGAAATTGTACTACAAGGTTCCATATCACAAAGGGAAGGCTGGGATTGATTTTGGGGGTTTTCCCTCAAAATTTTAGTAATTAGGGGCCATAAAAGGGCAAAAAAAACATGCATTTTTCTAGTTTCAGGACAATAACTTGTGTGTAAGTGTATGGATCTTTATGAAATTGTACTGCAAGGTTCCATATCACAAAGGGAAAGCTGGAATTGAGTTTGGGGGTAATTGCCCTAAACGTTTAAGAATTTGGGGCCAAAAAACAAGCATTTTTCTAGTTTCCAGACAATAACTTGTGTTCAAGTGTATGAATCTCTCTGAAATTGTACTGCAAGGTACCATACCACAAAGGGAAAGCTGGGATTGAGTTTGGGGGTGATGAATCATAAGGGGGTTCAAAAAATTGGGGGGGGGGGTTTTCCTTTTTTTTTTTAACATTTTCCATTTTAAATTGGTTATTTCTGATTTATATATAAAAGCAAATAATAATGATATGGTTTGAATAGGCATACATGTGAACCTCCCGACGGGAGTACAATAATCCCGTTTTCAGGGGTCTCCTCCCGACCTCCCGTTGAAGAGGAAAAAATCCCGTGTATGAAATTTTTCATGAATGAAAAATTTCTGCCCAACATATCATCTCAGGCATCTGGTGTAACTGACATTACCTGAAGTTATATTTTACCTGTGAATCAATTAACATGCATAATTATATGGCTTCACTTGTCAGCTTGGGTGTCAAACATACTGGTAATCAACGATTTTTACCTCAGGCTAACTGCCGTTGTGTAACAAAAACTGTGTATTTATTGGGTTACTTCCCTTGATTTATCCTGTTTTAAGTTACTTTCCTTTTAATAATGAAAATTTATAAAAGAATATAAATAAAATATAAATTGAACAAATAATCATAAAAGGATGGTTATTAAATGATTTTAAATGTCTTAGGACAAATAAAAAAATAATAATTTGAAAATTATTTGAGGATTCTATACTTCCTTTCAAGGCTTAAATTGAAATTTATATAGTAACTATGACCCTCATTTTACAGATAGAATGATTTTCTGAGTTTGCAAATAAAAACTATTTGCAAGAGAAAAAAAAATAAATAAAAACTATTTGCAGATAGCTAAACAAATGTTCTGGTTGCAATGATTGTTTTATAGAATATGAAGTAAAAAATTTAAAGAACATACTGGAAAAAAACAATGTTAGATTGAACATGTAGAATATAAAGATGGAGAAACTTTATAAGTACAAGGGTACTATAAACATAATAAATTGGATGGAAAGTTGAAGAAAACACACTTTAAAAGACCATTTTTACAGCACACAGTTACATTTACAACAAAAGTAATGTCGATTAAAAACCTCCTGATCTGAGTCCTAATCTCCTGACCAAAATGTCCCAATCTCCTGATCTGAGTTTCACAGTCCATCACATGTATGAATAGGTAAATTGAAAATTTTTAAGTTCTTAGACCACTTTCATTCTGTGTCAGAAACCTATGCTGTGTCAAATATTTAATTACAATCCAAATTCAGTGCTGTATCAAGCTTGAATGTTGTGTCCATACTTGCCCCAACTGTTCAGGGTTCGACCTCTGCGGTCGTATCAAGCTGCGCCCCAGCGGAGCATTTTATTTGTGATAGTTGTAGAAATATCATGAGAAAGTTTATCTGCTCTTTGAAATTGATTTTGATCTTTCTTTGCACATGTATTGATAATAATTTTGTTGTAGACAATACAATGTGTAACATTACACAATATACATGTGGTGATGGAAAATGTATAAATATTATTTTATTGTAGACAATACGATGTGTAGCGTTACACAATATACATGTGATGATGGACAATGTATTGACTTGGAATTTAAATGCAATGGTATGGAGGAATGTAAGGATCACTCAGACGAGGTATATTTAAAGTTTTATCCTTTTAAATGTAATGTTTGATTACTTAGAGGAATTATGTTTAAGTTATCTCCCTTTGTTAATTAGTTGTGTTTAAGTTTTTGCATTGAAGTTTGCAACTTTATTTGGTTTTGGCTGTATTGGTTGGCCCATTTTACTATGATGCTTACAAAAGTTTTACATATTTTGCTTTCCAAACTCGTTTATTTTATTATTGCAACACCTATTCCATCACAATTTTTGCAATAGTAAAATTATTGAAAAAAGTTTTGGATTTACAGTCTTTCAATTATTTTTTGTTCAAGATTTTGTTAGAGTTTAAAAATGTAAATGTTTACTCCACCAGCTGAAAGATTTATTCCTGCTAGATGGTTGGATGCATGGATTGATCATGTTGATGTTGAAACATTCAATATGGCAAATACTGGGGATTCATAATTATTCGTTGGATACCAATTTTCGTGGGTTTTGTGGGTACAAGAGAACCACGAATTCATCTGCTCAACGAATTACCAATTTTCTATAGGCTTTGTATACAGAGATTACCAAAACCATGAAATCAAATACCCACGAAAATGCAAGTTTTCCTCAATTAACTAAAATTGATACCCACGAAAAATAAAGAATCTACAGTACCAGTTGCATATCAGAACGAGAACGTGTTGACGTGATATGAATAGAAATCCTGCTTTGTAGTAGATCAACATACTGAATTAAAATTTTAACATGCTCTTTCTGTTCAACTGGTCTAGGGATCAAAGCTAGAACCTCCTACACTCGAAGATGAGCATGTTACTAAAGTGGATATACTCCTACAAGCAGCCACTCTTTGGCAAAATAAGAGTTACAGTAAAGCATACAATTTTGTTTTTAAATATTGAAAATAAGATGTATTTAAAAAAATAAAAATTATGTATAAATAAATAAAAAAATGTTTTGAATATACTATAATGAATGAAATAATGTTATGATTTATAAAAAAAACTAAAAACTGTCTATAGTTGTGTACAGTATGCATCCCCTCTCCAATTATATGTCTTGGGTAAACATCTATTTCTTTTATAGCACAAACACCTGTGGAAAAATATACAAATATATTTAATTTCAGTGGGGATGTCCAAGTTTTTGTGATGAAGATACCGAGTTCCAGTGTTTAAATGATACAAAGTGTTTACCGATAATCTTCAGATGTGACGGGGAAGAAGATTGTGCAAATGGATCTGATGAAAAAAACTGTAGAGGTACTGTATATTGGGTTATTCCATTTAATATCTGAAAAGGGGAATGGATGGTTACCTCATCAAAGACCCTCTAAAAAAATTTTTGAGGCAGATGTTTGGTTTTAAACCCTTCAGATGCCAGATCTTGTCACCAACCCCTAATTATTCCATATTTAGACAAGGAAAGACCCCTTAGAAACAAAAAAATGGGTATCCCTCAGATATATTATGAGCCAATGGGTATCCCTAAGAAATTACTTTTGATACCCTCAGAAAAAACCATCCACCTCCTTTTGTTAAATTGGATAGTCCATTTGTGTTAAGTTTTTTTTCACAATAAGGGACTTAGAACAGGCAGTTAAATCCTGGCATTCATTATTTTCGTTTCATAGCCTTGATCAATTCATTAACAGACTAGTTGGATACCAGTTTTAGTTGATTTTGTTGGAACTGTTGAACCACAAATTTTAAAGAAGTTCAAATTTTCTGTTGGCTTGTATGCACACTTTTGTAAAACCACAACATCAAATATCTGGAAAAAATACAATTTTCCTTAAGCCACGAAAATTGGAGCAACAAAAATAAATGAATCCACAGTATTGCAAAACTACAAAAAACTGCCAGTATTACCCCATTTAAAGATGTTGTCTTTAATGATGAGAGAATAGGCCTTACCCCCCAGAAAAATATTTTGCTACAAGATGTCTTTATAACATACATAATCTATAACACAGGTGTTACTGAATGTAAGATATTTGTTGGATTCAGCTTTTGCTCATACTTAATTTTGAAGCGTATTGTGTATGATGGCCATTTTAGGGCAAATATTCCAATTGCAAAGTTTATAACAATTAAACATGACAGTTACATAACAACTGAAATTTTATGACTCTTATGGTCAGAATATATTTTTACTTTTCTTATTTCAATAAAACTATCATAATTATACCCCCGCTTTAAAAAAGTGGGGTATACTGTTTTACCTCTGTCTGTCCGTCCATCCGTCAGTCTGTCAGTCCATCCATCCGTCCGTCCGTCCGTCCCATGAATATTTTTCGTCGCATCTTTCTGAGGAACTACAATACAAGGATTTCTGAAATTTGGTTTCAGGGTTTATATAAGTCAGCTATCCCCTGTGATGCGTTTTCAGATTCATCACTCAACAACAAATGCATATTTGGGCTGAGAGTATCATCAGTGAGCAGTAGCTCGCAGTTTCACTTGTTTTGAAATGATTTAAGAATTTCATTATCTTTTGCAGTTTTATGGGACAAATTTATAGCTCTTATCATACCACCTACTTTATTATTTGTTTAATATTAGGTTATATGTTTTCGCAGATCTTCCCATTCCAGTGGGCACATGTAATGATGAAAACGAATTTAGATGTTCTGATGGGATGTGTATACCAGAGAAGTATAAGTGTGATGGAGACCAAGATTGTGCTGATGATTCTGATGAGCTAAACTGTCGTGGTAAGTCATTCTGATCGGTTGAGATTTTGGATCAAGGGTCAGGCTGTCATACTAAGTCTTTCTGATTGGTTGAGATTTTGGATCAAGGGTCAGACTGTCATTGCAAGTCTTTCTGATTGGTTGATATTTTGGGTCAAATGTCTGTACGCTTGATCAGGAATTAACCAATTTAGGACAGAAGAAACTTGTTTAAGTTAGGAATCTTGGTGAGATATGAAAATTTTTCTCTCAATTGATATTTAGGTCAACTTGGTAGGTAAGAGAAAGTTCCTTAAGAATTTCAGATTTGAGAGGGTCTGGATTGGGTATACATAATAGAAAAAATAAGGCAAAAGGTGCAGAAAAAATTACAGAATAGAGAAAAATAGGCCAAAAAATAAAGGAAAGAGATTAATGGGATGTTAAAATATAAGGAATATAGAATAATCAGCAAAATGAATACATCAAAGCGAAAAATGGCCTAAAAAATTAAAGAATAAAGAAGTAAAGAACCCTCCCATCCAGACCCTCAATTTTAGCTCACCTGGCCTAAAAGGCCAAGTGAGCTTTTCTCATCACTTGGCGTCCATCGTTGTCGTCTGTCGTCGTCGTCGTTAACTTTTACAAAAATCTTCTCCTCTGAAACTACTGGGCCAAATTTTACCAAACTTGGCCACAATCATCACTAGGGTATCTAGTTTAAAAAATGTGTCCGATGACCTCGCTTGCCAACCAAGATGGCGGACATGGCTTAAAATAGCACATAGGGGTAAAATGCAAGTTTTGTCTATTATTTTGAAAACCGTTATAAATAGAGAAAATCTGAATGAGCAAAAATGTTCAGAATGTTGAGCTCTACCAATTGTCTATATATGTCAAAACTGTCAGACGACTTCTAATAGGAGTTATTTCCCTTAAATGACAAATTTTACCTTTTTTTAAAATTTTTGGCTATTATCTTGAAAACTATAATAGATAGAGAGAAACTTTAAATTGCAAAAATGATCATCAAGACAAGTTCTACAAATAATTCTGCATTGTCGAAATCGTCAGTCAACTCCTTATTAGAGTTATTGCCCTTTGATGATGATTTTTACCAATTTTTTGCGTTTTTGCCTTATATCTTAAAAATTATAATAGATAGATAGAAACTTAAATTAGCAAAAATGATCAGAAAGACAAGATCTACTAAAGACAATATGGAGGAAATCGTCCGACGGCTCTCTATTGTAGTTATTGCCCTTTAATGACGATTTTTACCACTTTTTTTGCGTTTTGCCTTACATGATAAAATTTATAATAGATAAATAGACAGTTTAAATCACAAAAATGATCAGCAAGGCAAGATCTACTAACAAGTCAAATTTTGCCGATATAGTTAGTAGACTGTCATTCTTTAAAGGAGTGATTGCCCTTAAAATGAGGATTTTTTTTACACTCTTTTGTGTTTTGAGCAAAAACTAAAGAATATAGAGAGAAACTAAACAGGCTAAATGATCAGCAATACAAGATCATCAAAACAGAGATTTTTATCATGAATTCTATTCTCGTCTACAATGTTGGAGAGAATCCTTTGTTGAAAATGCACATAGACCAAGGTGAGCGACACAGCCTTTTTAGAGCCTCTAGTTAAAAATAAGTATAATGTGATCCTGATTTGCTTGCAGGAACCTGACAATGCTCTGTTTTACTTTCTGTCATGAAGTCTTTTTTGGGATCCTCAGGTTTGTCCTCATAGTACACACACACACACCTTTAAAAATATTGAGAATTAAATTTCATTATCAAAACAGAATGTTGGAAAAGGGGGGGGGGGGGGGGTGTTAGGGGGGTGGGGGTTGCTCTAGGCAATATTACCAAAATGAAAAAGAACTGAAAAAAATTATGTTCCCAAGGATGAAAAAGAATATTCTACCACTCCAAATCTTTTAAAAGGATGAAAAAGAATATTCTACCACTCCAAATAACCTTTTAACAGTTGTTATGTCAGAAAAAATGATCTTCCGATTGGTGCTTTTCTCTGCAAAAAAAATTCACAAAGCAAATATTTTTACATCACAATGTCCTATTAGGCCTTTCATCTAAATGACCTCAGGTAAACTGGGGCATTTCATTCATAAAATTGAAATTGGAATGTCGTGTATTCATCAAACAGTAGAGTCTCCATTATTTGTGGGTTACTTATATTTCCTGTATTTTGTGGGTAAAGGAGAAGCACAATATTTAGCCTGTCAACACTAGGGTGGTGAGTTCCATTCCCGCATGTGGCAGGTGGCTTGAATCCCATCTTAATTGACTAGTTTTCCTACCAAAAGTTGGTGGTTCTCACCGGGCACTCCTGCTTCCTCCACCCTAAAAACTGACCGCCTTGGAACAGCACAATAAAGGTGAAAGTGGTGTTAAACACCAATCAATAAATCAATCATCAATGGTGGCTAATGGGAGTTGTTGATAGTATAATGTACATAGAAATACTTCTGAAGACTTTAAACTTTTATACACACAAAAAAACAATAAGCTAATTTATCTTCATTTCTTCGCCCATATCAGCTTAGTTGTTTTGTAATTCTCTTATTAAGGCTTTCAGACATTATCAGTGATGTCACAATGTCTGAGGAGAAGTTATGAGCAACGTCAACAATGTGTGAGGAGACGTTATCAGGCTTACTTTTTTTCACTAGAAAAACTGTCTAAGGGAGGGGAGAAACACCAGAAAAAGTACAATAAACAGATTTCTCTAATTGTGTGGCAATTTTACCCTTTCCGGACCCATTGTATAAAAAAATTTAATCAACGTGTGGTTGCCTATGATCTCAGAAAATGATTGGATGAGTTTAAGGGTCATAACCTTTATCAGCTCACAGCATGAATCAAAATATGCTAACAGGTGTTAATGAAATTGACAACTGTGTGGAATGTGGAAGGCACTCGAAGGGGATTTTCGTTTATCAAAAATGAAAATTTATTTGATAATCATTAGAGAAACAGATTCATACATAGTTACTCTTGGATAATCAGATTTATCCAATCCCAATAGTTAAATTATAAATTTTAACTGTCTTGATTGAATAATTCCGATAATCCACTGATACCAATGTAAGACTCTATATTAACCAGTTTTCTATGTATCGATATTGTAAAATATCAGCTGCTCTATATAGTGTGAATCTTTTATGCTCGTTCGCTGCCTTTACTTGCCAGAAAGGTTCACTTTGTGGCTTGTGGGTAATAATTTACTATATTAGTGTGAAGAAACCTTTTATTCAATACTTCTAGTAATTCTGACTTGAAAAAAAAAACTTGAATGGAATTCTATGCGACTGTTATACAAGTGAGAGGTTTAGCTAGCTATAAAACCAGGTTTAATCCACCATTTTTAGTCCCCTACCGACAAAGTCGAAGGGGACTTTAGGTTTGCACTCCGTCCATCTGTCCATCCGTCAGTCCGGCAAATCAGTTTTCCACACTTTATTTCTTCATGCTTGAAGATATTGATTTGATATCTAGTGTATTGTTTTATCATGACAAGTTACAGATCAAGTTCGAATTTTGTTCCGGTCTGATAATTTTGTGCAGAGTTATAGTCCTTTGACTTAGAAAATTCACTAAAATAATCAGTTTTCAGCACTTTTATTTGTCATTCTTGAAGATATTGATTTGATAATTGGTATATAGTTTTATCATGACTATGTATAGCCATGCAATACTCACAGAATGCTTGTTTTCATAAGGAAATGCCTGTACCAAGTCAAGATTATGACAGTTGTTTTTCTACATAAGGAAATGTTTGTACCAAGTCAGGAATATGACAGTTGTTTTTCTACATAAGGAAATGCCTGTACCAAGTCAGGAATATGATTTTTGTCGAGCCTTCGACTTTTGTCGAAAAAGCGAGACATAGCGATCCTTCATTCCATCGTCTGCGTTGTCGTTGTCGTCGCCGTTGTTGTTGACGGCAGCGGCGTCCACAAATATTCACTCTGTGGTTAAAGTTTTTGAAATTTTAATAACTTTCTTAAACTATCCTGAATTTCTACCAAACTTGGACAGAAGCTTGTTTATGATCATAAGATAATATTCAAAAGTAAATTTTGTAAAAAAAAAATTCCATTTTTTCCGTATTTTACTTATAAATGGACTTAGTTTTTCTGCCAGTTAACATAACATTCACTCTGTGGTTAAAGTTTTTAAAATTTTAACAACTTTCTTAAACTATCCTGGATTTGTACCAAACTTGGACAGTAGCTTGTTTATGATTAAAAGCTAGTATCTAGAAGGAAATTTTGTTAAAAATTTTGTTCCATTTTTTCCGTATTTTACTTATAAATGGACTTATTTTTTCTTCCAGTTAACATTACATACAGTCTGCAGTTTAAGTTTTTAAAACATTTATTAGATTCATAAACTATCCTGGATTTTTACCAAACTTGGACAGAAGCTACTTACAATCAAAAGATAGTATAGAGAGGAATATTTTTATTAATTTTTTTCCTCATTTTTGTTGAGCCTGCGATTAACAACAAAAGAAGGCGAGACACTGGGTTCCGCAGAACCCTTATGAATTTTTAATTCATTTGATGGGTGTGAGCTTTTGATTTTGCCATTTTATTTAGGACTTTCTCTTTTGAATTTCCCTTGGAGTTCGGTATTTTTGTTATTTTTCTTTTTATCTTTTCAGATGTTACTGTTCAGTGTCTTGATCGTATTGAATGGAAGTGTGAAAAACACAACAAATGTATACCTATAGCTTGGAAATGTGATAAAGAGAAGGACTGTCCCGACGATTCTGATGAGAAACTTTGTGGTATGTATGACAGAAAAACAGTTGGTCACACGATCTTTAGAAATGTATACCTAGCTTGGAAATATGATAATGAGGGCAATTGTCCTGACAGTTTTGAAGAAAAACATTGTGGTATGTATAACAGAAAAATAATAGGTTACATGATCTTTAGAAATGTATACCTAGCTTGGAAATATGATAATGAGGGCAATTGTCCTGACAGTTTTGAAGAAAAACATTGTGGTATGTATAACAGAAAAAACAATAGGTCACATGATCTTTAGAAATGTATATCTATAACTTGGCATTGGAATAATTATCAATTATGGACTTATAACGAAGTCAATACGTTATATATGGATTGAGGTTCAATATATATGACCGGTCCATAAATTACGTATTGACTGAGTGAAAGTCCATAATTCATATATTACATATGTAAATAGTGTATTATGGAAATGGACTTTAATGTTTTTTCTATATATTTTACATTATATTTTGCAAGATTTTTAGTACTGACTGTAAATATATATATAAATAGAAACAAAGCGTCCATATACTTAAATACCCTTTGAATCATGTGATCATAATAACCAATGAAAAAAGAAGAATGCTACACCATATGTAGTATTGAGGGCTATTGTCCTGACAGTTCTGATGAAACACATTGTGGTATGTATTGTAGAAAAAACAATACTTCACTTGATCTCTTGAAATATATACCTAAAGCTTGGAAAATGTGATAATTAGGGTTATTGTCCTGACGGTTCTGACGAAAAACAGTGTGGTATGTATGACAGAAAAAACAATGGGTTATAGGATAAACAAAGGATAAAAAACGATTGTAAAAGGTCTTTTGAAATGTATATCAAGAGCTGAGAAACATAATTATTCTGATTGTTATAAGGCCATGGAAAAATGATTGTTAGTTTCACCTAACCCGACCAGGTCTATTTTAAACCCCTGGGTTGTTTGTTTTTTTTCTGACTTAACGAAAAAAGAAAGAAAAAACGGCTGTGTCTTGTTCCAATCCAGCAATTTTAACAAATATTTTTTATCTTTTATTATTCAATTATACTGTGATGTGTAATAATATTTTTTAATTGTAGATGTTGAATGTGATTCTCCTAACTACAGATGTCCAGACGAGTTGGTCTGTCTGACACCATTTCAACTGTGTGATGATAAAGCAGATTGTACAGACAAAAGTGATGAGGGAAACCATTGTAGTAGTAAGTTCACATCTGGTTAAAATTTAGCACTCCCACCTCAGGGGGCTCAAAGTATTTCAGATTCAGAGGTTATGGGTTAGACCATCCACTATGACAAGCAAATTTAACATCCCCGCTTTGAGGTCTCATAGTATTTCCAGTTCAGAGGTTATGGTCTAGATCCAGGAAATGGTGAAGGAGGCCAGTGTAGTAGTATGTTCACATCTGGTTAAAATTTAACACTACCACCTCTGGGGTCTCGTAGTATTTCCAGTTCAGAGGTTTTGTGTTGGAAATTTGTGTTTCTAAATTTTGGGTCCTCAATATTTTTGATTGATTTGGCTTTTGAACCTTTTTGATTTGAGTGTCACTGATGTAATAGATCTGACAAACAAACTGCAATAGAATTTTTTAATATTTTTTATGTGTCTAAGGCTTGGGGGTGTCTCACTTATAATATAATGCATGTTAGGGATGAGCTGCTGGAATATGTCACTATTTTCAGCTCCATGATGTATGATTAGGTTGAGAAAGTAGGATGAAATCAAGGTTCCTATGTCACCATGTTTACATTATTATGTCACTGTTAGAACGATTATTTGATGACGCCATTTACGCTGATTGACCTTGGGTCAACCGGTGTAACTCATTCATATAAAAACAACTCCAGATTGGTGTATATATGACAAGGTTGCTGATCAAATCATAAATATCTAAACCTAATCAGATGTTAATTATTTTCTTAGATGCAATTAAAACCACTGTCATTCATAAAATCTATCTCCATGAAATTACGTATTAATCATGATAGCTATAGATATATGTTTTGTCAAAAAATATATGATAGGATTTGTATTTTTGTTATTCATTTTTTATTATTTATAAAATTTTGGATTTACAAACTTTAAATGAATATCAATATTTTTCTTGGTTTAATTTTTAGATGCTACACTGTGTGAAAATTCCGGTTGTACAAACTGCTCTAAGACGCCATGGGGACCAATGTGTGTGTGTGAGCCAGGGTATATACTAAGCTCAGACAATAAAACTTGCAAAGGTAGATATATATTGTAACTGAGGATTTTTTTGCAGATTGATATTTTTATAACTTTTTCACATGGGTTAAAACTGCTCACCCAACAAAAAGTTTGCCCTCACATCAGTATTGTTGATGTGTACCAACTGTTAAATAGATATAATTACATTAAATGTATGTTTTGTTATAATCCATAATTTTGATTGGCTGACAGTAATCGTAAGGCCCTCCAATATCAAATTCTTTTCCTGTATAGAATGCAACATGCTATGACTACAGATGGTAATCATGACAATTTTAATACTGCATATAGAAAAACAAACAGAAAGCTTGATATAACTCTTCATTTCATGATTGAAATCTTTTTATAATTTTATAGGGTTGTAAAAGCATTGATTTTGCACACATTTTTTGTTTGAAGCGCTTCCATGCTTCATACAAAATGAGCTTCTGTCTACGCTTTTACACCCTAATAAGATTATGAAAAGAAGCATTCAATAAAAAAAATCTTAAATTGTCATTTCAAATATTGGATGGCCCTTATTGCACCATGTCTTTTTGTTGGTTACACTTTCCTTTTTTACAATGTAATTTCAGTTCAAAATTGAGAAAAAAAAAAGATAAATTAAAAAAAATGAGTATGAGTAAAGAATACTGTCCATCCAAAATTTATGAATATTGATATCACAATGAAACTGTTTTGTTTAGGCCGATTAAACATGAAATTGAAAGAAAAAAAATACTGTTAATTCAGAAATTGTTGCGTGGTTTTTATTGATGCGAATAATGTGACTGGGTGAGTATTGCAATATAAGAACTAGCATTCTGATATCTGAGACATTTATATAAATTCTGCTTTTCCTGAAATCGCAATAATTAATTTCACAGATTTGTTAATTCTTCCAAATTCCAATAATAAATGCATGCAATAATTTCTGAATTTACAGTAGTCGTATGAAAATTGAAGATTATCCATAACAATGTTTTTAGTTAACAAGGGGGCCTCTGTGACTGAGTGGTCTAAGTACTCTAACTACTTTATCACTAGTCTGATAACACTGAGGTTGTGAGTTCAAATCCCGCATGAGGCAGGTGCGCTTCAACTCTTAATTGGCTAGGATTGTCAGTTTTCCTACTAAAGGACGGCTTCCATCACCAATAAAAACTGACCGCCACGAAATAGCTAGATTCATAAGCTTACTTGAATCAAAGAATTTTGTGTTAATATTTTGCATATTTCTTTTTCCACAGCACTTGTAACCAGTAAATGTTCACAGTGGGGTGTTTGTGGACAGTTATGTACTGAGGACCGTTCAGAGAGGGGATACCATTGTAATTGTTCCTCTGGTTTCCTATTGGAGAAAGATGAATACACCTGTAAACCAGGTCAGAACTGTATTACTGCTTTACTGTTTATGATAATAACTACTCTTTCTATTTATACTGATCCTTTCCTTTCCCTAGCTAAGATCAGGGACATGTTATCATTGTAACTCATTTTCTTGGTTACTCTGGCCTTTTGCTGTAGATCAAGTCTCAAACAGTGACAACTTTCATAATCAGTTGTTTATACGAACATTTAATTAATCAGTTTGAAAAAACAATCATGTGATTTAGCATTTAAAGAAAGGAGGGGACATTTTTTTGCTGATGTCCATATTACAAGGGAATTTTAATGTTTGGGAAAGTGGGACAAAGGAATATAGTAAAGATATATGAGTTTACCGTTTAAAAGACGGGCAATATAGCGAGGGAGCGTTTCTATAACTTTCATGAAAAGACTCAGTTAATGCTAAATGTGCTTTGAGTTAAGCTATTTCAGTTGATATTTTATAGTGTGTTTTTCTATGTTGTGATGTTACACTATTGTTTCAGAAAAAGGGTGAAGGTTTGGTACCATTAAAACGTTTAAACCCGCTGCATTTGTTTGCATCTGTCCTAAGTCAGGAATCTGATGTTCAGTAGTTGTCGTTTGTTGATGTGGTTCATAAGTGTTTCTCGTTTCTCGTTTTTTATATAGATTAGACCGTTGGTTTTTTCCGTTTGAATGGTTTTACACTAGTAATTTTTGGGGCCCTTTATAGCTTACTGTTCGGTGTGAGCCAAGGCTCCGTGTTGAAGACCTTACTGTGACCTATAATGGTTTACTTTTATAAAATTTGACTTGGATGGAGAGTTGTCTCATTGGCACTCATACCACATCTTCTTATATCTATTTGCTCTTGGATGTATTTTTCCCCCAAAGTGTTTTTTTTATAAATACCTTAACTTCAAATCTTTACTCTTATATTCTTCTTTTCCTAACAAAAACGTCATTAGAACAGCTGATCCTGTGCTTTTGGTGGCAGGTGATCCATTCTTTTCAATTATAAATACTGTGTATTCAGAAATTTCTGCACTGCATGCTTTATCTATTGTGATTTTTGAAAAATGGTCTAAAGCCCTAGATAAATTATTGTGCTTTCAGAAAATGTTGCATGTAAATACTTTAACATAATAGAAAACGTGGGTTTATTTTTCTAATGCTATCCCATTGCAACTTTTGCCATTCTCAGAACATTGCAAAAATTTTTTGCATTTGCAGTAATCCTATTGATAATTTCACACCTAATACAAAAAGTTTTGTTTATTTCAGAAAAAGAAACAGTATACATTATTTTCTCCAACAGACATGAGATGAGACGAGTCGACCTTGATAATTTTAATTATGCATCATTAGTGTCAGGGTTGCGGAACACAATTGCCCTAGATTTCTACTACGCGGAAGGTTGGATTTTCTGGACTGATGTGGTAGATGACAAAATATTTAGAGGGAAGATTTTATCCAATAGTGAGTAATCGAATTCCAGACCATTTTATTTGATTAAAAAATTAATTATATTGCAGTGGATTGTCTAAGTTTTCTTGAATCATAGCCTCGGTGGCCGTACAGCATCATTTGATCTCACAGTTCCAGTTACTTGCCTTTTGAAAAATACAATTAAAAAATATGTTGAATGGAAAGTGGCATCAGTATCGCCCTTTATATACCATTTTGAATAGATATTTAGAATAACTTATATAGACTAAATCCTACAAGAAAAATGTAAGCAAACTAAATACTATATATCAACTTCAGACTCAGACTTAATTGACCTGGATCGTCAGTTTTCCTGCCGAAGGTCATGCTCTTCTCCGGGCACTATGGCTTCTTCCACTTTAAAAAAACTGACCCCCACAAAATAGCCAATAGTGCTCAAAGTGGCGTTAAGCACCAACAATCAATTAATTAATTGTACACATATAGGTGTAATTTCTTTATACTTCTATTTAAGGTTTTACACAGATCAAACCAATCATAGATGTTGGCCTGGCTACTACAGAGGGACTAGCTGTAGACTGGATTGGAAAGAACATCTACTGGGTAGAGAGTAACTTGGATCAAATAGAAGTAGCAAAACTTGATGGGTCCAATAGAACTACTCTAATTGCAGGCAATATGATAAGTCCCAGGGCCATTGTATTGGACCCCAGAGTTGGGTAAGTATTTCTTTTAATACTCATTAGAAGGCAATAAGACATTGTTTTGGCCCATGTAAATTAAATTTTGTTATCACCAATTATTATAGCACATGTTGGTGATAACATTGCCCTTCACCAGTTTTACTGAGACAGATGCAGATTTCAACAATTAATGTCTCTTTAGTGATGCTCGAGGCCAAAATATTTTAAAATCCAAAACCTATTACAAATGTTAAACAGCTAATGAAACCATAAAGGACCAAAATACAGGCAAACTTGGACATGATAAGGTATGATGAGCATGATATTTTTGACTGGTCCGTCCATCTGTTTGTCTGTTTTAACTTCATAATGTTGTCCTACGTATGCCTTATCAGGTTATTTTTGCTTTGCATTTTGTTCATAGTATTGCCCTTAGAAGAGGATGTTTAATATTTACAATATAAAAATAAGGAGATGAGGTATGATTCGAATGAGACAACTATCCACTAAAGTTCAAATAAAGTGGAAGTAAGCAATTATAGGGAGCCGTACGGCCTTCAACAATGAGAAAAACCCATACTGTAAAGTCTGCTATAAAAGGCCCCGACATGAAAAATATGAAACAATTCAATTGAGAAAACTAACGGCATAATTTATAACAAAACAATTTACGAGAAACAAATACGACAGACATGAACCAACGATAACCACTTAAAAACTGGCTCCTGAGGCTCCAATGTCCATGTTTGTGTGTCAATGGCCCTGTGCAATATACTGAAAGGGACATTGATTATTTCATGGCTATTGTGCATGTCTGTAAGAAAGGATTTCTCAATTAACTTCTTGATTGGTATCATAGTAAGCAGTTATTGACAAAATAAGTGTGTTTATAAATAAATAGGAAACGTGTGACAAACATCACCATGACAGCAACCTATCTACACAAAAATTCAAATTTTACTTTACAGGTCATTATTTTGGACAGATTGGGATGCTAAATTTCCAAGGATAGAGACCTGTTCCATGGCTGGAGAGAAAAGAAGAACGATTTTCAATATCTCTGGTATTATAGGAGGAGGATGGCCAAATGGGCTGGCCATTGATTACGACTTCAAGCGTTTATACTGGATTGATGCTAGGTAAGTTCAATACTTTGTATTACAGGAGGAGGATGGCCAAACAGACTGGCCATTGATTACAACTTCAAGCGATTATACTGGATTGATGCTAGGTAAGTTCAATATCTCTGGTATTACAGGAGGAGGATGGCCAAACAGGCTGGCCATTGATTACGACTTCAAGAGATTATACAGGATAGATGGTAGGTAAGTGATATCTCTGGTATTACAGGAGGAGGATGGCCAAATAGGCTGGCCATTGATTACGACTTCAAGCGATTATATTTGATTGATGCTAGGTAAGTTCAATATCTCTGGTATTACAGGAGGAGGATGGCCAAACGGGCTGGCCATGGATTAAGACTTCAAGTGATTATACTTGATTGATGCTATGTAAGTTCAATATCTCTGGTATTACAGGAGGAGGATGGCCAAACGGGCTGGCCATTGATTACGACTTCAAGCGATTATACTTGATTGATGCTAGATAAGATATATCTTAGTAATAATAGTGCTTGTTATCTAAAATCTCAATTAAAAAACACGGTTTTTGAACAGACAATTTTCCGCATATTTGTACTTATATAAAATTGAGGATGGAAATGGGGAATGTGTCAAAGAGACAACAACCCGACCAAAGAGCAGAATACAGCCGAATGCCACCAATGGGTCTTCAACACAGCGAGAAAATCCCGCACCCGGAAGAAATTGAGCTCAAGGGTTAACCTTAATTAGTCAGCAACCCAAATAGTATGAAACTTATACACAATGCTTATTACCCTCAAACACAGATCAAGTTTGAATTTGGGTGGAGTCACTTTCACCTTTCTAGCGTTACCCCATTACTGTTTTTTATTCAATGATATTGGCACTCAAACCCCCGAGAAATCTCTAATGACAACATACAGAAACAAATGTCTTAAGTTCAAAGAAAACAAAAAGTCAAAAGGTTTGAATTAGTACATTGACCCTTGCACATTTACAAGCGGGGGCATTTGTGTCTCATGGACAAATTCTACTTTAAAAAAAAAAAAATCATCGTGAAATGGCCATTTTATTTCCCTTCATCCTCACACATACAAACCACCTTTTATGACCCTCACTTCAGGATTGATTGATTATTGGTTGCTTAAAGCCTTGTGATAAATAGTTCATGCATATTCAAGATAATAAGAATGTTCACTGTTTAAGTTCAAAACAACATTTCATGAATTCTTTTTAAAATTTTCAGAACCAAAAACTTCATTAGCAGTTGTCTTACACTCAACTTTTCACCAAAATAAATGTTTCATGCTAAAAATCTCAATTAAGATAAAATATTACATTTGCAGATACCTCAGATTGGCTGCTTTTATTTACTTTTTTTATACGCCCGTTTACGGAATGTATTATGGTATACCGTTGTCCGTCTGTCCGTCCATCCATTCGTCCGTCTGTCCGTCTGTCTGTCCGTCGTCAACATGTCGGACATTAACTCAAAAACACTTTATCCAATTTGCATAAAACTTTGGTGAATTGTTTATTTTTTTATGTCAGAACCACAATATCAAGGAATAAAACATGTACTGTTTATATTTTTAGGTCTGACTCTATCCATACAATAGATTATAATGGAGCTGACCACAGATTGATATTAAAACACCACGAGGGAATGCGACATCCCTTTGCATTAACACTGTTTGGGAATTATGTATATTGGACAGACTGGGGAACTAACTCACTTATGAGGGTATGTAATTATTGTAAATTCAGAAATTATTGTGTGCATTTCATATTGCGATTTTTCGAGAATGGACAAAAATGCGAGTTTTATTATTGCGATTTCGAAAAAAAGGTGCATACAGGTCTATATTTCAGTTATCAGAATGTGAGTTCTTATTATTGCGATACTCACCCAGTCGCATTATTTGCATTAATAAAAACCTCGCAATAATTTCTGAATTTACATTATTGGATATGTACCAGTTAATTGAAAATTTAGACCAATTTTGAATAGAATGGACTCATTTTGAATACTGTAAATTAGGAAATTTTTGTGTGCATATATTATTGCGATTTCCCAAGATTGGACAAAAATGTTGGATTAATTGTTGCATTTTCAGGAAAATCTGCATACAAATATCTGTATCAGATTGCGAGTTCTTATTATTGCGATACTCATCCAGTCACATTAATAAAAAACTCTGAAAATTTCTGAAATTACAGTATATATGAATGAATGCAAACGTGTTGTATGTCAGGTAGAAAAAAACCCAACACTATAAGACATCAGCAGGTTAATATACAGAACTTAAAGACTAAAGAAATGGGGTTTGATTGCCTATGAGACAACTATCGACCAAGAGACAAAAGTACAAGGATGTCATCATTTATACATAGAAAAACAAAGGATATAGGGTATCCATCCATGACACAAAATTGGTACATGCACAGCAAAAAACACAAAGAAAGCAAAGGAACAGCGCTTTTATTGCTGTTCTTCATCTCAGAGTCACAATGAGGCCTTCAACACGGAGCAAAAAAAAACTCTCACCTCACTGCAAGTTTAAGACATGTATGTCAATCTTAGGCCTTCAACAGTGAACAAAAGCCGTACTGCATGGTTAACTTCCAAGTCCTTGGGGAGATAAAAAGTTAATTAATAGAGCAGAAAAAATTAAGTTTATAACATTAAACAAAAAAAAATGTATGACAGACTGCAACAAACAACAACTGCTAGACTATATGCTACTTGTTAGAGAAAAGCAAATATATATAATGGATAAAAGAGGTGTGTGAATCCCTAAACTGGGACAGTTGTGTAACAGCACAACATTAAAACTAACTGTAAAAAATCATATATGTCTCTATAACCTTTGATTATCCATGGAATATGATCTTTGAATATTTCAGGCTAACAAATTCAATGGATCAAATGTGACCACCATTCAACAAACAATGACACAGCCTTTTGACCTTCAAGTCTACCACCCCTTACGTCAGCCAGAGATGCCAAATCCCTGTGAAAATAATGGCAACTGCTCTCATTTATGTTTGATTGGCTATGACCAGGTAGCCAAATGTCTCTGTCCTCATTTGAAAAAGCTCAACGACGATGGCAACACATGTATAGGTAATGAAAAGTATTATTTTTGAAATTCAAGTAGGTCTTTCCTTCAGAATATAGGATATGCCAAAACACATAATTTCAGCGCATGTTGATGATTCCTAGCCTGACTGGTTTCTGTCCTTCATGAACCTTCTTCAGAGGCAGAATGATGGATTAATACCTGCAACCTATTTATATAGGATAACAGGTAACTTTTATCCGTCGGATAATGGTTCTGTATAAATAAGGTGCAACTATTAAAGCCAGTAAAGAAAAAATCATTTCATAGTACTGTAGATTCATTATAATTTGTGGGATATAAATTTTTCGTGGATTTTGTGGGTAAAAAGGTGAACCACAAATCACATGTTCAACGTACAAGTACAAGTTTTATATTGGTTTGTGTGTAGACTTTCGGTGAAACCACGAAATGAAATATCCACGAAAACCACATTTTTTCCTCAATCCACCATAATTGGTACCCATGAAAATAAATGAATCCACAGTATATTGATATTTGCTCAAGAATATGGGTGAAAACGGGTCATTTTCCGAATTCCCGGGTTATTTAACGACCTGGCGGGTATGTAAACAATCCCGAGTGAGAGGTGAAATTTACGGGTGTCATCTGCAGAATACGGGTCAGTTGAAAAGTTTGTTTATATAATGTTTGAGTGGGCTTCCCAAGGTGGGCAGGTAAAAAAAGGTAAATCAACCTGAACTTTAGTGTATATGTGCTGTAAAGTTGGAAATATTTGCAAGGGTTAATTTCTGATGATTTGATGATAAGATAAAACATTAAAATAATCCCTTAAGATTAATTTGATGTTAAGTTAAGATCTATTCAGAGACAAGAAAGACATGAAAAAAAAGCTTTGGAACAGGTTTTGCCTTTGAAATCAAGAAAAGTTCACGAAGGGTTAAAATTGGCCCTAAGAATTTGATGTCTTTTCTAATCAGGCCTAAATACCACACATTTCACATAGAAATAGTTGTGATATTACTATAAATACAAAATAACATCATATTGGCACATTACATTAAAAAAGACGGAAGTATTGGCTCCTTAAGTATGCATTATTTGTGTTGTTACTTCGGTTAAATTTTCAATAAGTCTTAACTGCTTTTAGCATAATTTACTTTGGCCGCCACCCATGATCCAGAAAGTGTTTGTGTCTAGGGATTTAATATCATCATTGGCAGCTTTTGGTTACAGAACATATTGGATGCCAGGTTGCCGCCAAGGATTTCCTCAATCTTTTAGATCCGAAAAATGCACAAAATCATCATGTTTTGATTATATGTCTAAAATGTGCTGATTTTGAAGCCAAGAATGTACTCTTATGAAGAGATTTATTGAACAAAGAAGTATGGCTTTTGAAATAGATTGATTTAAGAACCGAATTATGACCATTTTGAAATTTTATGATAAAGTTGAAATTCAAGGCCATTTTTGGCCTAAAATGAACCTTGTCCTTGAAACTCTGCAAAGAAAAACCACAGTATACAATTTTAACGAAAAGTCTTTTTTTATAGCTGATAACAAGTTCTTACTGTTCGTAAGAAGTAGTATAATTCGTGGTGTGGATCTGGCTAATGCTAACTTCAGCGTCATACCAACAATTACTGTTCCACATGTGGATAGGCCTACAGCTGTGGATTACGATGCTAAGGAAGGAAAGCTTTACTGGGCAGACAGAAATTTAAATGTCATCAACAGTGCTAATAATGATGGATCTAATGTGGAGACCATTATTGATTCAGGTAATTTCAATAAGAATTATTGATAATGTTTAATTGCAGCATGTATACTTGAGTGTACAAAGGGCATTTTAATGCAACATCATTTGTAACATTCATTTTGATTGGATAACGTCACCAATTTTCATGGCATCAATTCACAATTGATGCTATGAAAACATACACGCAAGCGCAGAAGACGTATGACTTGACATTGTTTTCTCTCAGTTTCATTAGAATGGAGATAACAATATTGTATTTTAAGCTCAGACGGCATCAATTGGTGATTTGATGGTCGCTAACACGTCACCAGTAAACTTAATTTGTGACCATCAAATCACCAATTGATGCCGTCAGAGCTTAAAATACAATACAGTTATCTTCTAAGTGAAGTTGAAGGAGAAGGTATGATGAGGCCACTTTTTCAGATGCCTGAAAATCAAAAAATTATTAAAAATCTGCCCCAAATAATCTTTTCCTGTTCATAAACTATTAGTCTGAAAGATTTTAGTACTAATAACTTTGAATTTGTCACATATATGCATCAAGGCTTCAGACTTATTGAATTATGTGCAAAACTGCAAAAAATGTTAAAATGGCCTCATTTTCAAATCTTTCCCATCAATTGAAATAAAAGAAAAAAACATCTCTTGAACATTAAAAATTTTCAAGTAACCTTTTTCAAGATCTGGTCTTGCAGTCATAAAACTTTACTCACAACTCGGAGTACGAAATTTGTGCTCGAAACACCAAATCCAGTATTTTGATTTGTTAATACTTGAGTCTGAGTACAATATTCCTACTCAAAAGTTTCATGACGGTAAGCCCAGTTAGTTTAAAAGATGTATAACCTTTTAACTTCAGGTATTTCCAACCCAGAAGGATTTGCAATTGATTGGATGTCTGGGAACATGTACTTTTCATCATTTGCCTATGGTGGAAACAAGGCCAGCATTTCTGTTGCCAAGCTAGATGGAGCCTATCGTGCAAGAGTTGTGATGACTGGTCTTACCAAACCTAACTCCTTAGTAGTATTTCCAAGCCAAGGGTAGGTTATACAGAAAAAATTAAGCTGCTTATGTAAGAAATCATGAATGTAAATTCTTCTATTTTTGAGTGCTTTTAGTACTGTAAATTCAGAAATTATTGCGTGCATTTATTATTGTGATTTTGTCATTTTTGACTAAAATGTGATTTTAATTTTTGCGTTATTAAGAAAAATCCTGTTTAATTCATATAAAAAATTTCAAAATGCGAGTTTAAAGTATTGCAATTATAACCCTTCCCATTTTTCGCAATAATAAAAACATTGCAATAATTTCTAAATTTACAGTATTGTGATATCGATTGTTGAACAATGAACAAAAATACAAGATAAATTATTGAGATTCAGGAAATTCTGCATGTAATTAATGCTATCAAAATTTAGCATGAAAGTTTTACATTTTTAGCTGACCTTTCCAAAGGAAATGTGAGCTTTTGCCATCACTTGGCATCCCTCGTCGTCCGTTGTTGTCCGTCGTCGTCATCGTCGTGGTCAGTCTGGTGTAAACTATTTCAAACATCTTCTCCTCTGAAACTACTGAACCAATTCCAACCAAACTTTAGCTGAATGATTTTTAGGTTATCTAGAATAAAGTTTGTGTTTTATTTTCTGTTTCCTCAGAAAACATGGCAGCCATGACTAAAAATAGAACATAGGGTAAAATGCAGTTTTTGACTTATATCTCAAAAACTAAAGCATTTAGAGCAAATCAAACAAGAAGTTAAAGTATTCTTTAGGTCAAGGTCTACCTGCCCTGAAATTATCAGCCAAATTGGGTATCTGATTTTTAGGTTATTGCCCCTGAATTGATGATTTTAAGGAAATTTTGCAGTTTTCAGTTATTATCTTGAAAATTATTATAGATAAAGATAAACTGTAAACAGCAAAAATTGAGAGCCTCTTGTTGCATGATTTATGTACAAAACAAATGAGAAAGAAAAATGACAGACAGCTCCACATCAACCACAGAATTACATGCTCCAGACTTTGAACAGGCACATACAGAATGTGACCTGGGTTAAACATGCTTACGTTCACCATGTCTCTCCATCCGTTCTTCATACAAATTATATTTTTTTTTTAGACATGACCTCTATATGTCTTCTCTAGCCTTTTTAGTATGATGTATCATTTCAGGTTGATGTTCTGGTCAGATGTTGGAAATAAATCAAACCATGCTATTTATAGATCCAAGATGGATGGTAGTAATGTTAAAACTATCATAAACCACCTCCAAATGCCAGCAAGTAAGATTATATTTATAAATAGTTATGCTATTATTCTCTCTTTTCTCCCTCTTAAAAGAATGGAGGTATACATGAAGGTAGGAATGCCCTTTACTGTCAGACGTCAAACGGTCTTTTTTTGGCTACTGTTAGCGTCAAATTGGTTAAATTTTACCGTGATTCGTCAAAATATCCTTATCGTGATTCGTCAGAGTTTCCAAATAATTATCGTTACTGTTATTTTGGAGAAAAATTTAACGTGATTTGTCAAAATCAGTTGATTTTTTTATCGTCTTAAAGAAAGTGTACATTTTATCGTCATGCACCAAAAATGACTGTTAACGTCATTTGGCAAGATTTTTTACTGTTATTCGTCATGAAGGTATCCCCATTACGACCCTCATACATTGTAACCTCTGTCCATCCATCCACAACATGTTTCTGTTGCATTTTCCTGATTTTACCAGTATGCAAGGTATTATTTTTTTCTGAATTCTCTCTCATCTACTTGGAAGAACACATTTAAATATTTAACACCAGAGTCCCAAGGAGAGTGAGGGGGATGTCAGTGATACTGCTATTTGGTCACAAAGGAAAAAAAAATACTATGAAACATAAAATCTTCTCCATTCTCTGAGAGTTACATAGTGTTAACAAGGGTGGCATTCCTCAATACAAATTATGTCAGGATCTTTGCATAAGAATGAAAAGATCATCTGATTTGATCTCTTATATTTCAAGTTCTCAAAAGCCAAAAATTTTTGCATTTACCACATGAACTTATTGTTGCTGACAAATTTTGTCATTTTATGATCGCTTTATTAAAAGTGTCTTGTTGATTGTTTAAAGATTATTTGAACAAGCTAAACAGACAGAGAGTGGTGTCAACATACTTTCTTTCAGCATGTTCAAATGAAATACATTTTCAAGGTATTTGAAAAAATTATATCAGACTTTAAAATATAATTATTATTTGATATTTTCAGGTTTAAAATTAGACGTGAAGACAAAACGACTGTATTGGGTTAACAGGGGAAACAACTCTATCATGACTTGCAATATAAATGGCTTATCATGTCGTATGATAAAAAACAGCAAAATAACCAAACCATTAGCCTTAACCTTGACAGCAAAAGGAAGGTTATATGTAGCTAATGATGATGAAGTGATATCCATGACAACAACAGGGGACAATTATCTATTGTTACGAGACAAAACCCCTGAAATAGAAGCAATGCAGGTTTATGACATGGATATGAGGAAAGGTAAGTTATTGGGTTTGGGGAAATATGGTAATTGCCAAAATTGGAAACTTGGAAAAATTTACAAAAGTTTAAGGTGATACCAAACACCTTGACTAAAACTAATTTGGCTAGTTTAATTTTCATAAAATTAGGACAAAATATTTACTTTGACCCTTTGAAAAAATATGAAAATTTCAAAAAGCTTGAACCACACTTTATCGGAAAAATTTCATTGGATATTTTGCACTCTGACAAACACTAATTTGGATCATTGAGAAGCTTGATATTTCCTTAACAATAGAATGTGATTAAAACGTTCATCTGATTTCTACAGAGTTATCTCCCTGTAGTGTTATGTACCCCCTTAAATTCTCTATTATTATAAGATACATTGAAAATTGAGATTGCTAATAAAAGTTTCAATACATTTTATATGAAAAAAACAAAAGATAAGCAAATAGAAATCGAAAATGTCCCCATGGCAATAAGATGAAAGCTAGCTTCAAATTTAGTCCAGATTCAAGTGAGTATGGTTCAAACTACAATGTAAAGATGAAACCGCAGCTAAATGAAAAAAAAAACAGTGAAGTAATTTTACCATGTTTTTTCTAAAAAAATTAGATAAGATGGTTGTTAACACTTAAAAAATATATCTAATACAAATGAGAAAACATATGTGCTTGAAAAATATTTCTAAAATGATCTTTTTTTCAAAAGTTGTTATTTTTCAAAATACTAACTCCCCTTAAGAAATGCTTCGAGTGTGTGAGGTTTTTTTTTATAGCTTTCTGGGAATGAGGTTCACTTTTAAATGTGTTGAAAAATTTATATTATAGATAGAATAAACAATTGTACCAACAACAATGGAGGGTGTTCACAACTGTGTTTACCAACAGGACCTGGCAGCCACGTTTGTAAATGTACTGCTGGATTCAGACTGATCAATGGCACAGAATGTACAGGTAAGGGAAGCAACTCAGTTCTAATTAAAATAAAAGTATAGAGTATTTTTAATACAGAAATTATTGTGAGGTTTTCATTAATGCAAATTATACCACTGGGTGTGTACCGCAATAATAAGAACTTGCATTCTGATATCTGACACATATATCTGTATGCAGATTGTCCTGAAATCGCCATAATTAAGGAAGTTCGCTAATCCGTTTCAAAATAACAAGCTTTTCATAACACTAGTATATATTGATAGGGGATTAATAAAGGAACCAAAAGAGCGAAAAAAAAATATAGGTCTGTTTGCTTGTTTTCGAGATATTAGCCATTGAAATTTTGGCGGGAAAATGTTCTCTCTTGATTTTTCATAGCTTTATCATTGACAAGTTTAAGTTCTCAAAAACTGTTAAAAATTAACAAAGATTTTATAAGACTTTTACAGATGGCTTATAATTATACATGTTAAAGATTTATAAAAAGAAAAATGGGGGTTAGTGGGCAAAATTTTTTAAGGCATTCAAATAGATAAAACCAGAGGATTCCGAAAATCTGACAAAAATTCCAAAACATGACAAGCAAACATCCTTAATCTCATATTTTTGTCCATATACCAAATATGGCAATGATAAATACATCCAATAGTTTTGAATTTACATCGTCCTGAATATGCATGAAATATTTGCCACTGGACGTTAAGCAACCAACAATCAATGAATTTACACTATACCATTGGATTATGATTGGTAAATAATACATATATAGGAAAGGGAGACTCAAACAAATTTATAATTTTGTAATCACTTTTGCAATATACTTTTGTTATATACCCTTGATTCTGAGTAAAATAACACAACCTATTGTGTAGGTAAGGGTAGGCTGCTCTTTAACATTGATTTTCTTTTACTTTTATATGAATAATCTAGAAACATACTTTTGCCGCTATTACTTTAGTTTTTCAAATGATTTTATTTTAAAACTCAAAAAACAGTAAGGTTGTCACAGATTATCCCCCTTAGTGGAGTTTGAAAGAGGTAGATCTCCCACTTTGTAGCTCCAAAAGGTTGTCAGGTATGACTTTACATTGTTAGTGAAAAAGACTTTGTTTATGAAAATATAAACATAAAACATGCTTAATTGCTTCTGTTGTTTTTCAGGAATTGAGTCTTTCCTTATGTATGCCACAGAAACTGAAATACATGGTATACAGTTTAATGATGAACAGAAAGCAGAGGCATTACCACTCATTTCTAAAATATCAATGGCCAAAGCTATTGATTTTCATGCAGGTAATTGTGACAGGCATTACATATTGTAAAATATAAACTTAACAAAAAAATAATGGACCAATTCTGTCTGAAATAGTTTTGTTACTTTTCATTAATTATATGGGTAAAACTACCTTGCCATTAAACATGACACCTTGCAGGGTGTTTCGTCAATATTAAACTACCTTGCCATTAAACATGACAACTTGCAGGGTGTTTCATCAATATTATGCCAACTGTTTCCAAATATTATTTTGATTTTTAAAAATTTTCCAGTTTGAAAATATCAACATTTTCCCTAAAAATATTCATTCTTTCAATTTTGATGATACATGGGGATTTAACAGATTTTTTTAGTCCCCTACCGACGAAGTTTGCACTCTGTCCGTCTGTCTGTCCGTCCGTCTGTCCATCCGTCTGTCCATCCGTCAGTCCGGCGATTCAGCTTTCCACACTTTTTTTCTTCGTTCTTGAAGATATTGATTTGATATTTGGTATATAGTTTTGCCATGACAAGTTATATATCAAGTTCGAATTTTGTTCCAGTCTGATGATTTAGTCCAGAGTTATGGACCATAACTCTGGACCATATCTAATGTTAGAGTACTATGTTAAACCATATTTCTGTACAAAGGGAGATAACTCATTTTTTAAAAGACATTCTTTGGTAAATTATTTGAAGAATTTTTTGGCAGGTTTGTTTGTTATTTTGTATAAACTAATTTTCTGAATGCTATATATATATATAAAAAAAATTATGAAGTGAAATCCTTTAATTAGATAATAATCTATTTTTATTATACGACCGCAAAAATTAAAAATTTTTTGGTCGTATATTGGTATGACGTTGGCGTCGTCGTCGTCGTCGTCGTCGTCGTCGTCGTCTGGCGTCGTCCGGCGTCGTCCGAAGACACATTGGTTTTCGCACTCTAACTTTAGTTTAAGTGAATGGATCTCCATGAAATTTTACCATAAGGTTCTATACCACGAAAGGAAGGTTGGGATTGATTTTGGGGGTTATGGTACCAACAGTTAAGGAATTAGGGGCCAAAAAGGGGCCAAAAATAAGCATTTTTGTAACTTCCAGACAATAACTTGTGTGTAAGTGTATGGATCTCTCTGACATTGTACCACAAGGTTCCATATCACAAAGGGAAGGCTGTTATTGATTTTGGGGGTAATTGCCTCAAAATTTTAGGAATTAGGGGCCACAAAAGGGGCAAAAAACAAGCATTTTTCTAGTTTCATGACAATAACTTGTGTGTAAGTGTTTGGATATTTCTGAAATTGTACTACAAGGTTCCATATCACAAAGGGAAAGCTGGAATTGAGTTTGGGGGTAATTGCCCGAAACGTTTAGGAATTGGGGGCCAAAAAGGGGCCAAAAATAAGCATTTTTCTAGTTTCCAGACAATAACTTGTGTTCAAGTGTATGGATCTCTCTGAAATTGTACTGCAAGGTACCATACCACAAAGGGAAGGCTGGGATTGAGTTTGGGGGTGATGATTCATAAGGGGGTTCAAAAAATTTTTGGGGGGGGGGGATTTTTTTTTTTTTCTTTTTTTTTCTTTTTTTCCTTTTTTTTTCTTTTAAAATTTTCCATTTTAAGTTGGTTATTTCTGATTTATATTTAAAAGCAAATAATAATGATATGGTAGGAGATACACACCAAACAGAATGTGTAAATTATTATATAATAAGTATTGTGCAATAGCAAGAAATTTTCAATTGCACAGTATTGCACAATAGCAAGAAATGTTCAATTGCACAATAGCAAGAAATCTCCAATTGCACAGTATTGCGCAATAGCAAGAAATATCCAATAGCACAATATTGCGCAATAGCAAGAAATTGTCAATTGTACAGTATTGCGCAATAGCAAGAAATATTCAATTGCACAGTATTGTGCAAAAGAAGATACTTCGTATAAATTGCTTATTTCTTGATCAATTTCAATAGGGTTTTATTCTTGAATTCTTGGGGTTCTTTAATATGCTGAATCTAACCGTGTATTAAGTTTTTGGATTTTGGGCCCCGTTTTTAAATTGGTCCACATTGAGGTCCAAAGGGTCCAAAATTTAACTTTGTTTGATTTCATCAGAAATTGAATTAATGGGGTTCTTTGATATGCCGAATCTAACCGTGTATTTAGATTCTTAATTTTTGGTTCCGTTTTCAAATTGGTCTACATTAAGGTCCAAAGGGTCCAAAATTAAACTTTGTTTGATTTTAACAAAAATTGAATTCTTAGGGTTCTCTGATATGCTGAATCTAAACATGTATTTAGATTTTTGATTATGGGCCCAGTTTTTAAGTTGGTCCAAATCGGGGTCCAAAATTAAACTTTGTTTGATTTCAACAAAAATTGAATATATGGGGTTCTTTGATATGCTGAATCTAACCATGTATTTAGATTTTTGATTATGGGCCCAGTTTTCAAGTTGGTCCAAATCGGGGTCCAAAATTAAACTTTGTTTGATTTCAATAAAAATTGAATATATGGGGTTCTTTGATATGCTGAATCTAACCATGTATTTAGATTTTTGATTTTTGGGCCCTGTTATCAACTTTGTCCACATTGAGGTCAAAAGGGTCCAAAATTAAACTTTGTTTGATTTCAACAAAAATTGAATATATGGGGTTCTTTGATATGCTGAATCTAACCATGTATTTAGATTTTTGATTATGGGCCCAGTTTTCAAGTTGGTCCAAATCGGGGTCCAAAATTAAACTTTGTTTGATTTCAACAAAAATTGAATATATGGGGTTCTTTGATATGCTGAATCTAACCATGTATTTAGATTTTTGATTATGGGCCCAGTTTTCAAGTTGGTCCAAATCGGGGTCCAAAATTAAACTTTGTTTGATTTCAACAAAAATTGAATATATGGGGTTCTTTGATATGCTGAATCTAACCATGTATTTAGATTTTTGATTTTTGGGCCCCGTTATCAACTTTGTCCACATTGAGGTCAAAAGGGTCCAAAATTAAACTTTGTTTGATTTCAACAAAAATTGAATATATGGGGTTCTTTGATATGCTGAATCTAACCATGTATTTAGATTTTTGATTATGGGCCCAGTTTTCAAGTTGGTCCAAATCGGGGTCCAAAATTAAACTTTGTTTGATTTCAACAGAAATTGAATTATTGGGGTTCTTTGATATGCCGAATCTAACCGTGTATTTAGATTCTTAATTTTTAGTTCCGTTTTCAAATTGGTCTACATTAAGGTCCAAAGGGTCCAAAATTAAACTTTGTTTGATTTTAACAAAAATTGAATTCTTAGGGTTCTTTGAATGCTGAATCTAAACATGTATTTAGATTTTTGATTATGGGCCCAGTTTTCAAGTTGGTCCAAATCGGGGTCCAAAATTAAACTTTGTTTGATTTCAACAAAAATTGAATATATGGGGTTCTTTGATATGCTGAATCTAACCATGTATTTAGATTTTTGATTTTTGGGCCCTGTTATCAACTTTGTCCACATTGAGGTCAAAAGGGTCCAAAATTAAACTTTGTTTGATTTCATCAAAAATTGAATTCTTGGGGGTTCATTAATATGCTGAATCTAACCATGTATTTAGATTTTGGATATTGGACCATAATAGGTGAATGTCCAATTTAAAATTTTTAAGTTCTTAGACCACATTCATTCTGTGTCAGAAACCTATGCTGTGTCAAATATTTAATCACAATCCAAATTCAGAGCTGTATCAAGCTTGAATGTTGTGTCCATACTTGCCCCAACTGTTCAGGGTTCAACCTCTGCGGTCGTATCAAGCTGCGCCCTGCGGAGCATTTTATTAATGTATATATTACATTACATTGTGTAGATAAAAATTGTTGACATTTTATAGATAAGTTACAAATCTATATTAGTTTGTGACAAATAAAAGAAAAAATATTTGGAACTATTAACTATATTTGATTATAATTTGATAATAGATATACACTGTATTACATCATATCTAATTTTAGAGAACTATTAATCATATCTAATGTTAAAGTGTTTTCCACACATTTTTTCATCATGCTTGAAGATATTGATTGATAATTTTTATATAGTTTTATCATGACAAGTTATACAGATCAAGTTCGAAATTTTATTTCGGTCTGATAATTTTGTGCAGAGTTATGGTCCTTGGACTTGAAAAATTCACTCATTTAATCAGTTTTCCACACTGTTTTTAGTCATGCTTGAAGATATTGACTTGATATTTTCTTTTTGTTTACACCATGACAAGTTATAGAACAAGTTAGCATTTTGTTCCAGTATAATGAATTTTTACCCGGTAGGGGACTATGTATTGCCATGCAATACTCTCAGAATGCTTGTTTTATAGAAAATGGCAAAAATGATTATTATTTTATAAAAGAAAATATGACCTTGCCAGGTTTAAAGAAATTGAATTGTGTGTTTACAGCAATTGTGTTTAATATTAATGACTTTCTTTAAAATACTAATTATTTATTTTTTATCTTGCAGAAGATGACCATATATACTGGATGGATAGTAAGACACAATCGATATCTCGTATTAGACGTGATTTAATGGAACGGAAAATAATTGTTGATGATGATATGGGTTCTATTGTAGATATTGCTGTTGACTGGATTGCAGGTACATTATATGTTAATTTGTAGGCTCAGAAAACATCAAATATAAATAAGAAGATGTGGTATGAGTGCCAATGAGACAACTCTCCATCCAAGTCACAATGTATAAAAAGTAAACAATTATAGGTCAAAGTACGGCCTTCAACAAGGAGCCTTGGCTCACACCGAACAGCAAGCTATAAAGGCCCCAAAATGACTACTGTTAAACAATTCAAACAGGAAAACCAACGGTCTAATTTATATAAAAAATGAGAAACGAGAAACACTTATGAACCACACCAACAAACGACAACCACGGAACACCAGGCTCCTGACTTAGGACATACAAAGGCTGTTTGTGTTTTTGATAGTTTAAAGATTGAGCATTTGTTGATAGTGTAAAGATTGAGCATTTGTTGATAGTGAAAAGATTGAGCATTTGTTGATAGAGTAAAGATTGAGCATTTTTTGATAGTGTAAAGATTGAGCATTTGTTGATAGAGTAAAGATTGAGCATTTTTTGATAGTGTAAAGATTGAGCATTTGTTGATAGTGTAAAGATTGAGCATTTGTTGATAGTGTAAAGATTGAGCATTTGATTGACATTAAAAACCAAAAGACATCTACATTGAAATTATGACAAAAGACATTTGTGCAAAAAAGTTATTGCCCCAAAAAAAATGTTATGCTTAAGACAGTGTTGTTTTGACTTTTTATTGTTGCTAAGTCTAGATATTTAAATCAGAGAAGCATCAATGATAAAATTAAAAAGGAGACGGATTTTCATGTAACAATATATGTTTTTTACTGTAAAATGAAATAACTTTGGAAAAAAAAAGCAACTTGGATTTATAGCTTTTTTCTATTCAACACCATAAAACAATATAATGAAATAGTGTGGATTCATTTATTTTTCGTGGGTACCATTTTTCGTGGAATGACAAAAACTGGCATTTTCGTGGATATTTAATTTCGTGGTTTTGGCGAAGTCTGCATACATTCCTTTAGAAAATTTAAAATTTGTTGAACATTTAAATCGTGGTTCCCCTGTACCCACGAAATCCACGAAAATTGGTATCCAACGAATATTAATGAATCCACAGTAGTGTGGATTCATTATTATTTGTGGATACCAATTTTCTTGGATTTCAATGGGAAAAGAAAATACAAAATGTTCAATGTGACATAAATTTTCTATAGCCTTGTATGCAGACTTTGGCAAATCCAGAAAATAAAATATCCACGAAAATACAATTTTTCCTCAATCCACAAAAAAATTAGTTCCCAAGAAAATTAATGAATCCTCAGTACTGTAAATTCAAATATTATTGTGAGGTTTTTATTAATGCGAATAATGCGACTTGGTGATTACCACAATAATAAGAACTCACATTCTGGTATCTGATACATATATCTGTATGCAGATTTTCCTGAAATTGTAATAATTAATTTCGCATTTTTGTCCATTCTTCAAAAATCGCAATAATAAATGCACCCCCATAATTTCTGAATTTACAGTAACTTAAGAAACTTTCAGATTTTTGTACCAGCTTGTGTTTATTCAACACAGTAAAACAATATTTATTTCTTTATAGGTAATGTGTATTGGGTTGATGAAGGTCATGACGTTATAGAAGTGGTCAACTTAAACAGGAGTAGTCTGCGTTATGTCATTGTTCATGGAGACGGAGAAAAACCAAAGGAGATCGTTATTGATCCTGTGAAAGGGTAAGTTACAAAACAATGAAAAATTTGTATTGTAACTGAGGGCTATTCCATTAATATGTATGTGGGAGGGTAGGAAGGGAAGTTTAATTATTGAATGTGGGTCATGGGTCTTTTTCAATATACGTCTATTACTATTATGCAAAATTATCTAAAAAATGGTTCTTGGTTGTAGGGATATTTTGAAAGTCCCTTCCTAACCTCCCACATACATTTAAATAGAATAGCCCTGACCTAATGATATTAAAATACACCATGATGTTAATAAAAAAAAGTTGAGCCAGCCACATTTTGTCATGGAAGTGAGACATAGCAATATTCCTTGGGCATTGACAACATTTAGGTTCAGTCTCTGGTTTAAGTTCTTTTTTAGACATTAATAACTTTGTCAAACCTTCATGGAAATTTAGGAATCTCATCAATACACCAATCTCGAGTTTTTTTTATGAGTGATGTTAAATGATGTCATTGAATAAATTGGTTCGTACTGTGATGTTATAACATATTAACCATTGTGACAAAGGAAATATAACGGAAAGTGTATGAATTTGAAAGTTGTTTATTTGTACCATAACTGACACCATGATGTTAGTTTGACCACAACATGAACAACCAAAAAGAAATTTAGAGTTCAGCAAACTTGACAAATTTTGAAAGACTTAACATCCAGGCTTCGAGAAGTTTTAACAAATACACTGCACAGTTTTACCAAGTTAGACTTATGTCTTGTCTACAAAAAGTTTAAATAAAAGTATTGTGCTAAGGTAAGGTGTTCTGTATTGAGAAGATAGCTCATAACTTAAATTATAAACCTATGTGAAGAAGGAAACACCACTTTGCTTAGTTCAAAAGTTTAAATAGACATTAGATAATAGTCCTTCTCTTTTAGTAACCTGATAGCTCCCGAACCAAAACTGAGCTTTTGGAGCTTAGAATATTTTGTTATGCCCCTGTCGTAGTGGAGGTTTTACCCTTGTCCATCCGTCTGTACATCCGTACATCCCAAAAAATTGGTTTCGGTTCTCTAACTTTAGTTTGCCTCAAATCAAATGTTATGAATCTTTATACACGATGCTTATTACTTCAAAACACAGATCAAGTTTGAATTTGGGTGGCGTCACTTTTACCTTTCTAGAGTCTTGCCCCTTTACAAATGAAAAAAATGCTGCATTTTTCGTTTCCATTCTCTAACTTAAGTTTGCCTAAACCAAATGTTATAAATCTTATACATATGCTTCTTACTACAAAAGTCAGATCAAGTAAGATTTTTACCGTTCTTGAGTTATGTCCCTTTATAACATTATGTGCAAGCGGGGGCATCATTTGTGTCCCATGGACACATTACCCATTAATTTATGCTAGATCTAGATCTGTTCTATGGATTACTGTGGATTTGTTAACTTTCATGGGAATCCAGTTTTTGTAGATTTCATGGGTCAAGGTGAACCATGAATTTGAATGTTCGACAAAGTCCATATTTTTCTATAGTATGCAGACTTTGGCAATTCCACAAAATAAAATATCCACAAAAATTTGGTTTACAGTACTTTTTTCTTATAACATGTACTCCCTTATTTAAACTGTTTTATGTCTACCTATATTATTATACATTGACCTTTATGATTGTTAATTAACTATGTGTAAATATCTGTTTTTGCCTGTATTTTATATGAAGGCCTCAGGGAAGATCAGTTTTTGTAACTAATTATGTTTAACTTTATGCATAAAGTTTTTTATTATTATGTATTATTATTGTTGTAAATAATTTCAGGTATATATACTGGATAAATTATGCTGAGCAGAAATATGCAATTATGCAAGGTCGAATGGATGGCTCGCAACAAAGGGAGCTAATCACTTCATCAGAAATGGAACTTAAACATTTAACGATAGACTACCATGATAATTGCCTGTATTGGTGGGATGCTGTCAGTAAAAAAATTATCAGATACAATATCAATGCTGTAAAAATTGATACATCAAGTTTTCCGAAAGTTGATTCTTGTGTAGGATTAACTGTGTACCAGGACCACATATATTGGGCCCAGTTGTAAGTACAGATTATCTGTGTATGGGGACAGTGTTTATTGGTATGCATGTAATATTTGCCACTGGACTTGTAACAACAGTCCATCCTCATTATCAATTAATCACTCAATCGGCCTTTTTAGAATAAGAGTGATTGCGGGTAATTTCAATGTTTTTAAACCAAAATGAAAATAACATTATGCAATTGGTTGGATATCTTTTTGGTTAGGACATTGTCAACCAATCACAACACTTTGGTGTATACTTTTGAAAATATTTCCCAGAATGCAATTGGTTGGATTTTTTTTGGTTTAGGACATTGTCAACCAATCACAACATTTTCGTGTATACGTTTGAAAATATTTCCCAGAATGCATTATCTTCTGAAAAAGGGGTTTTACCTTGCAGGTATTTGATTCCTATTTTTCACAAAATTGAAACTGCTGAACAAAAGTAAGGTTAAATTCAAGATTATTAAGAAATTATGAATACACATTTAATTATCAAGTTTTCTTATACATGTGTGTATTGCGTACAGGCATGCCTTCTTTTGATCTGTATCATGTTAAAGTTTGATTTTAAGGTTGTTTAAACTATGAAATTATGGTCACATGGACTGGAAGCTAATAGTACACATGTTCATTGTGTTATAAACTTTAAAAAAACCATATGCCAAATTAGGCTTTTGACCTAGATATCATGGTTTACTGAACATGGAAATGTGATAGTGTGAGCATTGCATGGTGGACACATATTTTTTTTATTCTATTTTGATTCTAATATGGTTTTAATTTACTGCAATGAAGTAGAACAATAGAATTGAGAATGGAAATGGGGAATATGTCAAAGAGACAACAACCCGACCAAAGAGCAGACAACAGCGGAAGGCCACCAATGGGTCTTCAATGCAGCGAGAAAATCCCGCACCCGGAGGTGGTCCTCAGCTGGACCCTAAATAAAATTGTGTGCTAGTTCAGTGAAAATGGACGTCACACTAAACTCCAAAACATATAAATGAACTAAAATTAAACATACTAGACTAACAAAGGCCAGAGGCTCCTGACTTGGGACAGGCGCAAAAATGCGGCGAAGGTTAAACATGTTTTGTGAGATCTCAACCCTCCCCCTATACCTCTAGCCAATGTAGAATAAAGAAACACATATAGCAATACACACAGTAAAACTCAGTTAAAAAGAAGTCCGAGTCTGATGTCAGAATAGGTAACAAAAGAAACTAAGCAAAATGACAATGATACATAAATGAACAAAGGACTACTAGCAGTTACTGACATGCCAGCTCCAGACCTCAATTAAACTTATTGAAAGATTATGTCATCATCATATGAAAATCAAGTACAATCCCTCCTGTTAGGGGTTTAGTATCATACCATCATAAAATATATGAGAACATAACCGGTATCATGCCAACAACTGGTTTTAGAATAAATGTGTTTATTTCCGATGCAAAGACCCTATGAGTGAATCAATATTAATACCAAAATATGCAATCCTTAATGACTTGACAACAGTATCATAACTATATCCTTTCCGAATAAGTCTGTTTAAAGGTTTGGTTACATCAAATGAAAGTACAAGTTACAGGCACAATCAACATCAATCATCTTCTCGTCAAATCATTTTCTTTCATGATACTAAAAAATACAACGATTTAATCTTAATCTATTTATAAATTATAATTACATTATTTTTTAGAGAGAAGAACAAAAATAGTACAATTAAATTTGCCGACAAGCATAATGGAAGTGATGTGAAAATACTGAGAGAGAACTTAGGACTACAGATCACCGACATTAAGGCATTTGACAAAAGTCTACAGGGACCTTCTGGTGAGTACAACCTTGCATGACGGAAGTCTTTAGAAATAATATGGTCAAATCTTAGTATTGGTTTTAAAGGAATGAAATGTTAATTTTTAGAATCCAATGATAAGTTTATGCAATCTTTTCCATTCAGTTCTTATAAAGACCTTAAATACTGATCTAAAACATTTTGTATTATGACCTATATGTCATGCTTGAGTGAACTCATAGTTTTTATATGACTGTCGTATATTGGTATCACGTCGTCATCATCGACGTTGTCCAAAGACATTTGGTTTCCGGACAATAACTTTAGTTTTGAGTGTATGGATCTCTATGAAATTTAACCAAAAGGTTCAATACACCTTGTCGCTATTTGGAATTCTGTCCCTGTTGACCCGAGAATCTGTCCCGCTTGAACTATTGACGTCATACAACAATCACTTTTCCATTGTGGCGTCAGATATTTTGTATTATGACGTCAAAATTTTGCAAGAACCTTTGTGATGTCCAGTAATGGCGGACAAATAGCGATTAGGTGTATACCACAAAAGGAAGGTTGGGATTGTTTTTGGGGGTGATGGTCCCAACTGTTTAGGAATTGGGGGCCAAAAAGGGGCCAAATAAGCATTTTTCTAGTTTCAGGACAATAACTTGTGTATAAGTATTTTGATTGCTCTGAAATTGTACCACAAGGTTCAATACCACAAGTAGAAGGTTGGGATTCATTTTGGGGGTAATTGCCCAAACGGTTGAGGAATTAGGGGCCAAAAAGGGTCTAAAACAAGCATTTTTCTAGTTTTCAGACAATAACTTGTGTTTAAGGGTATGGATGTCTCTTAATTTGTACCACATTTTACAAAAAGAAAATTTCTTCAAAATTATTTTTTTTGGAAGGGGGGGTAGAAAAATTTCAGGGTTGGGCCTCTGCGGTCGTATCAAGCTGTGCTCGGCAAAGCAGTTTATTAAATATAGAAACATCATCTTTTTTTTTTTATTTTGTAGAACCCAATACTTGTAGTAGTGGTCTGAATGGAAGCTGTCAACAGCTGTGTTTCTATACTGGTGGTGATATGCCATCATGTGCCTGTTCTTATAGCAAACTGGGAAAAGATAGACACACTTGTGAAGGTAAGAAATGCTAACACATTTTCATTTTTTTTCAAAACATCTCATTCTTGTGGATTTGATTGTTGTTATTTATTTAAGAGTATTAATTTTGTTGTTTTGTGAAGCAATTTTAAGTTTGTAACTTTTGAAGATTTTTTTAGTTATCTTGGAGAAACTCAAAGCCAGCAGTATGCAAAACATAAAATCATTCTGCACCTCCTCTTAACTCCTTATACTTCACTAGTCAAGATCATAGTAATGACCCTCAGATTTGCAACATAAAAACATAAGACTTGTCAGTGACGCCCGAATCAATACAGTTGGAAGGCCAAATAAAAAAACACTACAGGGAGATAACTCTGTAAAAATCAGCTGAACGTTTTAATCATGTTCTATTGTTAACCCTTTCAACGCTACACAAAGAAATAGAAAAATGGCTGCTGCTGCTGCATTTTTTTTGTGTTCATTCATTAAAACAGTATATTCCTTTTCAGACTGCTGTATCTTTTTAATTATTAGAGCTATAGACAAAGTTAATGCATGAAAAATGCTCAGGAGAGCATGAACTGTAATGTTATGCAATTATTTTAGTAAAATTTTCATCAAGCTACCTGCATTTTCAGGTAATTAACAGGTAAAAGGTGTAAATTATTGTATTTGTGTTGGAATTTTAATAAAAACAACTTTTGATCTTTATTTATTTTGTTGTTTTATCTACCTATAATAAAGAAGACACCAGTTGCTCGATTCCGTAGCGTATTTGCACCATACACAAGGTATATGATGTAAACGTGGCGCAAATAAGTGGCTCCATCTGCCAAATTTTTAGTCAACCTCTTTTTCCCCCCTTTTTCTACGTCTCGTAAAGATCAACCAAATCATATTTCCCACACGAATTGAATGTAATTAACACATTGAGATAACGTGAAACCTTTTAACTATTCCTCGTTGTCAGTTTCGCCATAGAAATGCTGAAATATATCCATATCTACAGTGTCTTTTTCAATTTCCACCATTTGCATTTTGTTAAAATATTTGTTTTTATTTTTCTTCTACTGCATGCTTTTACCATTAAAATTCCCGCAATTTCAAGCGCAAACGGGACCTTGTATATCCTCAATTCATATGAGGAAAAGTTAGAGAGGACCCGAATGAAAACCGAATGGTATACGAGTCTGGATGAAAAATCCATCATCATCGTGACATATGTTGCGAACAGCAGTGGCGGACGGCGTACGTCATCGCGGCATATGCTGTGTATGGCGTTGAAAGGGTTTAGGAAATATTAAGCTTCTCAATGATCAAAATTAGTGTTTGTCAAAGGGTCAAAGTAAATATTTTGTCAAAATTTTATGAAAATTAAACGAGCGAAATTAATTTTAGTCAAAGTGTTTTGTACCACATTAAAAAGCAAAAATTAAAAAAAAAATTGCCAAATGAGGCATAAGCAATCTATACATGAGGGTAAAAAAACCTTAGTGTGTCGATGAATTCTACATTTTATAAACAGTAAATTTACATAACTTATACTTTTCTTAAGTATCTGATAAATCTCACACACATATAATGCATTTCGAATATTTTTCACTTCACTTCAGCTATTTCTGATGCCTCTTGAAGAGAGACTGCTATGCTCTCTGTTCGTTAAGACCCTTGCAACAAATCTTTGTGGTGGTCAATTGGTGCTTCTTTTTTTGGGAAAATTTCCATCCCTTTCTGATATACCCTCATTTTCTAGTGGCATTCAAAAGTTACCGCCATTCCTCCCAGTTGACCCCTTATTGCAGGAACTACCTATTGTATTTTTTTGTTGATGAGTTCTTGTCCTGTTATTATACTCCCCCATGGTTTTCTATAGCAAGCTGTACTGTAAATTCAGAAATTATTGCGAGGTTTTTACTAATGAGAATAATGCGAATGTGTGAGTATCAAATAATTAAGAACTCGCATTTTGATTTCTGATACATTTTCTGTATGAAATCGCAATAATTAATCTCTGATTTTGTCCATTCTTTAAATATCGCAATAATAAATGCACACCATTATTTCTGAATTAACAACATACAGTTAGCCAGACACCTGTCCTTCCATCAATTCCTTATTCTGTCCATTTGTTTGTTTTTCCATCCCACAATATAACCCCTATTAGAATTTTTAAAATCTGTTTCAGAGTCTTCACCATATAATGACATTGCACACTCATTTTTTGGGGGGTTTGAATTATATTTCAGTGGTTTCCCTATTTTATATAAAGCAAAGTATTAACTTTGTCATAACTTTATATGTGGAGAGTATCATTGTGAGCTTTTCTTGCTGTAGGTCAGTGATATTGTTTGCCTCAAATTACCTCCTAAATACGGCTTTTTCCCCTAGAGAAAATTCCCAATTACTAAAAAAAATGGCCTAAAATTCCTCCCAAAAAGTTACACATTTTCCCCAAACGGTGATGGCATTGGTAGTAATGTACGTAAATTTCGTATTCATGTTATTTTTTTGATATTATAAGTGCTTTTGAGATCCGTGTTTCTTATTAGAATCATTGCAGTGTTTGTAACACGCGTGGTTTTCAATGTATTAAGTACCGTCAATTTCTTCGTTTCCTTCCCCTCCCCAAAAAGTTCCTTTCCGGTTGAAAATGTCTCACAATTCAAAATATTACGTGAAAAAAACTGTTTAAAAAAATTCCCAATTTCCCTAATTTTCCCAAAATATAAGGGGTAGAGGTAGTTTTGAAAAAAGACAACAATATCACTGTAGGTCTAGTGTTGATGAAGATCATTTGTAAATATTTTCTAACTATTATTTATTCATGATTTTTTTTCAGATCATGATGCCTTTTTGCTGTATTCTAAAGTGACATCTATAGAGAGTACACACATGGATGGAGGTATCCAGCGACCGTTGTGGAAGATCGAAAATGAAAATCATATGAAAAATGTTATTGGCATGACTGTTGATGTAGTCAACAAAAGATTATTCTTCAGCGATATTCAGCGTGGAGATATTCAACACGTTCATTTTAATGGCACAAAATTTACTGTTGTAGTCGATTGTAAGTATTAAAGACAAAATTATTTTTTATACAACAAGCAAATGTTTCATAAGTGGTATTAAGTTTGGAGATATTCAACATGTTGATTTTGATAGCACAAAATTTACTGTAGAAATTGATTGTAAGTACTAAAGACAGGTTTATGTATTATACAACAAGCAACTGTTCTTTAGCAAGATTAAGCATGAAGATATTCAACATGTTCATTTTAATGGCACAAAATTTACTGTGGAAATGACTGTAATCACTGAAGTACACTTTAATATGAGTGTTGGTGTTTGACAGGTTATTTGTGAATACCGTGGATTCATTTATTTTCGTGGATACCAATTTTTCGTGGAGAAAGGAACTAATACATTTTTATGAATATTTGATTTCATGGTTTTGCTGAAATCTGCATGCAAGCCTGTAGAAAGTTTTTACTTTGTACAACATTTGAATTCATGCCTTACCTTAACCCACAAAATCCATGAATATAGATATTCCACAAATAATAACAATTCCACAGTACAATAAAATAGTTACTCTTTTTAGTTAAAGAATTTGATAAAAGGTTTGTAAAGCATACCACTTCATTTTTGGGGGGTAAAATTATTTCACAAATGTCCACAAAAGCTTGGTTTTTATATTATTCTTTTATATATTTTAGCGGTTGGTTCAGCCGAAGGATTAGCGTACATGCATGACAATGATAAACCATACTTGTATTACACAAGTTACACAAACTCGTCTATTTGTCGTGTACTATTAAATAGCGACGGAACCAAGGCAGGCCCTGTACAGCCTGTGGTACAACTGGGAGCTAGTGATCACCCCAGGGCCATTGTACTGGATGAGTGCACAAGGTAGGTATTATAATGTAGCTCATATTGTACAGAAAGATATACAAATGGGTGATCACCCCAGGGTCATTGTACTAGACAAGTGCACAAAGAAGGCATTATAATAGCTCATATTGTACCGTGCAAGTTACAAAATTTCACAGTCAGAATCACTTATTAAAATCATGAAAACTAACATTTAAAGATTGAAAAATCAGTAAACGAGAAGCTTTATCCAAATAATAAGTAGTATATTTTATAAACTACTCAAAGAAAGTTTTCCCATACTTCCATCTCATTAGAAAATGATCAAAATTTTTACATAATGATCAGAATTTTGTTTTAAATGAATTTGAATTGGTTATAAGAAAACTAAACAATTATGATAAAATTTGGAGGTAAAAATAGCGCCCTTAAATTTTTTTTTGCCAGGAAAATGTCAGTTGATTTTCATATGTAATCTGTTATGTCATCATATTCACCACATAGTTAAATTAAGTGGGTTGTATGCATTTTCTAACATGGACCATGTGCAAAAATTGTTTAAAATTGTGATCTTCAATTTTAACCACTTCCCTCAAAGTTTGCAAACAGTGTAGTTGTCTAAAATTTGACCAACATAACTGTTGTATTATTGAATACACAAATGGTTGAAGATTAAGAAAACACAAGTTTGAAAGATAAATTGAGATTTTGTTTTACTTTATTTTCAGTCAGAAGTTGTGTCGCTAAACCTTTTTTATGCCCCACCTTCGATAGTAGAGGGGCATTATGTTTTCTGGTCTGTGCATCCGTTCGATCATTCGTTCGTCTGTCCATTCGTCCGTTTGTTCGTCCGTTCGTCTGTCCCGCTTCAGGTTAAAGTTTTTGGTCAAGGTAGTTTTTGATGAAGTTGAAGTCCAATCAATTTGAAACTTGGTACACATGTTCCCTATGATATGAACACATTCTTGTTTTAGTAGTATAGTAGTTAAGCATTGAATGTATTACAGGAGGATGTTTTGGACAAATTGGAATGACTTGTCACCAAGGATACAGAGGTCAACAATGGATGGTTGGGATGTGGTATCAATAATAACAGATGATATCCGAACACCAAATGGTTTGGCCATAGACCACAAAGCACAGCGCCTGTACTGGTCTGATGCAAGATTAGATAAAATTGAGAGATCTGATTTTGATGGAAAAAATCGTGAGGTCAGTTAAAAGGCGGTAATTTAAAAATATGTTTTTACACATGAAAGTTTTACATGTATACAAAAGGAATTTTAAAGCTAGATGAGCCTCACTGTCACAGAGATGACATCCAGAATCCTGTACAAAATGGTTGTGACTATAATGACTATGTGGTATGGGTTTTGCTCATTGTTGAAGGCCGTACAGTGACCTACAGTTATTAACTTCTATGTCATACAGTCTCTGGTGGAGAGTTGTCTCAATTGCAATCATACCACATCTTCTTATTTTTATATAACTATAATGCCATGCAAAGTAACTAAAAATTCCAAGAGTTCTAGTACAAACGAATACCAATTTCAATATTGTGAATTAGTTTTGCATTTGGTAAATAGTCCTGTCACTTGCTCCATATCAAAGATGGATATTTGTATAAGATAATTCTTCATGTTAATTAATTAATCTACAGCATTCAGAAAAGAACCCCCCCCCCCCCCCCCCCCCCCCAAATTCCCTTGAACTGACAGTGTAAATGCATATTGGAATCTAGACCAAATTCAGAACAGATGCAGAACAGCATCTGACATACTCTGTTTGGAATGCAGTCCAGAAACCAGTGAATCCAGTTGGTTACTAGTAAAACAAACACATGTTTGGGAAAAGAACCACAGTTTAATGCTTAGTTTTTCATTTTAATAAAACCACAAACAACAGTACAGTTTTCAAACAATACACAAATTAATTAATGAACAATCTGTGGTATTCCAAACATCCCAAACATGTAAAGAGGACCCAGTAGGGGTAGGTCCATATAAGACTTGAGTGCTCAAGCAAAGTAGTTTAACACCCCCACACATGTTCAAATTCCAGAACCTCGTCAGCTGCTGTTTATAATAGCATATTGATATTTTTCTGTTTCCAAAACTCAGAACCCTTTACAAATTTTTCATATCAAAATGCACAGCTTGAAATGTTTTAATTTGATATACTTAGAAATAATATTTTTAAAGCTTGTATGCTTATATTTGTTTATTACAGGTAATAATTACCACACTCCCCCAGCATTCATTTGGTCTGACCATCTATGGAGATTTTATATATTGGACTGATTGGATGTTAAGAGCTGTTGTCAAAGTGAATAAATATGATGGAAATATTCATTCTATGCTTCGAGACAAGCTAGACAGACAGCCTATGGGACTTGCTGTCTATGCTAAAGATGCTGAAGATTGTAAGTAAAAAGACAGTGATTGTTTTTCACATGGGCATCATCAGCCCAGTGGTCAGCACTTTGTGTTGAAATGAAATATTGTGGATTCATTTATTTTCGTGGATTGAGGAAAAATTGTATTTTAATGGATATTTGATTTCGTGGTTAAGCCAAAGTCTCCATACAGACCTATAGAAATTTTTTTACTCTGATGGACATTTAAATTCATGCTTTACCTATACCCATGATTGAATTAAAATTGGTATCCCACGAATAATAATGAATCCACAGTATCATTGATATGGTAATTTTCATTAAATTTTGTGTAAATAAAATCTTGAATTATATATGAAAGACTAAGGTTTTTCTATCCCCAGGCATAGATGGCCTAAGTCATATTGGACACAACTTTTCTGAATTAACGGTTTGCAATCCCCTTTCAGCTTTATGTTTTACTTGGCCTTCTTGGTAGGGTAACATGTCTTCAGCTTTATGTTTTATTTGGCCTTCTTGGTAGGGTGACATGTCTTCCTGCTGACTGCTACCTTGTCAACTAGCATGTAAAAAATTTGGCACAGCTTGTCTGTCTAGTACAAAGCAGGGTTAGTATTCATATTACATTAACATTTTTATGCAACCGCATTGCGGTTGTATATTGGTATGATGTTGGCGTCGTCGTCGTCGTCCGAAGACACATTGGTTTTCGCACAATAACTTTAGTTTAAGTGATTGGATCTCTATGAAATTTTACCATAAGGTTCAATACCACAAAAGGAAAGTGGGGATTGATTTTGGTGGTTATGGTACCAACAGTTAAGGAATTAGGGGCCAAAAAGGGGCCAAAAATAAGCATTTTTGTAACTTGCAAGGTACCATACCACAAAGGGCAGGCTATGATTGAGTTTGGGGTGATGAATTGTAAGGGGGTTCAAAAAATGGGGGGGGGGGGGGGGGGGGGGTTTCCTTTTTTTCCTTTTTTTTTTCTTTAAAATTTCCATTTTAAGTTGGTTATTTTTGATTTATATATAAAAGAAAATAATAATGATATGGTTTGATTTCATCAAAAATTGAAATATTGGGGTTCTTTGATATGCTGAATCTAACTGTTTATTTAGATTCTTAATTTTTGATCCCGTTTTCAAATTGGTCTACATTAAGGTCCAAAGGGTCCAAAATTAAACTAAATTTGATTTTAACAAAAATTGAATTCTTGGGGTTCTTTGATATGCTGAATCTTATCGTATATGTATTTAGATTTTGGATATTGGACCATAATAGGTAAATTGAAAATTTTTAAGTTCTTAGACCACATTCATTCTGTGTCAGAAACCTATGCTGTGTCAAATATTTAATCACAATCCAAATTCAGAGCTGTATCAAGCTTGAATGTTGTGTCCATACTTGCCCCAACTGTTCAGGGTTCGACCTCTGTGGTTGCATCAAGCTGCGCCCAGCGGAGCATTTTATCTGATCCGGAATATGCATTTAATTTGACGCTGGGAAGTTAAATAGCCATCCATCATCATCTTACAGGTTGAGAGGTCACAATTCTTATGCTCATAATATTGTTCATCAATTTACATGAATTTACGAGTATCACCTACTTCATTATGGGAGTACTTGAGTACTATCTAGTCAAAATTAACATCCTAAATACGTATGATATATGTTTTTCAGGTTCACAAAATCCATGTTATGAAAATGCTTTTGGTTGTTCTGATCTGTGTCATGTGAAAGAAACTGGACAAGCATACTGTACCTGCAGTGATGATAAATATGTTCTGCTGAATGATTCAAAGACATGTGTATCTAAAGACGCCACATGTTCAAAGACAGATTTTGTGTGCCACGACAAACAAAAGTGTATACCCATGGTTGAGGTGTGTGACAATGTTACCAACTGTTTGGATGGTAGTGATGAATTTCCAAATGTCTGCAGTAAGTTCATCTATATTTTCCTGCATAAAGGTTTTTCTAAACATATTGGTGTGCTCAGTGGGTGTCCAATGGGGAGGGGATGTAGATGGCGTACGCCCCCTTTGATCAGCAAATTTTTTTTTTTATGTTTCTCGCAATTTATATGATTCTTTAATAAATCATCCTAAAATGTTTACACCTCACAAAGTTTAACAGTATATATATTCAGTTTTCTGGATTATGCTTCCCTTTCAAAAATCCTGGATCCACCCCTGGTGCTGATTCAAAGAGAGGCTCAGGACCATTCAAGAGTGTAGGAGGCATTGAGAATTTACATTATTTTAAGGAGGGTAACTTAATACAAGATAAAACAAGGGAAGTAACCCGAATTTTTTTTATTTAAAGTGTTTTTAAATACACAAAGCTTTTATTACATAACGGCAGTTAGCCAGAGGTAAAAATCGTTAATTAATTAAGTATGTTTGACACCCAAGCTGTCCAGTGAAGCCATATACTTATACAAGTTCTTTGATTTACAGGTAAAAATTACCTTCATCAGTGACAAAAAAACGTAATTATTGTTGACATCGATGGCAATAAAAAATAGAGACTGACAAATTTTTTGGGTTGAAATTTTGAAAAAAACGGAAGATTTAAATTATTAACAGGAAGGGATGGAAGAGGGCTTAAAAATCAGGAGATTTTGACTCCCGCCGGAAAAATCACATGTCTGTTAACAGGAAGGGATGGAAGAGGGCTTAAAAAGCAGGAGATTTTGACTCCCGCTGGAAAAATCACATGTCTGTTAACAGGAAGGGATGGAAGACGGCTTAAAAAGCAGGGGATTTTGACTCCTGCCGGAAAAATCACATGTCTATTTTTGGTGAAAAAATACTCTAAAGTATGATGGTTGTGGGTAAAATTTTAAAGTTCCCGTCCACCCTCTTGACATATATTTTAATGGAAGAGCTTTACATGATATTGTATGAGGGTCTAGATGAGATTTACAGAATAGAGAAAAATGGGCCAAACTACAGAAAAATGGCAAAAAAAAATAAGGAATAGAAAAAATTAGGGCAAATAGATAAAGAATAGAGAATTGTGGGTAAAAAGTATAAAGAATAGAGAGTAATGGGGAAAAATTATAAAGAATAGAGAAAAATGACCTAAAAAATGAATGAATTCAGAAATGAAGACCCCTATCCAGATCCTCTTGTTTTGCTATACTACTATTCAGAAATGTAATGCATGCATTTATTATTGTGAATCACTGATTACTGGTAAAAATGCAGGATCTAATTAATGCGATTGCGAAATTTTGTTGACAAAATCATCAATGAAATTATGAATGCAAGTTTTTGTTATTGTGAACCATATACTGTCACATTTACGCATTAATAAAAACATTGCAATAATTTCTGAATTTGTGAAATGTGAATAAAATGTGACTCAAATGAACATTTTAGCATAGTCTCAGTTCATATTGATGTCTCCTGTAAAGTTCCGAAAGTCTGACATTTTCTTTTTTCCTGAAAGAAATGCTTAAGCAATTTGGGTTTAAAGAAAGGAAACTAGATTCATGAATATAGATTTATTAAATTACTGTAAAATCAGAAAGTACCATTTGCATTTATTTATTGCGATTTTGGAATAATGGCCAAAAATGAAAGATTAATTATTGCGATTTCACGAAAAATCTGCATACAGATATATGCATCAAATATCATAATACAAGTTCTTTTATTGCAATACTCACCTAGTCGCATTATTAGTATTAATAAAAACCTTGCAATAATTTCAGAATTCACAATATTTAACTTCTGTTTCAAAAGAGTGCTTAAAAAGCATTTAGGAAACTGCCTTTTACAAAAGCCTTGCTGATTAATAAGTTATCGTTATGATATATGATTTTAGGAAAAATGCCCTGCCCAGGAGGAACATTCAAATGTGACAATCACAAATGTTTGGGACTCAAGCTCAGATGCAATGGTATTAATGAATGTGGTGATTACTCCGATGAGTTCAACTGTACATGTGACACGGAGACGGAGTTCATGTGCAATGATAGAGCTTGTATTCAGAAGTCATTTGTCTGCGACAGAGATAAAGATTGTGTTGATCACTCTGATGAAATTAATTGTAGTAAGTTTATCTCCTTTTCTCTAAGTTTTACCCGATTTATCCTTTTCCTGACCTGTTGATTATTTTTATTTAATCAACGTGTGGTTTGTTTGATGTCAAGTCTTCATTGGTCAAAATTTCGATTATGAAGTCAAAAATTCTTGCTTTCCTCTGAATTTCCTATTGTGACGTCATGAAAAAAGGCGACCTTGCCTGATGACGTCACATAGAAAGAACACATCTTTTTGCAGATCATTTAAAAAAAAAGAATTGAGTTTGTCTGCATATTGTCTAAAAATCATTAGAGAAATAGATTCCACCACCAAATCTTGTGCAATACGATATTTATTCACTTTCGACAGTTAAAAAAAAAGGTAAGCCTCACGTTTTAAATTTGAAAATTTAAGTGTCTCGAGTTGATAAATATCATATCACACTCGATGCAGTGGTAGAATTATAGATTATCCTTGATCATCTCAACGAGATTGATTTTTATCGCTTGAGCCGGTACGGCGAAAGTGAGAAAAGCAATCGAGTTGAGATGACTAATGATAATCTGTTTATCGCTATTTTACCTATGACGACGTTGTCAATTTCATGTCAATTTCATTAGCAACGCCACGTGCCCCCTTAGTTTCTAGTGATAATTTTTCATATCACTCGACTCCGCTGAGAAAGGAAATTATCAGTCAGCAAGATCAAAGGAAAATTTCGTAAAATAGTGATACTTTATATTTATACTGTTTAATTGTATTGATGATTTGTTTTCGTTGCTTGATTATGCTTATTTATCTCGCTTGCATGATTATGTGCATTTATAGATAAATATATGTGAATGCCAAAAAAAAAAAAAAATTTTTTATCTCCCTTAGATATGATCACTTAAAAGAAGAAAGATTTGGTTCTTAAGACAGCATTGAATTTGTATACATGTGACAAGCATGAGAACAACACATTGATTATTTTCAACAAATACACTTAGCTATTTATTAATAGAATTAATATTTTTCCACTGAAAAATCAATACATTTTTTCCACTGAAAAATCAATATATTTTTTCCACTGAAAAATCAATACATTTTTTTCCACTGAAAAATCAATACATTTTTTCCACTGAAAAATCAGTACATTTATTCTGAATAATCAAAACATTTTTACTGAGCAAAAAAAGTTAGCAACAAATATTTATAATTTCATTTTTCAAAAAAATATAAACTTTTAAACAAAACAATAAATTAATTATTGTATCAAAGAAAATAAATCATAAGGTTCAAATTTTACTAGTACTCTGGCTACCTCCACCAATCAAAACTGGCCACCATGATTTAGTCATTATTTCAGGCCTTTCTGTCATAAAACTTTACTCAGTACTTGGAATACAAAATTTGTGCTCGAAACATCAAATCCAGTATTTTGATAAGTTCGTTGATTTCTGAGTATGTTAATTGTACTGCACGACCTGAAATTGGTGTTACAGACCAAAAATCAATCAATCAATTATATTTGAATATTATTTCTTTGATTTCAGATTTGACATGTGACATTGATTCATTTGGTGACACAAAGGAAACTGTGATACCATGTAATACAACATCTCAGTGTATTTTACAAAGTTGGATCTGTGATGGCACGATTGACTGTTGGGACAGTAATGATGAGAAAAACTGTCCTGCAAGTGAAGGTAGGTATACGTTATGGTCTTATAGCAGATAACTGTCCTAGTAAAAGTGAAAGTATGTATACATAATGGTTTAATGGAGGAAAACTGTCTTAGTATTAAAAGGTGAAAGTAGGTATACATAATGGTTTAATGGAGCAAAAGTGTCCTAGTAAAATTGAAAGTATGTATACATAATTGTTTAATGGAGGAAAAATGTCTTAGTAAAGGTGAAAGTAGGTATACATAATGAGCAATAGAGAGAATAGACGTCTCTAAACACAATAATAGCTTTTAAGGAGCTTAAGAAAGTTAAAGCCATATTAATTATGTCATGTGTATCAGCGTAAACCTCTAAACACAATAGCTTCAAAGGAGCTTTAGTAAGTTAAAGCCATATTAAGTATGTCATGTGTATCAGCTGAAAAAAAATTATGACAAATAAAATGTATAAGTAATGTGAAAAAAACATAATTAACAGCCCCTGTTGATGATTCATTGCCTGACCGATTTCAATCCATCATTGACCTTCTTGAGAGGCAGAATGATGGATTTATTGACTGATTGTTGGTTACTTAATGTCCAGTAGTATGATCGATTGAAAGTGGCACTCTATTTTATATAGTGTCTTAAAGTTATTCATTTACGGATAATTATCTGTTATCCATAACCAGATAGGTTGGTATACATAATGGTCTTATGGGGGATAAGGGTGCTTGTGAAAGTAGATCTAATAGAGGAAAATGTCCTAATAAAAGTGAAACCTGTATTAGGCAGTCACTCTTGGGAAGTATAAAAAGTGACAGTTCAAGAAAGGTGACCCTTTAAATGAGGTTCCGAATTATTCCTATTCTGACATCGCACACGGCCTTGATCTGGGCAAAGTGTTTTAGTGTTTTGAATCGGTAGAGTTATCTTTCTTGAGGCAGTGAAATAAAAAATGGCAGTTTCCAGCGCTGTAAAATTGAAGAATACATTCGAAATATGTTTACATTCGTGGCGAAATAGGTGGATGATACAGCTTTTAATGGAAACGGAAAGGTGTGGATAATGTGGGAATTCACAAGTTCACCTCCCATTGCGCCATCTCCGTTGCAAATGGGTTCTGATTTTCATTTTGACTTTGATACTGATTGCATATATTTTTCACCCCCAGTTTTTGGTGGAGTTTGTGTTGCTCAGTCTTTTGTTTACTATGTTGTGTTTTGTTTACTGTTGTTTGTCTTTTGATGATTTTTATACGCCCGTCAAATTTTTGACGGGACGTATTATGTTATACAAATGTCTGGCGTCCGTCTGTCTGTCTGTCCGTCTGTCTGTCCTTCTGTCTGTCCGTCTGTCTGTCTGTTCGTCTGTCTGTCCGGCGTAAACATGTCGCACCGTAACTTGAGAATGACTTATCCAAATTTCATGAAACTTAACATAGTTGTTTCTTATGATGGTCAAATGATCTATATACTTTTTGGTGAAAATAAGATTAAAACTTTTTGAGTTACAGGACTTAGTAACTAAAACAGGTGTGTGTTTTTTTTCACATGTCGCGCCGTATCTCAAAAACAATTTATGATTATTGCTTAAAACTTTACACACTTCTTAGTTATATTAATCTCAAGATCTGTATACTTTTTAATGATGATTCAAAATTTTATTTTAGAGATATTAAGTATTTTGTTAAAAAAGGGGGAGGGGTTTTTCACATTACGCGCCGTATCTCAAAAACAGTTTATGATTATTGCTTAAAACTTTACACACTTCTTAGTTATATTAACCTTAAGATCTGTATACTTTTTGGTGATGATTCAAAATTTTATTTTTGAGTTATTGAGTATTTTGTAAAAAAAGGGGGAGGGGTTTTTCACATGTCGCGCCGTATCTCTAAAACAATTTATGATTATTGCTTCAAATTTTACACACTTCTTAGTTATATTAATCTTAAGATCTGTATACTTTTTAGTTTTGATTCAAAATTTTATTTTTTGGATATTGATTTTTTTTTTTTTTAAAAGGGGGGTTTTCACATGTCGCGCCGTATCTCAAAAACGATTTATGATTATTGCTTAAAATTTTACACACTTCTTAGTTATATTAATCTAATGATCTGTATACTTTTTGGTTTTGATTCAAAATTTTATTTTAGAGATATTGAGTTTTTTGTAAAAAAAAAAGGGGGTTTTCGCATGTCACGGCGTATGTCAGAAACTATTTATGCTTATTGCATAAAAATTCACACACAAGACGACGGGCGTATCATGCGCTCATGGCGCAGCTGTTTATTCTTTTTTATGCCCCACCTACGATAGTAGTAGGGGCATTATGTTTTCTGGTCTGTGCGTCCGTTCGTTCGTCTGTCCCGCTTCAGGTTAAAGTTTTTGGTCAAGGTAGTTTTTGATGAAGTTAAAGTCCAATCAACTTAAAACTTAGTACACTTGTTCCCTATGATATGAACTTTCTAATTTTAATGCCAAATTAGAGTTTTGACCCCAATTTCACAGTCCACTGAACATAGAAAATGATAGTGTGAGTGGGGCCTGTGTGTACTATGGACACATTCTTGTTTGTCATGGCATTGTCAGATTTTTTAGTTTTGACTAATGAGCTTAAATGTCCCTTTGGTATTATTCACCTCTCTTTTTCAGATTTTTTTTTTTTGGCTACCATTTGCATGGACATGTTTTACAACATTACCAGTTGTCAGTTGTGACTATAATATAGCCCTTTATTATCAAGAAATAAACAGTAATTTCAATATTTTTATATTGTAGATTGTCCAGCTGGTAAATTCCGTTGTCACAGTGGTAGTTGTATACCAAATAGTTGGATGTGTGACACAGACAACGACTGTGGAGATAACTCTGATGAAAAAGATTGTAGTAAGTTATTTCCCTTGACAAAGTTCTCTCTATCTTTGAAGTATTAAAAGGAGATAACTCTGATGAAAAAAATTGTAATAAGTTATTTCCTTTCTTAAAGCTCAGTATTTAAAGGAGATAACTCTGATGAGAAAAATTGTAGTAAGTTATCTCCCTTGTTAAAGTTCTCTCTCTCTTTGAGGAAGTACACCACTAATTCATGGCCCCATTGCTTTCTATGTTAAATTCCTCAATTTCAAGCAGACACAGCTCTTTTGTTTCAAGTTCAAATAAAGTGACAATCATTGCATGTCAAAGCAACACTTTATGGTGTCTTGTACTGGAAAAATCAACATACCTTTAATGGCATATAAGAAAGAACTGGTTCCCGGAACTTCGGATGTACCAAAACAGGTACTTCAGATCTGACATACAGGCAAAAAGTACCCTCTTTATAAAATTTGGTGCAGTTTTTTAATATTCAAAATTATAAGTCAAAAAGTGTTCTACAATGATCACCAGTCATTCAGCTTTCATTTGATACCAACAATACCTAAATATTCTACATATTTTGAAAGTTACACTCATGCGTAGGAACTATTTTGTGTTAAATATGTACCACTTTCTGGTATGTGCTTTCTGGCCGGGCCGAATTAGTGGTGTTACACCTATAACAGAGCCAAACTTGCTATACTGACTTCAGCATCACTTTATTTCATTCTATGATCTATTTCAAGCAATAAAAAGCACATAAAGCTTAAGTCCAAATACTATTTTACTAATTTTAAGCTCAAATTGGACTGGTAGTAACATATAGGTTATTCAAAGAAAACTGCATATGGATATTATAAATGGCCAATATACTTATTTTATTCTCAATATCATTGTTGTATTTAATAATTTCTGTTAGGAAAACAATGTGCTTACCAATAGTCATATTTCACCAGAGTTTGTTCATTTAATAAAAATATATTAGACCAAACCTAAGACATAATTGAGAAAATTGTCCCCCCTTTTTTCTTCAAATTGGAAAAGGGACATTTTTGGTATAAACCATACTTCTGTGGTACAACATAGATTATAAAGAGCAATTTATATATTTTTCAGCTGGATAACTTGCTAAACTGGTTCAAAATTGCATGTACAGTGAGATTTTGGAATTCTTATATGAGTATATACCAATTGCCTAGATTGTAAAAGGCTATCATAAGAAAACCAATAAAACTTGAAAAATCATAGGATTATTTGACCAAGAGCTATTTTTTTACCATAAACAAGTCATTATATACATGTTTTATTGATTGCAATCCCAAATAATGCAAAAAAAAGAATTTGGAGTCAAGTCTTAACTGCATGCATGTTGTGTAACCATAAAAGGCTAAAATACCTGATTATGTCAATTTAAGAGCTGAAATTTCCCATAAACAGAATGGTTCATCCAAAAAAGATGATTAAACATGTTTACTTACATCAAATATGACTTATTTTCATTGGAATAGGTACAACTTCTAAAAATTGAATTTCTGATGATTCTCTGTAATAGGAAGTACACCACTAATTCATGGCCCCATTGCAAAAAGTACCCTCTTTATAGAATTTGGTGCAGTTTTTTAATATTCAAAATTATAAGTCAAAAAGTGTTCTACAATGATCACCAGTCATTCAGCTTTCATTTGATACCAACAATACCTAAATATTCTACATATTTTGAAAGTTACACTCATGCGTAGGAACCATTTTGTGTTAAATATGTACTACTTTCTGGTATGTGCTTTCTGGCCGGGCCGAATTAGTGGTGTTACACCTATAAAGTATTAAAAGGAGATAACTCTGATGAGAAAAATTGTAGTAAGTTATTTCCCTTGTTTAAGTCTTCTCTTTCTTTGAAGATAAAAAAAGAAGAAAAAATAATTGAGATTTGAAAATAGGTCCAAGGACACAGTTATCGTCCTTTGGTTTTCGTTGTCTACAAATATAGTCCCTAGTGTGAACAGTGTATAACTTGCATTTTTTTTTTATACACTTTCCCAATTTATTTCTTGATATTTTATGCATGAAATATTGAGTAAGGGGATGAAATTACATGTTAAAAAAATTTGGGTGCTGAATCTTTATGTTAAGTAGTGATTTGGTCCAGTTAAAAAAGGTCAAAAATTAGAATGTCTGAAGCTGTCAAACTGAATTTTAGCCCCCCTTAACACAGAATTGTCAATATTTTGAGTTAGAGCTGGTAGAAGTTTCTATAATTTTGACATTATTTGTATCAATAGTAGTACACTACACTGTAAAAATCTTTTTGAGATAGAGCAGGTGCGATTTTTTTAATTTGAATTTATTTTCTAAAAGAAATGCACTACGAAATAACTGTGTTCTCGGGCCAATAGAGAAAAGAAAATGTTTTTGAGTGGTTTTCATATAGTATTTGCCAATTTGACTTTAGCATAGACTGTCTTCACGATAAACTTTTAATCTACAGTCCCGAAGCTCAATATTTGGAAAATTTTAGTTGAATTCTGTTGGCCTGTATAGAAGATTTTAACAGGCCTGAAAGCAATTTTACAAGCCTTGGCTGCTGGGCCTGTGGTTAAGCATGAAGACTGTGTCGAACTAAGGTCTGAAAGTTTCTTTTTATATTATCTGAAGTAAGGACAATGAAAATATTTTCATTGCAATGGGGTTCAATAGTCACTAAGAAAATTTAATTTCATATAATGTTATCATTGCTTTTCATTATTTTATTAACAGGATTGAACTGGAAATCATTAGGTTCAATGTACGTCCCTAAATTGGTTTCTTTTCTCTAACTTTAGTTTGCCTCAATCAAATGTTTTGAAAGTTGCACACAATGCTCATTACGACCAAACACAGATCAAGCATGACTTTGGGTGGCATCACTTTCACCATTCTCGAGTTATGTCTATAAATGGAAAAATTGTAATAAATATCTTTAAATTTCAGAAAAATAAGAAAACAAAGTCAATAGGTTTGAATTAATACATTCATTCTTGCATATTTCATATTTAGATTTAAATGGTTGACTGATGTTTGCTGAACACTCCTCAGTCAAAAGGGCTTTATGGCAGCAGCAGCAGCTGTCTTAAAAGTAGCCTATCCACTTCTTGAAATTGTAAATGATGTCATTCTTAGATGTAGACATATGCTTGCTTAACCTCCAGTGGTAAATATACCATGAATATTCAGGACAATTATGGATGAAAGTGCATAAAAAGACATTGTTATGCCCCTGCCCCGGCAGAGGGGTTATTAAGTTATACCCTTGTCTGTCAGTACATCCCTCCCAAAATTAGTTTCTATTTTCTTATTTTAATTTCCCTCAATCAAATGTTATGAAACTTATACATAATGCTTATTACCACCAAACACAGATCAAGTTAGAATATGGGTGGTGTCACTTTTGTTGTTTTAGAATTTTATCCCTTTATAATGGAAAATCTGGCAAATTTTCAGTTTCCGCACCGACTTTACTTAGCCACAACGAAATGTTCTGAAATTTATACACAATGCTTATTACCGCCAAACACAGACCAAGTTTGAATATGGGTGGCGTCAATTTTGCCGTTATCCGGTTATGTCCCGTTATAAATGGGAAAAATTGGCAAATTTGCAGTTTCTGCACTCTAACTTTACTTTGCCACAACAAAATTGAATTAGTAGATTGACACATTCTACTTTTTTATTTGATTTATATTTTTTTTCAGATGTAACCTGTGGGGACTTGTTTGCCTGTACTGATGGAACATGCCTCCCTAAATCTTGGGAGTGTGATGGACATCCAGATTGTCCAGATAAAAGTGATGAAACTAATGGATGTCGTGAGTTATCTTCTCTTTGTTATTCATTTCTCCTGTTTTCAAAGAACTTACAATATATACAAACATACAATTGGATGAGAAGATGTAGGCAATCTTCCTTCACCAGTTATTTAAATGGAATAGCAGTAATGTAAAGCATGGAGGGAATCCAAGAAACTTAAAAAAAACCCAATTTGGTAATGCTTTGATTCCCTCCAACCAAAGATTGGGATAAGTAGAAAACACTTAATGCAGTTCTGTCAAAGTACTTGTAATTCATGTATATCAGTTTTCACTTTTTGTGACATTTAAGTTATTTTTTTCGGTCTAAGAATTCCTTTTTCCAAATTTTGCACTGACAGGTTAATTGAAAATGTGCTTAAATCTTAGTACTGTAAATTCAGAAATTATTACAATAATTTTATAAAGGCAAAAATCGGTACAGTAATAAAAACTTGCATAATTTCAGTAGTGAGTTTCCATCATAAAATGTTTGCAATGGCATTAATTAGATTTCACATTTTTGCCAGTGATCAGGGATTTGCAATAATAAATGCACACATTAATTTATGAATTTATAGTCCTTGATCAATGAAATATTTTTCTCCAAATCTTACATCCCTTTGTGATAATATGGGAACTAGATTGAAAAATGGATATATTAATCATTTCTTTTACAGTTACACCAAACAGAACATGTAAAACAGATGAATATAGATGCCACAATGGTCGCTGCATATCTAATTCTTGGACATGTGATGGGGATTCTGACTGTCCTGATGGGGAGGATGAAAAAGCTAATTGTTGTAAGTTTATATGAAACTAGTGTTATCTCCCTTAATGGTTATTTTATTGTCCTGTTGTCAATGTTAAGAATTTTTTGTGGATAAATCTGAAACATGAGTTAGCTCCCCTGTACATTCTTTGCTTTTCTTTGGTGTGTATTTCTTGAGATCTTGAATGTTTGAATAAAAATTTGACTATATGTATATATTTCTACTTTCCTAAAAAACATTTGAAATTTTATAGACCTTTTAATGAAATAACAACCTCAGACCTTTTCTTTATTACAATGTAGAAATATATTATGATATGACAGTACGCTAAACTTTTGGTGTACCAGAAGTGCTCTCTTCTGAAGAATAAATTTAATGAACATTATTACCTTGTAAAAAATTAGTTAGTTTAAACAGTATTTATTAATGAAAAATTACAACAATAAGGTATATGGGATTCAGAAACAAGTTTGAAAAAACTTTTATAAATCCCCCCCCCCCCCCCAAAAAAAAATAACATCTATTTAACAAACAATATGACGTGCCAACAGTATATTCAGTTTAAGGTAGCATATAATAAATTTGAATTAATACCAAAAAACAAAACAAAATAAACTAACAAATAAAAAAAACCCAACGAAACAGTAAACTTTTACTTTCTTTTTTCTAAAAATTAGTTGCTTCCCATTGTTTGACTTTCTTGTAGACAAATTTGTGCTAGCATTGATTGATTTTTTTATTTTGAAAATGAGCTGCCTTTCAATGACATTATTGTTCCAATGGTACTTAATGTGGGAAAGTAAAATGCAATATACCATTATTATCAGTTTCTACTGTAAACTGATCACATTTGTTTTACTGTAAATTTAAAATTTATTGCGATGTTTTTATTGTTACGAAATATCTTGTGATATCACACGTCCCTTTGATTACATTGAAAAGATTAAAAATACAAATTAAAATCATATTTTCTGAACAATCTCAAAAATTTTAAATAAGTATTTAGATTTTGATTTAAACAATTTGAAAGATACTTTTTTCCAACATTTTAAACCATAAGGTTCTTTTTTAAAGAAAATAAGAAAAAATTAAAATAAAAGGAATCTGTCAGTCCATCCATCCGTCCCATGAATATTTTTCATTGCACCTTTCTCAGGAACTAGATTACAAGGATTTTTGAAATTTGGTTTCAGGGTTTATATGAGTCAGCTATACCGTGTGATGCGTTTTCAGACTCATCACTCAATAACTTCCTGTTTACCTTATACTTTTAGCGTGGCGGGGGTATCATTAGTGAGTAGTAGCTCACAGATTCACTTGTTTATGCTATTTTAATAAATTATATGTCTCTGTTTTCACTATTCCATGGTTACATTTAATCTCCTAAGAAGCAGGAAGACTCCATGGTTGGAAGTCATTAATTTTTTTAGAAAACCCTGATCATTTTTTTGTTCCATCTTGTTACAATTTTCTGCTCTCATTTTACGATTCACACTGAAGTACTAAATTGGGTGTGATAACATTATGTTAGAACTGTGTTTCTTTTAATTTCAGCATCTGTTTCATGTGAAGCAAAAGAATTCCGATGTAACAACAACAATTGTATAAGGGATATATTTTTCTGTGACCATGACGACGACTGCGGAGATAATAGTGATGAACCTGCAGCTTGTCGTAAGTAGTTTCTATGACAATTAATCTGTTTATTTTTTTTTATCCCCCAGCCGGGGTGGGGGGGGGGGGGGGGGGGAATTCAGGGTTACACTTGTCCATCTGCCATCTGTCTGTATGTATGCATGTCCCAACATTAGTTTCCATTCTCTAACTTTAGTTTGCCTCAACCAAATGTTATGAAACTTATATACAATGCTTATTATCACAAAACAAGTTCGAATTTGCGGGGGCATCATATGTGTTTCATGGACACATTCTCCATTTATTTTTTAAATAAGAATATGTGATATGATTGCCATTGAGACAACTATCTACCAGAGTCCAAATATCACGGATGTAAGCAGCTATAGGTTACAGTACAACAATGAGCAAAACCCATACCATATAGTCATGATAGTCAGCTATAAAAGTCCTTAAACATGACAAAATGTGAAATGATTCAAACAAGAAAACCAACAGTCTGAATGGGATATTCCTAAATGGGAGGAGCTAAACTGCACCCAGGTTTATGTACAAGCAAACAAAGGAAGCTAAATGCTGCAAATGGTCACTAATTTACCAGACATGCATATTTGTATTGGACCTGATGTAATTAAACCTTCTGCTAAGAACATGTGATAAACTTTAAATCTAGCTGATTGAGATATGATAATAAATTTGTCTTCTCAATAGTAAAGAAAACACACATCTTGGGAATATCTTAAAATAATGACTACTGAGTGTAATGAATATCAAACTATATATAAACATACCTTGAATAACATATAAGTGCCTATAACAAAAACGAAATATGACAGACTGGAACCAATGATTTCTCTTGAACTGTAAAAAAGGTTATAAGAGTCAATTTTTTCATCTATACTGTTTTGTGGTTATTGAAATATTATATTTAAACCTGTTGAGACAGTTAAATAAAAAAAAAAAAAAAAACTGTGAAAGGATTTTAGGATAAAATAAAATTGAGAATGGAAATGGGGAATGTGTCAAAGAGACAACAACCCGACCAAAGAGCAGAAAACAGCCCAAGGCCACCAATGGGTCTTCAACACAGCACGAAAATCCCACACCCGGAGGTGGGCTTCAGCTGGCCCCTTAACAAAAATGTGTACTAGTTCAGTGAAAATGGACGACACACTAAACTCCGAAACATATAAATGAAAAAAAACTAAAAAAAACATACAAGACTAACAAAGGCCAGAGGCTCCTGACTTGGGACAGGTGCAAAAATGCGGCGGGGTTGAACATGTTTTGTGACACATTTCTAAACCACCCAACATTTAAATTCACCTGTATCCACAAAATCCACTAAAAATGGTACCCAACGAAATTTAATGAATCCACAATAATCAATCCTACAAATTTATTTCAGCGTATAATAAGTGTAACACTACTGACGTTTTTGACTGTGGAGACAACACCTGCATCGACAAGAAACTCCGCTGCAATGGATACCCGGATTGTTCAAATCATGAGGATGAGGAGAATTGTCCGACAGTAGAACCAAAAACGTGTGAAGAAGGACAGTTCCTTTGCAAGAATGGTGACTGTATCCATGACGACCTTGTTTGTAATGGGAACAATGACTGTGGTGATTCGTCAGATGAATCAGAACAGTGTTGTATGTATATAGATTTTACTCCAGGAATTGATTACTGTAGCTGTATTTGTCAAAACCTTACGGATTTTTTGCCATCATCGCTCTTGAACTTTGTACTTTATTTGGCGATTTTACTTTTTTGATAAGAGAGCGTCACTGAGTCTTTTGTAGATGAAACACGTGTATGGCGTACAGAACTTTAATCCTGGGATCTATGATGAGTTTATTTATTGGGGTTCAAATTTGCTTTAAATAAAAAAAGGTCCAGGAAAATTTGATTTTCATCTGAAGAAAGATAAAGGTTCTGGATAAAATTTAGTGTCAAGAATGGGAGGTCCCTCACTTTGTAATTTATATAAAAATGAAATGTCCCCTTCTAGAAAAGACACTAATTTGTACCCCTGTTTTCACATTCCTAGTTAGTATTTTTTGTAGATGTTCTGTTTTAAAGTGTTTTAATCATATTTTTATAAATGTCATATTTTAATATACACGTTTAATATTTTTTAAGATGTCAATGAATGTCAGTTTCCACATCCTGTGTGCAGTCATACATGTAAGGACACCAAGATAGGGTACCAGTGTACATGTCCACCTGGTTTCATTCTGAAAGATCATCATATTTGTGAAGGTTTGTTTGGTTTATTTTAGACATTGTTAGCATTTTTGGCAATAAGATTTGACTAATAGTTGAAATAGTACTAGTACAGGTATATGTATGTTATCCCAAACGTTTCTATAAGAAGGACCCAGTATTCATAGTGAAGTTATATTATATTGGAAAGGAAAATGAAATATAAATTTGAAGTACACCTTTCAGTAGGAAATTTATCACAGATAATGTCATAAAAGTGTCAGACAAAAACAAAACTTGTAGAAAAAATTATTTTATTACAAGACAAATTTCGTATACAATATTGAATACATAATTATGAAAGAAATAAAAGTTGAACTAAAATCATGCACAGCTTTATGTAAAGATTTCATAGCCTTATATGAAAACTTTGGCAAAACCACTAAATCAAGTATCCACAAAAATACAATTGTTCCTCAATCCATGACAAATTACCCATGAAAATAAATAAATCTACAGTATTTGACTTTAAGGTGGTACATAACACTACAGGGAGATAACTCTGTAAAAATCAGCTGAACGTTTTAATCACGTTCTATTGTTAAGGAAATATCAAGCTTCTCAATGATCAAAATTAGTGTTTGTCAAACTGCTATATATCCAATGAAATTTTTCCGATAAAGTGTGTGGTTCAAGTTTTTTGAATTTTTTTTTATCTTTTAGTCAATGGGTCAAAGTAAATATTTTGTCAAAATTTTAGGGAAATTAAACGAGCCAAGTTAATTTTAGTCAACGTGTTTGGTACCACCTTAAATAAATATTGAACACAAAGAAACTCAACCTCTCACAAGATATAACGAGTTTCTTGTGTTATTTTTTCAGATATAGATGAATGTAGGAAGGAATACCCTTGCTCACATTTCTGTGTGAATGAGGAAGGGTCATACCGATGTTATTGTGCTGATGGTTATGTGTTGGAATCTGATAAACGAACATGCAAAATTCTAAACAGTAAGTTTAGCATTTATACTGGGTAGTTGAAACTGAACAATCTTCACGCTTGGCCTCAGGTCAATCAGCCAAGGTTTGTAAATTTTGTATCTGGCCTATAACAATTTCTACTACAGATCAATAGAATCTTTACAAAATTTCCTTTAAAAAAGAGTGTCACATCTGTGCCTGCAAATATTTATTGTGAAAACTGCTGGAGTGAAGATTGGCTTATTTATTATTGCTTGCTTAATGTCCAGTGGCAAATATTTCATGCATTATCAGGACAAAAGAAAGATAAGTATGTGAAAGCTTATATTTGCACAAAAAAATTGTCTGATTAATATTTTCGGCTACTAGACCCCTAGGGCCTTAACATACTGAAATTTGGTATCAAGTGCGATGCATTACCATGACATGTGTTTTTAACCTCAGTCTCTCATCAACTTCCTGTTAACTAATAAACATATTTCTACACATAATGCCCTTGAATGATCATATATTTTGATAATAATCATCTGTATCTATTTATTTTTAGATGAAAATAGGCCATTTTTAATAGTTGCCAACAGAAACCAGATTTTGAATATGTCATTTAGTGGCAGTTATCAGAAAGTAATTGTTAGTGATACAGAGAATGCTGTGGCTGTTGATTATGATTTTAGAAGTAAAACTATTTACTGGACAGACATCACCAGTAAAAACAGCTGGATAAGACGACTGGACTTAAGCAGTGATGATAATAAGGTAGGATTTTATCCAAAGTCCATGTTCCCTCCAGTTTGCAGCGGAAAGTTTTGTGTTTTTCTTCCTACTGGACTGATGAAAACCCATACAACTTAAGGAGCATGAGATGAAAAATTATCTTACTGAAAAATTTTAAGGAAAATTTGAGAAAATAGTGACAATACAGTTTTTGACATGAAAATCATCCAATACATTATATTCAGAATACTATATGGATTCATTGATATTCCTGGGATACCACTTTTTGTTTAATTCATGAATTATGGGGAAACCACAGATTTAAAACTCAATGAAAAACAAATTGTTAGTTTCTTTAATAGGAACAAATGATGAAACCACAAAAGTCAGTCACCCTTGAACTGTCAATTTTTTTTCCAACCATGATGATGGATATCAATGGAAATAAGTGAATCCACAATATAATGTATACTGTAGATTCATTTATATTTGTGGATACCAATTTTTGTGGATTGAGATAAAAATAAATTTTGTGGATATTCGATTTTGTGGTTTTGTCTTAGTATGGATAAAAAAAAATAAAGGCAACAGTAGTATACCGCTGTTCAATAGTCATAAATCGATTAAGCGGAAACAAATCTGGGTCACAAGCCAAAACCGAGGGAAACACATCAACTTTAAGAGGAAAACAACGGAACAACAGAAACACTGAACTGCTACAAAAACAAATGCCAACATACATAGAAACAGATTGTAGATAACAACTGCCATATTCCTGACTTGGTACAGGACCTTTAAAAAAAAAATGGTGGGTTGAACCTGGTTTTATGGCTAGCCAAACCCGCTTATATGGCAATGTTAAAAATACCGCTAAAATGACAACATTACGTGACAAACCTATACCCATGAAATCCATGTAAGAAGTATCTGAAGAATAATAATGAATCCACAGTATTTTATAGTGATGATAATGCAAGATAAATTGGTATGGTTCTTTACCTTTCAGATTGAAACTTTGCATGATGCAAGGCATGTTAAGAATCCAGATGGTCTGGCAGTAGACTGGGTAGGACAAAACTTGTTCTGGTGTGACAAGACTGCAGATACAATAGAAGTGTCTCGTCTAGATGGCAGCTACCGTAAAATCCTGATAGAAGATGGACTTCAAGAGCCACGAGGACTGGAGGTGCACCCATTACGAGGATATTTATTCTACACAGATTGGGGAGATCAGCCTCACATATCTAGAGCACACATGGATGGAACTCATATTGAAAGAATTATAACACAGAACCTTGCATGGCCTAATGGCTTGACGATTGATTACGTGACAGAGAAAATATTCTGGTCCGATGCAAGTTTGGACTATATAAGTATGGCTGATCTTGATGGCAGTAATCAGTTTGTTGTGATCAATAAAAACTTGCCACATACCTTTGCTCTGACCACATTCATGGACTACATATTTTGGACCGATTGGGAATCTAAGAGTATTAACAGAGCTCACAAGTTTTCTGGACAAGATCGTACAACGATTGTTAAGACATCACACAGACCTATGGATATACAAGTTTATCATAAAATGAGACAGACAGAAGGTAATAATAAGGGCTGTACCATTATTAACTGTATGGGGGGATGGGGATAGGTGATGGGGGAGGGGGAGTCAGAAGGCATTTTTAATGAAATTTGATGTGTGGTTTTATGCATGGTGGAGTCAAATGAATAGTGCTTTAGAAATGCTTAAACCATAACAATTTGAAAGCTAAGAATGTATATGACTGTAAGGGACTGAAAAAGAATGGCAAAATTTAATTGGCAATCTATGAAAATATCAATTTCTAAGTGCACTTATTGGCATAATTTTAGCAATTACTTTTATGTTTCATATTTTAACCACACTTGTAAATATTTGATATCATTCCTTAAAGATTTTGACGTTTTACCTCTACCTAATCACTATACTGTTTAAACTTTCAGCACATTTCAACCCATGTCGTGTGAGAAATGGTGGATGTTCACATTTATGTTTACTTAAACCATTTATGGTGTCATCATTCAGAACATCAACATTTTTCCGATCCGTAACCAGGGTGTGTGGTTGTCCAGAAAACTACAAGCTGGATGGAAATTACAACTGTGTACCAACTTGTAATGAGCCATTGTAAGTTTAACAGTATTCAAATTCAATATATGAGTTTAATTGTGAAATTTCATAAAAACTTGACAACTTGTATGTTGAATATATAGCTGAATTTTTTACTGTGAATCACTTTGACTATAGACTGTAGGAATAGTTTTACTCTTTGTTTATATTTTTTACCAAACAATCCCTTTGTAAGTTATATATGAAAAAGTGTTACAGTGAATTCTGCATGAAGCAGAAACAGAAACCAGTCAAATTGAAACAGGGCATTGCAAGAATATTTCTTTGTGTTTATTTTCTAATTTACCGGTAACCCCTGTTGAGCAGAAAAAAAATCTAAATTTGTACCTTAATATTTTCTTGTTTTAGCCATTTTGAAAATTAAATAATATTTATGTTGTCATATTTTATTGTTCCAGCCATTTTGAATATGTCAGGGAAATTAAAAGTATTTTACATCAAATTTTGCTATTTCAGCCATTTTGAATGTAAAGAAAGTTCCAAGTGTATACCCTCATGGTGGAAATGTGACAACTACACAGACTGTTTAGGAGGAGAAGATGAATATAATTGTACAAGTAAGAAGATTTGATTATGTTGTCCTGTCCGAATTGGGATGTCAAATCTGATATCCTTTGCAGGGAAAGTGTATTAATCAAGGTCCATTCTAGTTTACTAAAAAAAAAAATATAGGATCAATCAGGAATGATAATGCCATTTGGGAATCTATTAGAATAGAGAATAGAAACAGGGAATGTGTCAAAGAGACAACAACCCCGACCAAAGAGCCGAAATCAGCCCATATTTACAACATGAAAACATTTGTATGCCCCCACCACTAGGGGAAGGGGGCATTAGGTGTTATCCTTGACTGTCCATCCTTTTGTTTATCCTTCCTTCCGTCCATCCCAAAAGTATTTTCACACATTATCAGCAAGCTTGAGCGGGGGCATTCGTGTCCTCAGAAACATTCTTCTTTAATTGATATTTGAATTAAATGGGACAATTTCATAAAAACCTTACCTTCAATTTTAAATATATGGCAGCAGTACAGTAGAAAGTCAACTTCTGTGTCAAAAATTTAAGCAAAGAGATGCAGTTGTATAAGTTAAGGAGAGACTGTGGATTTAGAAATTTTAGGGATGTTTTTTAATTTTTGGAATATTGTGACTGGATAAGTTTCCCGATAATTAAAACATGCATTCAAAATTTTTAAAGCACTATTTTATGCTTCATTTGCTAAAATTGTAAGAATAAATCTCACATTTGTGTCCATTTATCAACAATCGCAATATCAAGTGCACACAAAATTTCTTAATTATAGAAGCAATCCTCAAACAGTAAATCCAGCAAATGATTCAGAAGGACATTAGGGTGGTACATAACAATACAGGGAGATAACTCTGTAAAAATCAGCTGAATGTTTTAATCACATTCTATTGTTCAGGAAATATTAAACTTCTCAATGATCAAAATTAGTGTTTGTCAAACTGCTATATATCCAATGAAATTTTTCCAATAAAGTGTGTGGTTCAAGTTTTTTGAAATTTTTATATTTTTGTCAAAGGATCAAAGTAAATATTTTGTCAAAATTTTATGAAAATCAAAAGAGCCAAATTAATTTTAGTCAAGGTGTTTGGTACCACCTTAATAGATTTTTTTTTATTTCAGAGCCATACTATTGTCCACAGAGGGGTTATTTCCAATGTAAAGGTGCCACAGATAAAAGTGGTTGTTTGCCGCCTGTGGACATTTGTAATGGCATAGCAAACTGCAAGGATGAATCTGATGAACAGCAGTGTGGTTAGTATTATATTAAGTTATGCCTAGGTTATAAGTTGAATCAATTCATGGTCTATAGAAACATAATTTGATGAGCCTCTATTCTTATAAATTCTTCCTTTTTGGTGTTTTGCTGCACCCTTTGTTTTGATCAATGTAATATCTGTTAAAATCTATGTTTTAAATTCCTCCTATACGTCTTGGAGCACCTCTTATTCTTGTTCTGATTAGTTAAATTTTGGTTTGAAATAATTTCATTCACAATAGAGGGTGCAAAAGAAAAGCGGTGGTTAAGTATTCAATTTTGAAATTTTTGAACTGGTTGAAATGTGAAAGCACTGAATACCGCACCACTAAAAGGGCCTGGGGAGAACAGTCTATATTTTCATACATTGCAAAAACTAAGTATGTGATGGAGCAGTAATTTTCAATTTTTAAAAAAGAAAAAAAAAGAAAAGATCAGTTTCCTAAATCATTGAAAATACAATGACTTAATATGATTTTTATTTTGGTTCACAAATATTAAAACTACCAAAACTAGCTTAAGATTATGAAATTATAAAAATGAATAGTGATTAATAATCCACTGTTTTTTTTTAGATGAGTATGAATGTTTAAAGGGTTATGTAAAATGTCAAAAGGAAAACACGTGTATACCACAGACACATGTATGTGATGGAAACCAACACTGTAAAGATGGTCAGGATGAACACAATTGCAGTAAGTAAACTTAGACAGGTACAGGTGCTAGCAGTCATAACATGCCAATGACTGCCATCATTTTTAGACATGTGTCAACAGATACTAGCAGTCATAACATGCCAATGACTGCCATCATTTTTAGACATGTGTCAACAGATGCTAGCAGTCATAACATGCCAATATTTGAACGTAGGATATAGGATATGTGTTAATAGATTTGAACTGGTTTTAAAGATTTTGTAGGGTTTATTTGATAATATTACTATGTTGAATAAACACAGGGTGAAAAAAAGCAATTCAATTACATGTTTCAGAATCTAATGAACTCTGGGTAATATTTTCAAAAGCCAAAACCAAACCATAGTAATTGACTAGCTAAGTACATCCTAAACAATGGGAATTCAACCAACGACATATAAAAAATGTTTATACCTCTACAGATTGTGAAAATCACAACCTGACCTTTGAATCATTGATGCCTTTGTATTTTTTATGCCCCACCTAGGGGCATTATGTTTTATTCGGTCAGTGCGTCCGTTCGTCCGTCAGTTCGTTCGTTAGTCCGTCCGTCCCGCTTCAGGTTAAAGTTTTTGGTCAAGGTAGTTTTTGATGAAGTTGAAGTCCAATCAACTTGAAACTTAGTACACATGTTCCCTATGATATGATCTTTCTAATTTTAATGCCAAATTAGAGTTTTTACCCCAATTTCACGGTCCACTGAACATAGAAAATGATAGTGCGAGTGGGGCATCCGTGTACTATGGACACATTCTTGTTTTACCAGTTTAAACTCGAGCAGTAGATTAGATTTGATTCATTCATTTTTATCTTCAGCTGCAAAGGATTGTAATCATGACCAATTCAAATGTGATGGCAATAGATGTGTTCCATACATGTGGAGATGTGACCATGACAAGGATTGTTTAGATGGTAAAGATGAGCCGTCAGAGGAAGAGTGTAGGAATACCAGATGTCCAGATGATTATTTCAAGTGTACGTCAGGACGCTGCATCCCTGATTCTTGGAAGTGTGATGGGGATATAGATTGTAGTCTTACAGACAATAGTGACGAAAGAGGATGTGGTGAGTTAAGGGGGACAGCACATTACTATAAATTCAGAAATTAGTGTGTGCATTTATAATTGCAAATCCTTGACACTGGCAAAATGCAAAATCTTATTACTGTAAACTCAGAAAATATTGCGAGGTTTATTTTAATGTGAACAATGTGACTGGTTGAGTATTCTGATATCAGATACACATATATGTTTGCGCATTTTCCTGAAATATCAATAATTTATATAGCATTTTTTGTCAATTCCTAATTTTTGTCCATTCTTAAAACATTGCAATAATAAATTTCTGAATTTACAGTCATGAAATTGCAAACATTTTATGAGGGAAAATCACTTCTGCTGAAATTATAAATGTGCCTTTTTTTTATATTGCGAACATGAAATTGATATTAAATTAAACGTCATTAGTCTGTTAATATCCCTGTTGGCTTTAACAAGCAGGTTGTTTTTATATGGGGTTTTAATTTGTGTACAAAAACTGTCAAAAAAAGATATACAATGTATCAGGACATTTTTGAGTTTTGGGCCTTAGATGTGGTAGTTGATTCTTCATTGTGTTCATTATTTGCTTTTCATGGCCATTTACAAAGATGATCAGTGAAACATCAGCATAGGTTGAACATATTCACTCAATGTCTACTGAATGATGTAAATAAGGAAAGTATGGTTTGGTAACGAAGTGAACCTACTTTTTCAGATGGGGATTCATAAATCAGAATCTGTGTGCGCCACACTGTAAAAAAAAAATACTGTCAAAATAGGGTCCTTTAATTTGTTTATCTCAGGAGCCCTCTCCATCAAATCCTGCAAATCCTGGAACTGCACCTCCTTTGATCAGATGGGGATTCAGAATCGGCGTAGACACCCTGTAAACAAATTTTTCGGTCAAAATAAAGTCCTATAATTCTTTATTCTCAGGAGCCTCCCCATCAAATCCTGCATCTGTGCCTGGTTGATGGAAGTTTTGCTGAAATAGGTCTAGTATCCACATTTATATTACAGAGAACAGATCTTGTAGTGCAAGCCAGTTCAAGTGTGATGACAACAACTGTATACCTAAAGGCTGGAAGTGTGATTATGACCAAGATTGTAAAGATGGTAGTGATGAAAAGAGCTGTGAAGATAGTAAGTAGTTGTTAACAAGGGCTGGGGTTGGAGGGCCAGTGTGATTATGACCAAGATTGTAAAGATGGTAGTGATGAAAAGAGCTGTGAAAATTGTAAGTAGTTGTTAACAAGGGCTGGGGTTGGAGGGCCAGTGTGATTATGACCAATATTGTAAAGATGGTAGTGATGAAAAGAGCTGTGAAGATAGTAAGTAGTTAAGAAATAATTCTTTCATGCCAAGTTCAATGCTCATTTTAACATGGGTAGGCATTAAATTTGTCCTTATCTTTAGAACAAGGGTTAGCAAGGTGTCAAATGTTGACAAATATAATGCATTCCCATTTTAAAATGAGCATAGAGCATGGCATGATAGAAGTATTTTGATTCTAATAGGAAAATTAAGAATTTTTGTACTTCGAATCCGACCTATAAGACACTTTTGAAAGGCAGTCATTTTGATTTAATGAAGCCAAAACATTTTAGAAAATGAACCAATAAGAAATGAGCAGATACATTTTGCAACTTACTTTTAAAATGATCTCATTTAATTTCCTAGCAAGCAACACCAACACAAATGTCCATTTTGATCTCTGCCGTTGTTTAAATTAAACCTGACGTTGCAATTTCAATTTTGACAACAATCATGTGCAGCCCATGTTCTATTGGAATTAGGGCAGGCTTTGTTTCCAAAGCAAAAGAAAACATCATATTACAATTGCTAACAAGGGCTTTGGTTGGTGGGGCAACGTGATTACAACAATGATTGTCAAAATGGCAGTGACGAAAAGAACTGTGAAGAAAGTCAGTATTGGTTTTAAATGTTGGGGTTAAAGGTTAAATGTGGTAGGTTGTTTGGAATGGAGCAGTGTGATTATGACAAAGAGTATAGAGATGGCAGTGATGAAAAGAAGTGTGAAGAAAGTAAGTATTGGCCATGGTTTAAAAGGTTGGGGTTGTTAGTATTGTATGGAAGTTTGGCAGGAAAGGTCAGTGCCATTTTGGCAAAATTGTATAGGTGATAGTGATAAATTGAACCCCACTCTCTGCTCCATGGGAGATGCCTTTGACTCTGATCTTAATTGATAAGATTGCCAATTTATCTGTCAAAGTTTGTTATTTCTCCACTAATAAAAATTGACCACTTTGATATACCAATCTGAAAGGTCACTGAAACAGGTTTAAACACCAATAAACAAACAAATGAGTTATAGTATTCAAACCTCCCCTTTTTCCTCTTTTGACAAAAAGTTTTTGTCCAAATACTATGGCTTATTTGACCATGGTCTGTTTTTATTTATAGTATATGCTAACTGTACAACAGACCAGTTCCCATGTACAAACAAGAAGTGCATTCCTAAATCTTGGCAATGTAATGGAGAGGTCAACTGTGAAGATGGCAGTGATGAAAGAGAGTGTGGTAATAGTAAGTTTATTTATAGATTAGCTTATGTTTGGTTTTATGAACCTTATACATGACTTGAGGTAAAACTCAAGTTTCTTTCCATGAACAAGGTATATCTTAATTTATGTTCCACGAACACAGTATAACTCAAATTGTACCCTATGAACAAGGCATATCTCAATTTAATCTCATGAACAAGGTATAACTTAATTTACAGTCCATGAACAAGGGTTAACTCAATTAACATCCTATGAACAATGTATAACTCAATTTACATTCCTTAATGTATAACTCAATTTACATCCTATGAACATTGTATAACTCAATGTATATTCCATGAACATAGTATAACTCAATTTACAGTCCATGAACAAGGTTTAAGTCAATTAACAACCTACGAACAATGTTTAACTCAAATGTATATTCCATGAACATAGTATATCTCAATTTACATTCCATAAACAATGTATAACTCAATGTACATTCCATGAACAAAGTATAACTCAATTTACGTTCTATGAACCTAGTATAACTCATGTACATTTAATAAACATAGTATAACTCATTTAATACGTCCAATGAACAAGGCTTGACTTAATTTACATCCCATATAAAAAACAAGGTATAAATTAATTAATATAATATTAAATTAATTTTGATATTTTTATAATCAGAATTGAAATATGAAAAGAAAAGAACAGCTGAGAGATAATTTGATTGCAAGTACAAATACAATCATAATAACAACACACAATTAGCAACTTGTTGTTTTGTCGTCAATTTTAGAATTTTAATTCTTCTATTAATTATTCATTTAATGCTGGTATTGCACTTTTGAATTATAACTGGTTATGGGTTCAGTTATTAAGAGTTGTATATAAACAAATTTCATTAATGTATATATACCGCCTAGGTGGTATCGTGGTAGCATGTTAACCTCAAAAGTGCAGAAGGTTATGGGTTGGAACCCCGGCCTGGTTAAACAAAAGACTAAAATTGGTATTTGCACTAAGCATGCAGCATTAATGAGTAGGAGCAAAGACTGGTTGGGTCGGAGTCAGAATAATGTGTCTGGGTAAGGTGACATGTCTTCCTGCGGCCTGTTTCCTTGTGAAGTAGCACGTTAAAAATCCTGCTCAGCATGTCGCTCTAGTACAAAGCAGGGTTTATATTCATATAACATGTTCTCGTCCTGAATATACATATTAATTTGCCGTTGGACGTAAAGCAGCCATCCTATCATCCATCATCATTAATGTTTATGTCATTAAACACGAAAACACAATGCAACTGAAACAGTAGTTAAATGCCTCTTCTCCAAATAGTTCATCTTTTCTTTAATATCTCTTGGTAGGGGAAGTAACTTATCCCTCTCCAAAATCCTGGCTTAGGTCCTGCTTAAGGATGTTCGCTGCTATTGTTTTTGAATTTTTATCAGATATTCGGAATCCTCTAGTTTTATGCATGTAGTACCAGTAATAAAATTTGTCCACTAACCCCTATTTTTCTTTTCATTATTTGGTAATAAATAGTTTAAAGCTCCATTTCCCCCCAAATTTTCAATTGATTATATCTCAAAAACAAGGACACGGACCTAGCATTTTTTTCTGATTTTTATGTTCCCTTATTTATATTCTATCAATTTATAACAGTCTTTTAAAAAGTTTGTTATTTTGAAACAGAGGAGCAAACGTCCGTAAAGCTCAAATGATACTGAAATACCTTCACTTTTTCAGGGACTCAATGCGGGGACGATCAGTTCAATTGTCAAACCATGTGTATACCTAAAATTTGGAAGTGTGATGGAGATATTGACTGTTCCAATGGCAATGACGAACAGAATTGTACACGTAAGACAAAATAAAAACAAAGATATTTATGCCGCACAGATGTGAGATTATATTGTCAATTTAAGACGAAAATAAATTAAGGAAATATTTTATCATTGCCACTGAGACAACTGCTGTAAAACAACCTAATTTTGCAAAGTTGCGAACTTTATCAAGTCACCATACCTTCAACAATGAGTAAAATCCATACTGTAAGCTTTAAAAGGCCCTGGTATGTCAAATATGAAACAACTTAAATAAGAAAAACTAACAGCCTTATTTATACTACAACAATAAATTAAAAACAATTATGCCAGACGGCAAACAAAACAATTCTGTTGTCATGCCATCACATATGTACAGATCATGAAATTTTTTTATTACAAGGCAAAAATTTGTTAGGAAATATTTGTAGGTAAATGCTTTTGGTAGGATATGATTTGTTTAAAGGGGCACTAGCTTCGAGATACAAAAAAAATTAAGATAGGAGTTTATTTCAAAATAAGCAAAGAAACATTGATGATGAATTATTCACTTGCAAGTGAATAATTCGACCTCATTGAATCCATATTCATGTGAAGTTCAATTTAAACCCTTAGCTAGAGATGGATAATGCATGAATTGTGCATGTAAAGTTATTTAAAGGAAAAGAATGTCAACATTTAAAGTGAAACAAAGGTAAATCATTTGATTGACTGATTCGATCCACAATAAATCATTCTTATACAGATAAAAAGGATGATAAACATATATTTTTAATCTATAATATGAAATCAAACAGACCTAGAAAAATCCAATTGCACGAGTTCGCTTAATCTATTTATACCTATATTTATGTTTACATTGCTTATATGGATTGGAAGTCTTTGGAGGTCAACTCGCATTTTTTAAGGTAACATCAACAAGTTACAAACTATAACAGACACAAAAATCTATGCAAATTCTGTCATAATATTTATTTTCTTTTCAGTTTCAGACCAGTGTGAACCTGGACACTTCCAATGTACAAACAAAGTGTGTATTCCTGGACTCTGGAGGTGTGATACAGAAGATGATTGCCATGACAACAGTGATGAAGAATCGTCAATGTGTAGTATGTTTCATTTTATTTTAATGTTGTCATGCTGTCTTTTATACCCCCTCTCTGAAGGAAGACAGGTAAACTTGTTTTCCGCTATCCGTAACTGAAGAACCATCCACCATCAAATGAACTTCCTGTCATATAATACTTAATATTTTGTAGCATTTTTATCAGGAACTGCAAATCAGAGCTTCCTGAAATTTAATATCAGATATGCTCAGTAGTCAGTACTTCGGTACTGACATGATTTATAACCAACCTTTCGTCCGATTATAAATTTTGAAATTATGAAGAAGCTAAGGTTTCAACACCCCGTTGACCTTAGATGGATTTGGCTATTTTTCTAGGTCCTTTTTGGTCATATATCTCTTCAGCTGTTTCGGTTCTTATACATCCTTTGCTTTCAAATATTCGGCTATGAGTGTTCCTAATAAAGATAAATCCAGAAAAGTGCTTCGGATGCATGAAATTTATAACGTGTTGCTTTTCATTTTTTATATGACCATTCTACACCATGTGATGCATTTTCACATTTATCCATGACGACTTCCTGTTTACAGAATACTGTGGATTCATTATTATTCGTTGGATACCAATTTTGGTGGATTTCGTCAGTTCAGGGGACCCATGAATTTAAATGTTCAATGAGTTGCAAATTTTCTAAAGGAATGTATGCAGTCTTTGGCAAAACCACAAAATCAGAAACCCACGAAAATGCAAGTTTTCCTTAATCCACGAAAATTGGTACCCACGAAAATAAATGAATCCACAGTAGTAGGAATATCACTATTGAACAGTAGCTGACTGTTCTTTTTGGTTCATTATAGTGCAAAAATAGTTTGAGGATCTGGGACCTCGGTCATAAAACTTTACTCAGTACTTGGAGTACAAAATTTGTGCTCGAAACGCTAAATCCAGTATTTTGATTGGTTGATTTCTGAGTCTGAGTACAATAATCGTGCTCGAAAAATTTATGACCACAGGGCCCGGAGTTGACCTATGACAAGGAGGAATGTCTGGCCCTATCCAACAGACCCTCTTTTTCCAGTGACAGTTTAAGTTACCCAGAATCTGATTTATTGTTCAAATTATTCTTATCCTGAATATACATGCAATGTTTTAAGGATGTACTTTATGTGAAATTAAAACAATCTAGAATTTAAAATTGATACTTTAAATCAGAAGAGCATTAGTTAAGGAACAAAATAAGCTAAAAATATTGATAGGTTATGGAGCTCCTTTTCGAGCTATTTAATTTTTAAAAAATGGTGGAAATTGCTGACTCAGACTTTTACCTTTTATTTGCATTGGTATTATCTGGATCTCAAATCAAAAGAAAAGAAATCTATAATCTGCTTAAATTTTGGTAAATGACCTTTTTATGAGCTATTGAAGTCTTATATGAAAAGATAAATGGGTGTTATGGGGCAAAATATTTTACCCTGTATCGTAGGAAAAATCCAAGGAGTCTGAACATCTGACAAAAAATCCTAAACCTGACCTAAGTACATCCTTTTAAATAATAATAATAATACTTTATTTCCGATAAACAAAGAACTGTCTGAATTAGAATTTCCTGATGAATTATTTCCTTTATCTGGCGTCAATCGCTTATGTTTCTTATATTTTCGTTTTGGCATAACTTGTGTCATAATAGAACATCCAACAAAATCATAATAAATGCTGTATAAATCTAATAAATACAATTTTTTTTCAAGAAAATTTGCAACAAGAAAAATTCACTGCCACCATACTGGCGCATCCGTTCTAACCTTCTTCGAATTGAAAAACAATTATCAATCAACCAATCATTCTAGATGTTTGAACTCTCCACACAATATTTTTTAAATGTTTACAACTTATATATGAATACAATAATTACTGATCACTACACAAAAAAATCAGTGAATTTATTTTATGTAACAATGACAATTGTTTTTGGTGTGATTAAATTGGCATCACATTTAAAATAAGAGAACTTAATGTTTTTTTTTTTATTTTGTTCAATAAGTTTTGTAAAACAGGAATAAAAATTTTAACAAATGAGTGAATTTTAATGAACTTACCTTATTATATTTTTTGTAATTGCAGGAGATTACACATGCCCACCTGGTCGCTTCAGATGTAAAAATCATAAGTGTATTTTCAGTGACAAAAGATGTGATGGGATAGACCAATGTGGGGACAGATCTGACGAGGAAAAATGTAATTATCTCCCTTGTATTTAGAAAAATTTGTTCTCATGATAATAGGCAGTCTTTTGATATAAAATGAAAGAAGATAAAATTAAGCTAAAGGCTGTTCCAAAATTGATTGTGGTTAGGGTAGGTAGGCACTTAATTAATTGTGGGTGGTTGCATTTTCCTATGAATTAGACTATTTATATCAATGAAAAGATTCCATAATGTACACTGTACTCTTTAAAATACTCCACTGTGCGAGGATCTGGATGGGGGTTCCTTCATTTCTGTATTCTTTAACTTTTTAGGCCATTTTTCTCTATTCTTTATACTTTTTGCCCATTATTTTCTATTCTTTATATTTTTTGCCCATTATTTTCTATTCTTTATATTTTTTGCCCATTATTTTCTATTCTTTATATTTTTTGCCCATTATTTTCTATTCTTAATATTTTTTTTCCCCATTATTTTCTATTCTTTATACTTTTTGCCCATTATTTTCTATTCTTTATAGTTTTTCCCATTATTTTCTATTCTTTATATTTTTTGCCCATTATTCTCTATTCTTTATATTTTTTGCCCATTATTTTCTATTCTTTATATTTTTTCCCATTATTTTCTATTCTTTATACTTTTTGCCCATTATTTTCTATTCTTTATATTTTTTCCCATTATTTTCTATTTTTATATTTTTTGCCCATTATTCTCTATTCTTTATATTTTTTGCCCATTATTTTCTACTCTTTATATTTTAACACCTCATTATTCTCTATTCTTTATATTTTAACACCTCATTATTATTTTCTATTCTTTGTTTTTTTAGTCCATTTTTCTCTATTCTTTATATTTTTTGTCCATTTTTCTCTATTCTGTAAACCCCAATCCACACCCTCCTGTATTTATACTGCAGCTAGTAAAATTCCAGTTAAGTTTATTTAAAAATATAGTAACTAAGTGTTATTTCGTGCAATGTCGATTTCATGTCACATCACTTTTATTCACATTCTGTGGCTTTAATAGGGATAGATTAGTTCAATTTTTATTTTTGTGTTTACATTTTACTAACTATAATTTAGTCAATTTTAGCTGCAATCCCGGGCATGAAAACATCAGTAAACCTTGGCCTTCCCAAGTTTCTAAGCCTTATACAAAAAAGTTGATACTTTTCTGACATTGACCTTATGTATAAGGGGAATGTTTTAATATTAAAATGTACCTGTGATTTTTATAGGTTATTTTGACAGTGTCTGTACAGGACAGAACTTCCAATGTAACAGTACCAAGACATGCATTCCTGTGGACAAAGTTTGTGATGGAAGGATTGATTGCTTCGATGATACCTCAGATGAAAATCAAGCTATCTGCAGTATGTATAATAAATGATCAGAAAAAAGACATTTTGAAATGTCAGATAGCATTCCAGGTACATTGTTTGAAGATTGTGAGGTATTAAATAGTTGTGCCAATGAAGACATTCCGTCATTAATTTCTATTTTTGATTGATAACAAGTTTAATCTTCCATCTCTAATATAGCAGTGCTTGCTTAAAATTTTGTCACAGAGACACAGAAAATTTATAGAATAACTAATCCAAGAATTCAAATATTGAAAATTATCCTACATCCTATACAATTCTAGGAATATCATTGGTTAAAAGCGACCATGTGGAGACCATGTATATTGCAAATGGGGTTAGTAGGCGTGGTTTATTTTGATACACGGTTAGTAGTGGTGTTACATCCCTTTATAAAATCATCACAATGTTGAGGAAAAATCTGAAACATTTCGCCCGCACAACAGATGAAGAAATTGATGATGAACTATTGAAATAAATGCAGAAAACACATTAAAAGTTAACAAGTTGTTATTGTTGGCATTTGTTTTTGTATAGACCAATGGAAGAAGGTTCTTTATATTGAAGACTTGATCACCTTGATAGGCCACTAATCTAAATGCCACACGTTAAGATAGTTGGTAAGATAAATTTGTTACATAGTGTGCTGGTGACCTAATACAATATATATGAGGTACATGTAAGAGTTTCGCTGCCACCCCATATGAAATTTACTGATAATTAGAAATAAGAAGATGTGGTATGAGTGCCAATGAGACAACACTCCATCCAAGTCACAATGTGTAAAAAGTTAACAATTATAGGTCAAAGTAAGGCCTTCAACACGGAGCCTTGGCTCACACCGAACAGCAAGCTATAAAGGGCCCCAAAATGACTAGTGTCAAACAATTCAAACAGGAAAACCAACGTTCTAATCTATATAAAAAACGAGAAACGAGAAACATTTATGAACAATATCAACAAACGACAACCACTGAACAACAGGTTCCTGACTTGGGACAGGTGCAAACAAATGCAGCGGGTTTAAACATTTTAACAGGCGCCAACCTTCACCCTAACCTGAAACAGTAGTGTAACATTACAACATAGAAAGACACACTATAAAATATCAATGGAAATGGTTTAACTCGATCAAAAAGACCCCATATATAAGGTATTAGATCACTAGCACACTGAGTAACTGTTAATATTTAGCAAGTGATTGAACAACATATTATAAATTATCATTGTTGTTTGGTCACGAGTTGAATATTTTTTGATATTTTAATTCTTGGATAAGTTATTATTTTTATTATATTGACCATGCACTTTTTAGTGGAAATAAAGTAAAATGAAAGGAACCATATCTTTTTCTATGCATTCTCAATTGTTTTGATGAAACGTCATTGACCAAGTCTTGACAGCACGTATTGTTTTATGACTTCAGAGGAGTAAAATTATCAGATTTATTTCACATGTGAAATTATCATTTTTATTTCACTTGGAATCACAGTAATTGATTACAACCAATGTAATTACATGTTATATTTGCAGCATAGATTTGTGACATCATCTAAGGCTTTTCTACCTCAGGAATAGATTACCTTAGCTGTATTTGGCAAAACGTTTAGGAATTTTGGTCCTCAATGTTCTTCAACTTCTTGCTTTATTTGGCCTTTTTAACTTGTTTGTATTCGAGCGTCACTGATGAGTCTTTTGTAGACGAAACGCGCGTCTTGCGTAAATACAAAATTTAATCCTGGTATCTATGATGAGTTTATTTGATTTGTCCATAGGTGTTAAAATATCACTCTTTTATGTTCATTTAATTCTCATTGTATGAATATAGAAAACTTTTTCAGAACATAAAACAAATCTATTCCTGATCTCCAACCAAAATACAGTTTCAGAACTAATGCATTCTGGTAATATTTTCAAAAGTGTACACCAAAGTGTTGTGATTGGTTAAAAACGTCCTAAACAATTGAAATTCAACCAATGACGTGATGTTATTTTCATTGTGGGGTAAGAACAATAAAATTACCCATTGTCCTTTAGATTCTGAAATGGTCTATTGTAAAATAAGTGCATGCAAAAATTTCTGAATTTACAGTACTTGATAAATGTTTCTAAGGCAAATAATGACTCTTTTGTTGTGTAAAACCATTAGTGTTTTTTTTTAGTTATAAATTTATGTATGCATCAGACAGCCATTTTTACTACATCAGGTATCGAGTTTGGAGAAATTTCATTTTTTATTAATTCTTTTTTTTTTTTTGTAGAAAAAATGGGACCATGCAGTGATGATTTAAGAAGAAGCAGTATTTGTCAACAGAAATGTATTAATCTACCTTTCAAGGATGGCGGTTACAAGTGTGCTTGTAAAGAAGGATATACCTTAATGGAAGATGGTTTCCACTGCCAAGGTTGGTGTCTAATTTTTAAAAAATTTTTCCTTTCATCTGCTTTATAATCTTACCATTAAGGGCCTCGGTTGCCAAATGATCTAAGTAATCATTAGCCTGTAAACACTGAAGTTGTGAATTCGAACATATCACCTAACAGGGGTGTTGGACTGTGATGTGAATTGACTGTATATTGTCAGATTTCCTGCTGAAGGTCAGTGGTTCTCCCTGGGCACTCCAGCTTCCTCCACCAAAAAAAATGGCTTCCACGATACAACCAAGAGTGCTGAGAGTGGAGTTAAACACCAACAGTCAATTAATCAATATTCTTACAGCTACAAAATGTGCATGAACAGTAAAGGTAGCTGACCAATGCTCCATGTTGGTTGTTTATGGCAGAATTCATCAATTGATAAGTTTATTTCAAGTTTTATCATGGGAAATTTAAACACCTTGTTGGGCAATAGAACTCAGAACTGCTGATAGGTGTAATAGAATAATACAGATGGCTTTACAATAAAAATTACCAGAGAACTCATTTCATTAGCAGGTATAGTTCCAACACCTGAAAATTTTCAAATTGTATTTTATAGATTTTAATAAACTTGAAATTGATTAACCGTTTGCAAAAAGTTGGTTAACATTTTTAATTTCTTTTGTAAAATCAAAATACGCCTTTTATGATTTACAAGACTGCCACCATGGATAGGATGAAGGGATGGGGTTTGATGAAGAGACTATGAAAAAGCAATTTCAATACATTGTATGTGCAATAAAGTTTTGTTGAGTATTAGGTACGTTCTTTTATTATGCCCCTGCCATCACCTGAGGGGGCATTAAGTGTTACCCTTGTCTGTCCAACCGTCCGTCCCAAAATTGGTTTACCTCAACCAAATGTTATGAAACTTATACATAATGCTTATTACCACAAAACACAGATCAAGTTTGAAATTTGGTGGCATCACTTTTACCGTTCTAGAGTTATGCCCCTTTACAAATGTTTCCATTCTCTAACTTTAGTTTGCCTCAACCAAATGTTATGAAAATTATACACAATGCTTATTACCACAAAACACAGATCAGGTTTGAGTTTGGGTGGCATCACTTTTACCTTTCTCGAGTAATGCCCCTCTGTAACGTTATATGCGAGCAGGGGCGTCATCTGTGTCGAATGGACACATTCTTCTTTTATTATCTTGTATTTCTGTTAGTATAATTAATGATATGATAATTGTGATTTTAGTACAAGATTTGTGTAAGAAGTGGGGCACATGTTCACAGCTCTGTAGTCCCAAACATATGATGGAGATTTCTGCAGGTGTCCATTGCTCTTGTGATGAAGGTTATGAGAAGACGATGACATATAATGGCACTATGTCATGTATAGCGAAAGGTAAGTTATGATCAAATCCTACAGCATAGTCATTGGTCAGTTGGTCACATTTAGTTGATATCTGTGTAAGCTTCATGATCTTTTGAACTTTTTTGAAAAAGCTAATTCCTGCATAATTTTTAATACATATATATATAAAACTATTTTATTTTCAAAAAAATTTAATCTTTGAAAATTGTTTTGAATACATACATATATTCAACCATGGAACCTCTTTGATAACTATATTTGTACACTCAAGATAATTAATTTTCAATCTTCCAAATGGGAATATAAAAATAAGGAGATGTGGTATGATTGCCAATGAGACAACTATCCACCCGAGTTCAAATTAAGTGGATGTAAGCAATAATAGGCAACCGTACGGACTTCAACAATGAGAAAACCCATACCATATAGTCAGCTATAAAAGGCCCCAACATGAAAAATATGAAACAATTCAATTAAGAAAACTAACGGCCTAATTTATAACAAAACAATTTACAAAAAAACAAATATGACAGACATGAACCAACAACAACCATTGAACTACAGGCTTCTGACTTGGACAGGCACATAAAGAATGTTGCAGGGTTGAACTCATCATTTAAAAATTTAAATATTTAACAAAGGAGAATGCATTAGTATTGTAGTCAACAGGGTTAAGATATATAATCAATTTCTCTAATGATATAATTAAAAATGCTTTATAAACTAGTGCTTTGTTACAGCATTTTTTTTGGATAAATTTAATCACCTTGTGGTTCAGCAAAAGGAGTAGGGGCATTAAGGCCCGGTTTTGGCCCAAGAAAATAAAGTTTTTGAGATAACTATTTCAAATTTGCACATAATGTTTGGAAATGCATAAATTCAAGAAAGATAAATACATTACATAAGATTTTTGATGTTATGACGTCACAATTACATCATAAAATGCACGAATTTTACGAAAAACATAGAAATCTGCTAAGTTTATGCAGTTTTCCGTCATTATTTCCTTTGTGGAAACATCCTGCGCAGGCAATAAACAACAAAACAATCTGAGAGACACTTTATTATAACTATTGACATATTCTAATCAAATATAAAGTTGTTTCTTGGGTGCATACATACTTTTCCAATCTAATATATACCTAAAGGTTGACGTTGAATAAGGAAAATAAAGAAATTCTACAAAATATACACATTTTGTTACAATTTGTTGCCATGGTAACTCGTTAAATTTAAAATTTGTTTTTATTTTCTGAACAATTTGTACCTTAGTGTAGTTTGAACAAAATGTTAAAAAATTGTTTGGTAACTTTTCAATTTGCACTAATATTTGGGCCAAATAAGGGCCTTATTGCTCCTACTTCTTTATCAAACTGGTCAGAAACATTTAAATGCATGCAGAATTAAGTAAAATAATTCATACCCTTCACCAAATGTTGCTTTTCCAATTATGACTAAGAAGGATAATAAGAAATACCAAAATTTTATTGTACAACAAACCATACCCAAACAACAGCACCAAAGTTTTAGGAGTTTGGTGATGATAGTTGATGGGGTCTGTGTTTACTGTCCAATATTTTTATGCCCCTGCCACTCTGGATTATTAGTTCAAAAATGAATTTCTGTTCTCTAACTTTAGTTTGCCTCAACCTAATGTTATGAAGCCTATACACAATGCTTATTACCACAAAACACAGATCAACTTCAAATTTGGGTTGCGTCACTTTTTTTGTTCTAGAGTTATGCGCTTTTATGTTTCCATTCTCTATCTTCAGTTTGCCTCAACCAAATGTTATGAAACTAATACACATGCTTTTCATCACAAAACTCAGATCAAGTTTTAATTTGGGTGGCTTCACTTTTACCGTTCTTGAGTTATGTCCCTTTATAATGTTATATATGCCAGCGTGGTCATCATCTTTCTCCCATGGAAACATTCTCTATTTATTTATGTATTATTGAACTTTTTGTGACCATATACAATAAATTTGATAAACAATGACTGAAGGTAATTGTTGCTTCTCAAAATAACACTTAATGTTTTAACATCTGTTATGTAGTAAACTTTATATTTAGGTCAACAGCCATTAATTTTAGTTGCTAGGGAGAGTGTTATTCTGCAGTCAGACTTGTTTGGAAAGACAGAAGAAAAAACAATTGGAAAGGTAGGATTAGAAAAATATGGCTTCTAGAAATAGTGAGATAGTTGCATAAAGGTGCACCAACAGACTTTGGGTTTTGTAAGTTGATATCAATTACAGTATAGAAAAGAATAATAGAAGAGAGAATCAAAAATTGAAAAACAATATGATATTTAATGTAAAAAGTTTTTTTTTAACAATATTTGCACTTTTGAATTACCTAGGTCTGTTGACAGAGGTAGCCATATGCAAATGCATGTTATAAAGTATAAATTTGCATATTAATAAATTTACAGACAAGTATTTGTATAATGGATTACCAAAAAGTGACATGAAATAATATGGCCATCATCCTTTTTCACTGGTTGCACCTGCTTCATTCAGGAAAAAGTGGCTTAAAGTAAAAGTGATATATTTTAGATTGCACAGGTTATTTTAACATTTGGAATCTTATCTTACCACATAAACTCTCTTTTTGTTCTTTGCAAATTCATTTTGTTTGTACTTTCAATTACAGAAATCTCCAAACATTTCCTCTTGCACAGTTTTTTTTTTTCAATATATACTGTAAATATAGAAATTATTGCAAGGTTTTTATTAATGGGAATAATGCTACTTGGTGAGTATAGCAAAAAAAAAACTTCACATTCTGATATAGGATACACAATATGTATGATGATTTTCCTGAAATCGCAATAATCAATCTTGCATTTTTGTCCATTTTTCAAAAATCGCAATAATAAATGCATGCAATAATTCCGAATTTACTTTATCACTAAGTTGATTTCATTTTATTATTTACAGGAGAGCAGTGAGAAAATAGCCGGAATTGATGCTGACATGACAGCTAGCCCTTGGTCACTCTTTGTTGTCAGTCATTCCAACCACTCTATAAGTAAAATGACAATCCCTAGCGCAAAGCCGGAGAAAGGGAAAGTAAAAAGGGCAGCTCAACCTGTACCAGAGGTCAGTGATTTTTAGAAAAAACTAGAATCCTGGACTTGCACAAATGGCATTTAAAGTTAAAAGAACATTTAGATTTTGAATATATGTTGAATTGGTTCAAACACAGTCTGAAACAAAATAATGCAGCAATCTTTAAGGAAGAGTCTAGGAATTTTTTCTAGTATATTGCAAAATTATTCATTTTGATTTATGTGATGGTGGTGAACCTAGAATGGATTAGATGTGTCTTCTTTATGAAGAAGATAGTATGGTTAATGCATATTCTTTTTTTTGCCTTTTTGTTTGTATTACAAGTTACCTCCCATTTTGTTAAAAAAAAAAAAAATGCTGAATCCACCTCTTTAAAACATTACAGTTGACCAAATCTGTCTCATGTTTGTTATGATAAATTGAAAGAATTTGACCAATATAGTTAAATTTCAAATACGAAAATGTTAGGTCTGGAAATTCATGATAATGAGTTGTTCTATGTAAGCAAAAATCTGGTCAAAGATAATAAATAACTAGGCTTATAATTTTGTACACTAGACGCGCATTTTGACAACAAAAGACTCATGACTGATGCATGAATCAAAATAGTTAAAAGGCTAAAGAGCCCTTTATAGCTTGCTGTTATGTGTGCGCCAAGTCTCTGTGTTAAAGGCCGTACTTTAAACCTATAATTGTTTACTTTTTACACATTGTGACTTGGATGGAGAGTTGTCTCATTGGCACTCATACCACATCTTCTTATTTTGGGCTATTCCATTAAAATGTATGTGGGAGGGTAGGAAGGGACTTTCAAAATATCCCTACAACCAAGAACCATTTTTGTCGAGCCTTTGACTTTAGTCAAAAAACCAGACATAGCGATCCTACATTCCGTCGGCATGGTCGTCGGCGGCGTCCACAAATATTTACTCTGTGGTTAAAGTTTTTGAAATTTTAATAACTTTCTTAAACTATCCTGGATTTCTACCAAACTTGGACAGAAGCTTGTTTATGATCATAAGATAGTATCCAGAAGTAAATTTTGTAAAAATAAAATTCCATTTTTTCTGTTTTTTACTTATAAATGGACTTAGTTTTTCTGCCGGGAAATATTACATTCACTCTGTGGTTAAAGTTTTTAAATTTTTAATAACTTTCTTAAACTATCCTGGGTTTGTACCAAACTTGGACAGAAGCTTGTTTATGATCATAAGATAGTATCCAGAAATAAATTTTGTAAAAAAATAAATCCATTTTTTCCTTATTTTACTTTTAACTGGACTTAGATTTTCTGCCAGGAAACAACACATTCACTCTGTGGTTAAAGTTTTTAAAATTTTCATAACTTTCTTATACTATTTTGGATTTGTACCAAACTTGGACAGAAGCTTGTTTATGAATAAATGCTATCTAGAAGGAAATTTTGTTTTCTTCCAGTTAACATTACATTCAGTCTGCAGTTAAAGTTTTTAAACATTTATTAGATTCATAAACTATTCTGGATTTTTACCAAAGTTGGACAGAAGCTTCTTACAATCAAAAGATAGTATCAAGAGGAATATTTTTATTGATTTACTTTCTCATTTTTGTTGAGCCTGCGATTAACAGAAAAAGTAGGCGAGACACTGGGTTCCGCGGAACCCTTACGAATTTTTTATATAATTTTGCATAATGGTAATAGATGCATACTGAAAAAAGACCCATGACCCACATTCAATAATTAAACTTCCCTTCCTACCCTCCCACATACATTTTAATGGAATAGCCCTAATATAAATCAGTAACAAAGTAAAAGAGAATGGAGGACCAAAAAATCAGAAAGGTTTTGTCAAATACAGCTAACATTTTTTTTCCTGGCAATTATTTCCTATTTGATGAGAAGATCTTCTTAAATCATAGCGGGGCATTGGTGGCCGAGTGGTCTAAGTAGTCAAACTACTATATCACTAGCCAGTCAACACTGAGGTTGTGAGTTGGAATCCTGCACAGGGCAGGTGCACTCGACTCCAATCTTAATTGACTAGGATTGTCAGTTTTCCTATCGAAGGTCGATGGTTCTCTCCGGGCACTCCGGCTTTCTCCACCAATAAAAACTGACTGCTACGAAATAGCACAATAGTGGCATTAAACACCAATCAATCAATCAATCTTTAATCATATTGCAGTGAATTCTCATTATGCAGACTTGTTCAAAAAGTATAAAGGGTAAGTGAAAATGTGTTTTTTCCTTTTCTTGTAGGTTTTGCTTCATGATCTTGGAGACCCTCATGGAATAGCAGTAAACTGGGTTGCCAAGCATATTTACTGGACTGATTCTCATACACGGAAAATAGAAATGGCAAACTTTGAAGGCAAACAGCGTCGATCTGTTATTTCTTCTGCATTGGATCAGCCATATTCTATTGTTGTACATCCAGAAAAAGGGTATGTAAAAAGTAAAATAACAAAAATACGGGACTCTGAGGAAAATTCAAAACGGAAAGTCCCTAACCAAATGGCAAATTATCAAAAGCTCTAACACATCAAACGAATGGACAACAACCGTCATATTCCTGACTTGGTACAGGCATTTCCTTATTAGAAAATGGTGGATTAAACCTGGTTTTATAGCTAGCTAAACCTCTCACTTGTATGACAGTCGCATAAAATTCCATTATATTGATAACAATGTTTGAACAAAACAGACATGATAGGTAAAAATGTCAAAAAAAGGGATACAGCAGTCAACATTGTGTTATTATCTTAATCACTATAAAACAAATATGTCATAATATACAGAAAGACCTTCTGACAACTGAAACATAATCTTTATGATTTTAGGCATATATATATTTGACATATTTTATCAACAAAAATGTTTTTCTGTTCTCCAGCCTTCTTCTAAAAGGTTTGCTAAGGGGCTTATTTGACCTCCAACGTTGACTCCATTGTTGCAAAGTTTGAAATTTATAGCATCAAATCAAGTTTTAGTTTGGCTCATGTGAATCAATTATCATGCAAACATGCTTTTTAGACATTTTTTCCTTTAAATTATACACACATCTGTAGTTGTATACTGTAAATTCAGAAATAACAATGTTTTTATTATTGCGAATATTGTGAAAAGATAGCTTTTGTAAAAGCAAAAGCTTGCAATTTATATTTTGATAGCACTATTTGTACAAAGCATTTCCAGAAATAGCAACAATTAAGTTGTGTATTTTTTTTCACACTAGTTTCTGAATTTACAGTTTCTGAATCTTGTAATTTTTCAGGAAACTCTTTTGGACTGACAGGGGCTTTCCTCCTAAAATTGAAAGTTCAAACTTAGATGGTAGTAGCCGCAAGGTAGTTGTCAAAGAAGAAATCATTTGGCCCAATGGTCTAGCCATAGACTACCCTAATGGTAGATTATACTGGGCTGACACAAAGAAAAGGACGATAGAGACAGTAGACCTACAGGGGAAAGACAGACATGTGGTTATACAGTTTAACAGTAAGTTCTAGAATTGTTAATTCACTTTAACATGTGCCACATGTGGAGCAGGATCTGCTTACCCTTCAGAAGCACCTGAGATCACCCCCAGTTTTTGGTGGGGTTTGTGTTGCTCAGTCTTTGGTTTTCTATGATGTATTTTGTGTCTGTCTGTTTGTCTTTTTCTTTTTTAGCCATGGTGTTGTCAGTTTGTTTTGGACCTATGAGTTTAAATGTCCCTTTGGTATCCTTCCCCTCTCTTTTAGCATGTTTAAGTATTGACTATCAGCATCTTTTCACATCACACACACACATACACATCTGATCCAAGTAAAACTAGTTTTTATGCCCCACCTAGGGACATTATGTTTTTTGGTCTGTGCGTCCGTTTGTCCGTCCGTCCATCTGTCCCGCTTCAGGTTAAAGTTTTTGGTCAAGTCAGGTTAAAGTTTTTGGTCAAGGTAGTTTTTGCTGAAGTTGAAGTCCAATCAACTTGAAACTTATTACACATGTTCCCTATGATTTGATCTTTCTAATTTTAATGCCAAATTAGAGTTTTGACCCCAATTTCATGGTCCACTGAACATAGAAAATGATAGTGCGAGTGGGCATCCATGCACTATGGACACATTCTTGTTCAATTAATGAGTTAGTAAGAAGGTTGAAGGCTAGCAAGACCAAAGATGGGAGTTAAATTTCAAAATGATTTTTCGTCAGCTACAGGTTCAGACCCTCTTTAATAAACAAAATTTATTGAAATCTCATATTAAGATGATTGAGAGTTTTCTTTGAATAAATTTCTATTGCAGAGCTTGAAACAATAAACATATTAATATATTATAGGATTAAACGCCTTTTTAAAGGAATTTATTGGTGTATAAACTCAACCAATTCACTCACAAACAAATAAAAGTCAAGGTAGTTTTTGCTGAAGTTGAAGTCCAATCAGTTTTTGCTGAAGTTGACGTCAAGAGCCAATACCGGAAGCCCTCTTGACCAATCATATAAATGTATTCCCTCATATGCAAATCATATAAGAATTATAACATAACATCCTAGTTACTTTTACAATTTAGAACTAGCAAGATGCTTGAAATTAATCTGTGGAAAATATTTGGCTTTAAATTACTGTTATTTTCTTGAAAAAAAGTGATGGAGGCAATATAATTAATTAATTGAGAGCTAAACCTCCTGACCAGGGTCACCAATGAAGAAAAAAAAACCAACTGAATGAAATTGGAAGATCTCAAACTCTCCTTCAGACAAAAAAAAAAAAAAAAGGATGAATTTTTCTTAATGCTTTCTTAACCTGAAATCTTACTTTTTTTTTTCACTCAGCTACTACTGGGACACTGGCACCATACATGGTTGATGTATTTGAGGACAATCTGTTTGTGAGTTTCTATCATAACAGTACTGTGATGAAAATTAAGAAATTCCAAACAAATCCACAAAGCCAGGAAGATGGACATTTGTTATTCAAGACACTACTGCCTATAGGCGACATCCTGATTCTTCAACAAAACAAACAGAAATTAAGTAAGTAAAGTACAAAGGCTCATTTAACTCTAATTTTGGCGCCATACTTCCATAAATGTGGCTGTTATTGCATCTTTATATATAAAAATAGGGAGATGTGGTATGATTGTCAATGAGACAACAATTTAACTATCGCCCTGAGTCCAAATAATGTAAATATAAGCAACTATAGGTCACTGTACAGTCATTAGCGTCAGAAGAGGCTAATTGCAATAAATTCAACAGTAATTTTATGTTGGCTAGCTGTTTAACTTGCACTACAGTACATTTCTGAGTCTGCGCTAAGTATAGATATATTGAGAATTTTATCACACGGTTGTTTACTAAGCTAAAGAAGCACGTCATATTATAATTTTTGTCAAAACATTATAAAAAAGACCATGAAATGTAAGAACTATCCACTTGAGAGCAGAGAGAGAGTATGCAAGTAATCATAGGTCACTTCAAAAATGATAAAAGAACCATACTGTAAGCTGTGAATGGCCCTGGCATGACAAAAGGTGAAACAATTCAAACAAAAGGTGAAACAAATTAAATACATTTTCTAAATTTGAAACTGGCTGCATACAAATGACAGGACCATATTTTCTCCTCAAATTAATGGTTAAATTTACTATCTTCTGGTATATTTCTTAAAATATGCCATAGATCTTTGCAGTTTTATAATATAAGGGTTATTTTATGAAAAATAGAAAATAGCACAAAAATACTCAATAAGTATTCCACAAAAATGACTATCTGTATGTTTAATGATGTCAGATCAAATTTTTAAATAACTGCAATTTCTTAAAACCATGCTTGTTTAAAAATAACACAAATATTCTACAATAATAATACATTTTTGATATTGAATTAATACAACATCATATGCAGTTTGTGAGTTAATATATGTATTTTCATCAACTTATAAGATTATTTTTTTTTACTCAGGTAAATTAATCAGTGAGTGATAGATTCTCTTAGAAGAAATTTGAAGGTCCCAGTAAATAAACTACACAGAGAACAATAGCTATTGTATTTTTTTATTCAATGGGACATAATAACAGACAAAAGTTTAAATACCTTGACCAAGAGCAGATGATTATGGAAAACTTTCATTTGGTTAGCAATAGTTACTGGTTCAACTGAAAGTACGAAATCAGTTTATGAAATCTCTTTGGATATTTATTCCAAAATATTATATAGTTTCTATTAGAATTTATGAGTTATCTCCCTTTGGTAATACATTTTATGATTCATATCTTACATGACCAGACAGATATACCTGAAACGATGCTAGATTGTTTTTAAAATTGTGTTTATATAACTTTCCAAAACTGTAATGAGATTATTGTTTTTGTCCCACCAGGTGTCACCCCTGTCTGTTATAAGTAGCCATTCTTTAAATATCCTTTGAATTTTCTTTTCAGTTGACAACCACTGTAATGTCACAGATCTTCACTGTCCTTCAGCCATGTGTATTAATATGCCACAAGAAAGCACAAAAAAATTCAAATGTGTGTGTCCAGATGGTGCTCGTTTCATTGATGAGAAATGTGACTTTTCAACTTGTCATCCTGGACATTGTTACAATGGTGGAAGTTGCAATATATCTAACACTGGACCCAAGTGCATGTAATTATATATTGAGATTGTTTTTTGTCTTGCCTTGAAAGAGTCAAAAAGCGAGACATAGGTATGCTGTTTCTGGTGTCAGCGGTGGCTGTGGCGTCAACAATGTATTAGTTTGTGATTAGGTCTAGTTTATGATGAACCACAAGTGATAGGTCAATGATATTTGGTATGCAGTTATGTTAGCATTGGCACATCTCATTTCCATGGAGATTATTTGGCCCTGCCCCCTCAGTCATGCTCTATTGACTTTGAAACTTTTGCTTAGTTTACATGTATTAGTTTGTGATTAGGTCAGTTTATGGGGAACCAATTGTAGTAGGTTAATGATATTAGGTATGCAGTTGTATAAGCATTGGCATATCTCATTTCCATGGAGATTATTTGGATCCGCCCCCTTAGTCATGGTCTATTGACTTTCAAAATTTAGCTTACTTTACATGTATTCGTTTATGATTAGGTCAGTTCAAGGGGAATTATTCAGTTGTATAAGCATTAGCACATCTCATTTTGATTGAGAATATTTGGCCCAGGCCCCTCAGTCATGGTCTATTGACTTTGAAACTTTTGCTTTTTTCACATGTATTAGTTTGTGATTAAATCAGTTTAAGATGAACTGCTAATGTAAATTCAAAGATATTTGTTATGCAAATTTATTGCCATTTGCAAGTATCGATTCCATGGAGATTATATAGCCCTAACCTCTGATCATGGTTCATTGACTTTGAAACTTTTACATAGTTTACAAGTTAATGTTTGTGTTTATGTTTGTTTAAAGGGAACGACTTATAATAAGTCAATGGTATTTGGTATACAGTCATTGGCACATCTCATTTCCATGGAGACTGTTTAGCCATGTACCTTCAGTCATGGTTCATTGACTTTGAATATTTGCATAATTTACATGTTAAAGTATTGCTATTTTAATTTCAACATTTGCATTATCAAAATTACAAAAAGGTGAGACATATCTCTGTGATAGCAGTTTATTTTAAACAACTACAACAATTGCAGTTCTAGTATTTTTTCCATGGGTGAATTGTTGTAACCAGTCTGTAGGCACAATGTTTTTTTCATATATATGTATACTATGGATTTTACAATTTTTAAGATCTGCGACTCTTTTCACAAAAAAATCTTACGATGAAAATTGATCGTAAGTTATACTGAAATGTGTGTGACTTACGAGTATTTTTACTCTTAAGATTTTTTGTGAAAAGAGCAGCAGATACCTCATCAAGCTAAGATCAAGGGTCCAAGTCAGAACATGTCACATCAAAACAGACTAGTGTTTAATTAAACTTGACCAAACTGTTACAATATTTCCGTGAAGAAAGATGACTAGTATTAATTTTGAAGGTCAAAGTTACAGCTCAGTCTAAATTCAATTATACTGGTGAAAACTGGAAAGTTCTTTACTTCAGAAAACGTCACAATCAGTATTCATCTAGTGAATTGATTGAAACAGGTTTTGTGAACAGAATGTGTCACTACAAAACAGACCAAACTTTTACAATATTTCCATGAAGAAAGATGACTAGTATTAATTTTGAAGGTCAAAGTTACAGCTCAATCTAAGTTCATTTGTTCTGTTGAAAACTCAGATGTTCTTTACTTTAGAATCACTGATTATCTGGTGAATTGATTGAAACAGTTTTTTTAACCTTTTTTCCAACTGAGGGCATAGCATATTTTTTTTAAATAAAGTTTTGTAACTTTTTGGTTTAAACCCCCTCCCCCCAAAAAATTATTAAAAATGCCAATATTTTACCACTAGTTTCATAATGTTTCTGATATCTTAGAGCTAATTTCCTAATGCTTGTAGAGTAAGACTTTGGTTGGCTTGCTTGCTTTGTTTGTATAAACGTCAGCTCAAGCATGGTTATTAAGATTGACATCTGCAAACAATATAGGTAGGCAAAGTTAAACCTGTATATTTATTATATTTAAATTTGATTGAATGTTATCCCAATTACAATTGTACAATATACAAACAAAGAAAGCAAGCTAACCAAACTCTTACTCTACATGCATTAGGAAATTAGCTCTAACCTTATTGTATGTTATCTATTAAAGCTGTCCACCGGGATATGATGGAAGCAGGTGTGATAACTATCTATGCAATAACTACTGTCAAAATGGAGGCCAGTGTATGATTCATGCAGGAAAACCAATATGTAGATGTCCAGAAATGTTCACAGGGAAAACTTGTAATGAACACAAGAATCCATCTCTTTGCAAGGGTTTATGTGAAAATGGGGGCACATGTGTAATAATAAATGGCAGGAGAACATGCAACTGTCAAAAGGGATTTACAGGTAAGACAATGTAGAATTGATGAGAAAAAAAAGGTAAATGTATACTATAAATTCAGAAATTATTGCAATTTTTTTATTAATGTGAAAAATTCCTTAATTTTGCTTGTTTTTAAGTCAAAAATATATTTTGTTGGCCTCTAAGGTGCCACCTGAAGTTGGAACCCAATACACAGCTTGGTCAGCCATTTGTGTATCAAATATTGAGAAATACACAGAAAATTGAACTTAAATAGACACAAAATTGAGCATAAAAGAACATCTATGCATATTCCTAAATTTTGTTATTTAGTGGTTCACAATTTTCTAATTGAAATATGCATAAAGAATATTACAGTATTAATATTTCTGCTAAATTGACAACAACACTTAAGTTAACTGCAACTTTTATTGGTGGACATGTTTCAACATGATTAGATCTGTGTCTTCACAACCTGATTTAGTGATATTTGAAATTTTTTATTTAACAACCCTGTAGACCATAGGTATTCTCTTAAGGAAATACCTACACGAAATTTAGGAAGCGTTGTTTAGCAGTTTTTTTTTATTTATTTCTTTATTTAATATCAATAATAGTATTACTACATTTATACATAAATATTGTGTTACTATGGATTAATTTATTTTTTGTGGGTACCAATTTTCGTGGATCAAAGAATACTTATATATTTGTGGATAACCAATTTCGTGGTTTTCCCGATGTCTGCATACAAACCTTTAGATAATTTGTCTTTCATTGAACATTAAATTTTGTTGAATTTCTATAAGTGAACCAACACCCGAAGTGGTGATTGTGCGGTAGGGTAAAAATAAGGGGATACCGCTAGGTATTCACAGTTGTCTTAAAATAGATAAGAATAAGTCTCCACAAAAGACAACAACACTCATATATTTTACGCATTGCAATAGTTTTATTGGTCGACATGTTTCGCCTATAGATAGGCGTCTTCGGGACAATGTTATATACAAAATTTACAGTGAGGTGTATTTCTTTCGGTTAAATTTCGTTGTTCAACCATAGCCACGAAATCCACGAAAACTGGTATCCAACGAATAATAATGAATCCACAGTAACCTTTTCTTTTATTTCTTAGGAACAAGATGTGAACAGTGCACTTCTCTTATGTGTTACAATGGTGGAACTTGTCACCATAGCGACAGTAACTCCCTGCAGCAAACCTGTGTTAATGGGAACTGTTATATAAAAAGTGCAGTTTACTGTGTTTGTCAAAGTGGATATGATCCAGACTCACAATGCTCTACTGCATCTTGTAAGAACTATACTTGTCTAGTAAATCACATCTGTAAGCTAGACAAAAATGGTCTACCAAAATGTGTTTGTAAAGAGGGTTACAGTGGAAAAAATTGTGATCCTCCTATTGTTGGATCTGATTGTGGAACAGGATGTAAAAATGGTGGTAAGTTTATTTGGATTGTCTCCCTTAATGACATTTTGTAAAGGGAGATAATTCACTAATTTTATTTACATTTCCTTTTGTTGAACATACTGTCATATGAAATAACCATATATTGTCTTTCTAAAATTCCACATGACAGGGATCAATTATTACTTTTATTTTCATGTTTTTTTTTTTAGAATTCACCTAGAACTACATGTATGAGTAAGGGTCCCGAAACTGTCATATTTGCCAGTCATGACCTAAACTGAAAGCTTTTTGTCCTAAACGGTAGATTGGGATTTAGGACATTTTATTTTTATACAGAAATAATTTCAGTCATTTCATTGAGATCGGGTTTCTTAATCACCATTTTGCACTTGTTTCTGTTTTGCAATCCATTTCCTGTAATAAAACTGCCACTCCAGTATAGTATGATAATCCTGAGGGCCCTCCAAATAACTATATTAATGCCTCCAGGAATAGTTGGTTAATGATCGCTAATCACTTTTTACCTGTATTTTTAATTCACACTTGACATTGATCAAAAAGCTCAGAACTAATATCATAAAGAAATTAAAATTCCATGACAACTGTCTTTCTTATTTATTTACTTTTCAGCAAAGACAATTGTCAATTCTGATTTAAAAATTAAAACTTAATTTAATTTACATAGAAAAAAGTAATTTTTCACGAGATGAACATGTGCTTTATTTACTATGTAATACACATGCGTGATATTGTCTTCAGCAGATTAGACACTTAATTGTAAATGCATAATGATTTCATGCTAAATTAAACGAGTGCAACTATTATCTGTTATATTCAAACACTTTTAAAGGTAATAAAATTAAAAAGCTGGTGATTTCCTGACAATTTGATAAACAAAACGAATCCCGGAAATGAATCTGGAATTACTCATACTTTAGTATTGTCGCAAAACTTCTGGATTTAATTTCGTCTTCAAAATCGAAAAAAACGTCAGCTATGTCTGAGAAATATACCATTTTGAGTCATTAAAATCATTTCAATTTTAAACTGTTGCCTTCCCTAAACTGTTCTTGAACGTTTATAGAAAAATGATAAGAAAATTCATGAAGTAAATGCGATGAAATAGTCAATACAAGTTCGTTGATGCTATGAATCTCGTGTAATTTCGACAATTTGAAAAAAAGGGCACCAACTTTTAAGTCATTAATTAGTAAATTTATTTAAAAAAAAATTACTTTATGCTAAAAGATATGGATTGATATCAATAAAATTTTTCACAGTTGTGCATAACAGTAAGTAAGTAAATAAGTAAGTAAATTTTCATTATAGTGAAGTGTGTAATAACATGTAGAAAATTTGAGAAACATCTTTATGAGTAAGGATTTCATTGAAATCTGATGTATATAGGTATAATATGCTGTATCAAACTGGTGTCTTAAATGGATTTTTATGAAAATCGAAGGGGGAAAATTGCAGTAAAAGTTACTTTTTATCAAAAAATTCTAATTTGATAAAAAAAAAACATCACATCTTGTTCATGGAATAAATATATATATTGAAATTAAGGATATGGATGAGGAATCATGCACAAGACAACATTCCCTAAAATGCTAAAAAAATTATTGGATACAACCATAATTGAAAATTTTGATATTAAAGAGCCATTGGAAACTGTATAAGTGAAATTTATAAAATATATTACATGACACATTTTTGATTATTTATGCAGTAATATTTTTTGTTTGTTTTAGGCACTTGTAAACAGAAGGACAACTCACTTGATTATGCATGTTCATGTCCTCCCCATTATAAAGGGACTTACTGCCAGACTGCAGAGAATAAATGTGCTGGCTACTGTACACACAATGGAACATGTCAACTAGGTAATGTATAGTCATTTGTTGAGCATCCTTAAGGGTTCATTTGGATGTAGAAATTACACTGTTTTTTAGTCCCCTACAGACAAAGTTGAAGGGGACTTTAGGTTTGAATATATTGATTTGATAATTGGTATATAGTTTTATCATGACAAGTTACAGATCAAGTTCATATTTTGTTCTGGTCTGATGATTTTGTACAGAGTTAGGGTCCTTGGACTTCGAAAATTCACTTAAATAATCAGTTTTCAACGCTTTTTTTCGTCATATTGAAGATATTGACTTGATATTTGTTATATAGTTTACACCATAATAAGTTATAGATCAAGTTAGCATTTTGTTCCAATACAATGAATTTTTAACTGGTAGGGGAATATGTATTGCCATGCAGTACTCTCAGAATGCTTGTTCCTTTGTGGAATCATCATGAGCAGCCCAGAAACGGAACAAAATAATTGTAGAGAAGCTTTTTTAAAGCTCTGTTACATAATTGGACCAAATACAAAGGTGTTTCTTGAATGATTTTTTTCTTTTCCAATTCTGCATTTACCTAAAAGATGATGTATACAAGGAAAATCAAGATATTTTACAAATATACAATTTTTGTCATGATTTGTTGGTGTGTTATCTTGTCAAATGTTTTTTTCTTTTCTTTTCCAAACACATTGTACCTTAGTATAGTAAGGACATTTTAAAGAACCTCAAGGGTTCATCTGAGTGTAGAAACGACCACCTGAACTTCTTTCCACCAATAAAATCCCTGCAGAGGGGACGTTCATTTGTCTTACTAGGATATATGAATTTGTAGATACCTTTATCTGGAAAAAAGACTATAAAATTGGTGTCTCAATCATGTAGAGAAAAAACCAAGCTATGGCATGTTAACGATCCCTTGATACAACTGTTTGAAGGATTAGTAAGTAATATTTTGAAAGTCAAACCTTCTGTTCCTAACTAAAAAAAAAACAAGTTTATTGCACTATATGCTGTTAAAAAAATACCATGTCTACAGCATTTGACAGGGTATCCCTGTAAGGTTAGTTTTGCTAAACAAACAGGGAAATTGTTCAGTGAATAATAATCAAGTGTTCAGGGATTGAAGTTAAAATTTTGGCATGGTAGCCCACAGCTTAAAATTTGTAGCCAATATATATAGAAATCAGAAATTTTAGTAGTCCACACCAAACTTTAGGGGCCATTGGCGAGTGGGCCCCTGCTAATTTCAAACTGTGGTGTTAGTTTTACATTCTATGTAAACTACAGATTGCTACAGAATTTATTTTTCCGGAAAAATGACATTCATCGATTTGACTTTGTAGATATAAGTTGACCTGGCGATGACCCTTCTGTTCCTATCCAATATACCTTGTGTCATAATAGTTTCATTGACTTTTAAAGTTTGTCTTTAATTCCTTACAGGACGGATTTCAGAATTTTTTTTTTAACATACAATGAAATTTGAGGGATCGCATTGTTTGATTGATTATTTAAAGAAAAATAATCAGGGTTTTGTATCCATCACTGTTATTATCACCAAGTGTTAATTTCAATTTTTTGTACTTGAAGAAAACTTGCTTTCCAATTTGACAAGCAAAGGAGTAAGGGTGGGGCATTAAGGTCCATTTAACTAAAAAAAATAAGAACTATTTCAAATTTGCACATAGTGTTTAATTTTTGAAATGAACACAATTTAGATACTTTTATTAAATATAAGGTTGTTTCTTGAGTGCACACTTACTTACAATCCAAATAATATGTTGATGTAAAAAAAGGAAAATCAAACTTTTTTTTTACAAAATATGCAAATTTTGTCATGGTTTGTTGCCATGGTAACTCATCAAATGGGAAATTTGTTTTTATTCTTTAAACACTTTGTATGTAGATATAAGAAGATGTGGTATGAGTGCCATTGAGACAACTCTCCATCCAAGTCACGATTTGTAAAAGTAAACCATTATAGGTCAAAGTACGGCCTTCAACACGGAGCCTTGGCTCACACATAACAGCAAGCTATGAAGGGCCCCCAAAATGACTAGTGTAAAACCATTCAAACAGGAAAACCAACAGTCTAATCTATATAAAAAACGAGAAACACTTATGAACCACATCAACAAACGACAACCACTGAACATCAGGTTCCTGACTTTGGACAAGTGTACCTTAGTATAGCATAGTCACATTTTTAAAACATGTATGGTTGATTTTTATTCACACTAATACTTCCACCAAATAAGGACTTTATTGTCCCTTCTCCTTTGCCTTCCTTTTCCTTAAAGACTGGAAAAAGGGCTCCGACAATATTTGTTACTTAAAATTCAATTTATCAAGACAATATAAGTTTTGGCCATGGATCAACTTCTATACACTACCTGGTCACTTGATTTTGTGAAAAAAATTTCATAGTTAGAATATATTGTATGGTTCCAATTGATGGAAAACTGAACATGTATGAAACTCACAGTTAAATGCATGCATAATACATAGTTTTGATTGTACAGAAATTTAATGAACTTTTATTTTTTTTCCAGAGAATGATAGTCCTAAATGCAGTTGTAATGAGTACTTCACAGGATCAACGTGTGAAACTTGCCTCTGTCAAAATAATGGGATATGTAAATCAGATCAGAGCAAGTTCTACTGCTCGTAAGTCTTATTACATTTGGCTAACCATCATATAAACTTATTATAAAATCATTTCAGAATGCACTTTTGTTGAGGTTGAACCCAAATAGTTATTTAGCCTGCAATTACTTTAATGGATCCTGTACTTTAGTGTTAGCTTTCAGTTTATAGTAAAGTTAGAGGTTTGTTTCAAGTCGGGGTTAGATTAAGGTCTAGAGTAAGGGTTTGGTACGGATAAGAATTAGTATGTTCCTCCCCTAAGATAAACAAAGGCCAAATGGTAGAAGGGTTCAGGTTTGTTGATGTAAGCTGACATAAGTATTGTAAATTCAGAAATTATTGCTAAGTTTTTATACGCCCGTTTATGGGACGTATTATGGTATACCGTTGTCCATCTGTCCGTCGTCAACATGTTGGACATTAACTCAAAAACGCTTTAACCAATTTGCATAAAACTTGCATAAAAATTGTTTATATCTATTGACGTGAGCTCCCTTTCGTTTTTTCCAAATTTTAGATTTTACGTTTTCGAGTTATGGGGTTTTTATTAAAAAAATCAAAATGCTTTCAGCAGTTCTTATGAAACTTTGGTGAATTGTTTATATCTATTGATGTAAGCTCTGTTTAGAATTTTATAAATTTTACATTTTACTTTTCTGAGTTATGGGTTTTATTCATTAAAAAAGGGGAGATTTTCCAGTTTTCGGACAATAACTCAAAAATGCTATCAGCAATTCTCATGAAACTTTGGTGACTTGTTTCTATCTATTGATGTAAGCTCCCTTTACATTTTCATAGATTTCTGATATGACATTGAGAATTAATTGAACTTTAATTGTTTATAGTCTGACAACAGATTTATTAAGTATTGTGCAACAGCACAGTGTATTGCACAACAGCAAGAAATATTTGATTGAATATAAATTCAATTCATATAACCAATTTCAAGTTCTTTGACTACATTTATTCAGAAACCTATAATATGTCAAATATTTAATACAATCCAAATTTAGACCTATATCAAGCTTGAATATTGTGTCCATTTTTGCCCCAACTGTTCAGGGTTGGACTTCTGCCGGTGTATCCAGCTGTGCTCAGCGAAGCAGTTTATTTATTAATGTGAATAATGGGACTGAGTGAGTATCAGAATAATAAGAACTGGCATTCAGAGTTTCCTGAAATCACATTTTTGTGCATTCTAAAAAATCACAATAATAAATGCAAGCAATAATTTCTGAATTTACAGTATTAGAGACATTTTGAAGAAGGGCATAAACATAGATGTAAGCAACTATTGGGTGCTCTACAGCCTTAAACAATGAGCAAAACTCAAACCACAAAGCAAGCTATAAAATACCGGGGAATTAACAAAATGTAAAACAATTCAAATGAGAAAAACAACTGCCTGATCTGTACATAACAAGAGAGGAAAAACAAATATGATATGCAATAACAAAGGACAACCAGTTAATTACAGGCTACTTACTTGAGACAGGCATTACCGTGAGTGGCTTTGTAAAGTCTGCACTGGTATTCTGTCCGCACCCCCTTTCCGCCACTGTGAATTCAGGAAAAAAAAATTTTTTTCACTTGTTAAAAATTTCTATTGGAATTCTGGTAATTTCAAAGCCTTTGTGATCAGCAACCATCCATAAGCATTTTACATTTGTCTTTTAAATCCATATTTTACAGAAATTATAATTAAGTTAAATTTACTAATATTTTTCACTTTTGCAGTTGCCCAGGCAATTACAGCGGGAAACTTTGTAATACATCTGCGTGTGGTGATTATTGTTTCAATGATGGTCAATGTACAAAGTGTACGAAAGATAGTTCCACAGGAAGATACAAATGTTCAGCTTGCAGGTAAGTCTGCTTCATTATGAGATTAGAATCATTGATATTTTATCGGGAAAATTAGTTCAAACTTAGTATGCTGACCTCTGCATGTATTATTACATTGTTATTTGGTAGAAGTGGTATTGATGTATTACCCTCATTTCCATGTATTGTCGCAAAAGAAAGACATAGAAATTTTTATATTTTGGCGTCAACATTTTTTTTCAGTCTGATTTCTGTTATTTTAAACAATGACAACTTTGTTAAACCTAAATGGAATTTCATTATCCATATAGTAGGATTGCCAATGAGACAACTATCCATTAGAAACCAAAGGAGAAGAATTGGTTGATTAATTCATATTTTTTTACTGCTATATTTTATATTTATTGGATTTTATGAGCTCCTTAGCGAACATGAACTGTAACACCCTTTATGATTATGATTTTTATTTTTATCAAGTTTAATTTGCATATGTAAATAAATTGACCTAATGTTTTATGAAGTTAATCCTCTTTTCAGTTGTACAAACGAATTTGGAGGGGAGCGATGTGAAACACATGCTTCTGCACAGAGTCAAGCACATACAAGTGATATGAAACAGATGATAACCATTGTAGTTCCTGTGGTCATTGGTGTAATCTTAATCTTGGTCATCTTATTGCTTGTCATTTTATACAGGAGGAGAAGGTAAAATAAATATTTTGTGTGAACTTGTTTTTTTTTTAATTTTTAAATGTATTCAGACAGTGTTTCACGAAGGCAGTCCTGACTCCAAGGTAGGTAGTTTTGAATATTTAGAAAAAGATATTAATTTCATCATTGAAATATAGTATGAAAAATCATCACCCCACTAAAAAGATGAAAAGCATGACTTAAAAAATTGTTTGTTGTTGCTTGTCTGATTGAATTAGGTGCATTTGAGATAACTTCAAGTGCATATGATAACATTGATATGAAGTATGCTGTTGTGTAATATAATCTTAATTCTCCCATTTTCAAGATTTGGTGACTGATTTTCCTTGTGTTAATTTAAAAAAAAAGTTGTTTTTTTCTAGGTAAGTAATCCATAATGATATAAAGGTAATAAATTACATTGTGCCTTTTCACATTGTCAATGGGATCTATTTCAAATTTGACTATAAAATCAATATACCATAACTTTTCTACTTTTGATAAGTATTATACCTGACCCAAACAATAGCCAAAGCCCTAAAACCTCACCCCAAACTTAAAACTTAAAACCTAAGCCTATACATAAACTGAACAATAAACCTAAAGAACAGAATCTCCTTTAGAAAAATAAGGATGTAATTATTTCTTTACATCAGTTCTAGCATAAAAAATATTTAATTTTGTGATAGGTATTAGAAATCTAGTACATAAATTCATAATCAAATACAAAATTAACTAAGTACATTTTTTTCCAGGGACCAGTTCAAGCATCAAAGAATGCACAATTCCAACATGGAGATTAACAATCCAATTTATATAGCCAGACAACCAGGAGATGGTGAAATAGAAGGACAGGGGTCAGAAATTGAACCATTAGATATTGAGGGCGAAGACCATGTAAGTACCTACTGTTCTTATTTAAATTGTTTTTTTTTCAAATCTTTAATTTTATAGTTTGCTTGTTAATAAGAGTTGTGTTTGTTCATAAGAGTTGTGTTTGTTCATATTGGCATGAAAGGTTATTTAGTTACACTGGGGAAAAAAATAATTCTGACAAGTTCAAAGCCCAGGACATTTACTTTATGATTAGCCAAGGTTAAATAGAAATGAGTCGAGCCCTACATTAAGAAAAAACTGAAACCTAATTTTAAAATTTTAATATTTCTTTAACCTCTCATCAAATTTCATATTTATTTTAACATACTGGTTTTGAAAGAGAGCTTGTAAATCTTTAAGAAGTGGTTTGAAGAGAAGTTAGGTCTGGCAGTTTCAATGAGCACTTTTTCCCTTAGGCAATGGCCTGTTTCTGGTTTATATACTTCAAGACTTGCATTTGAATTTTATAAAAGTTAAGTTAATTTTTCAGTAATACTAGGGGAACTTCTGTTGATCTAAGGAATATGGCCATGAATGCCTCAAATTATCCCTAAAAATCAAACTTTATTATTCCATATGTAAAAACTGTTCTTTTAACAATGTTGAAAGTTTCAAAAGGATAATATTTTACAACTTTTTAGCCAAATTGCATGTTTTTATGCATTTGCAAGGCCTATTTCCTTCTGAAAAACATTGGCCACACACTTTGACCAAAATAAAATTGTTATAAAAAGATTTATTTGGGTCAGATACACATTCTTTCAAAAAGTATTGGTGGTCCTTGCATGTGACCAATTTTGGTTGAAGCAAAAATTAATTATTATTTTCTTCATCAAAGTGTCTAATTATGACGTCGTAATGACATCACAATAGTTCTAATGTGTCAGATCTGGTTGAATTTGTTTTTGTCAGATATCTTTACATATTTTGTCATCAAACTTTTAATTTTTGTTACTGAAGTTCAATTTTACAAAATTTTATGGTAAACATGGACCTTTCATGAACCTACTCCTTTGTTGCAATCTGTGTAAACCTAACCTCCTCTGACAGTTAAACTCTGTTTCCTTTATTGCATATTATTTGCATTAAGAAAATATGTAATGATTCATTGAGATAAATAATTCAGTATAAATAATTGTATTTCTTTTTTTCTTTAACAGAATACAAACTTTGCTAATCCAATGTATGCAAGACTTTATACTACAGACAGTACACAGGTGCTTTTACCAAAAGATAGTGACAGTGAAGACACTTTAGATCAAAATGGTGATCTGAACTTTTATGGGTCAAAGGGCAATCCAAAGAAGTCAAATTTTTGATAACTGTCATAATAATTGTGTGTACAGATGTAGTTCTTTCATATCATTGCTCAGTTGTTAAATCTACAAATTGTGTTACTTCATTATTTTTACTTGACTGAGTGTGTATTAAACAGCTACACAATTTAACAATGTCATATTTTTGAAAAGGTAAAATTTGGTAGATTTTGATGATGAAGTCTAATTGTCAAGCAATTTAGTAATACTATATACACAGATATTCAATAAAAAAAGCATGTGCATGTGTATATCCATACTTGTTAAGAAAACAACTTTATAAAATATCTTACAATATGCATTTATCTATCTATTCTATGAACAGTTTTGGACAAAAAGGGGATAATAAGATTCAAACTTTTGCCTTAACATATTTTTTTCGTAAAGAGTGAAAGCAAACTTTTACCTCTCCGTGCTCAAAAGCCCTTTAATTAGATTCTAGCTGTTGCTCAAATGAAAAAGGCTGATTCAGTTACCTTTACTTTTGATTATTCTAAACACAACTGGACCAATGTTTATTTTTGGAATACAATGGTTTTTTTTTCTTCTATGATGCTATTGTAAATAGATAGAATTGCTTGAAAAAGAACATACTTTCTATTAACACCATTTTCAGTGCATGTTTGTTTGTGTGTGAAATAAATGACATTCAAATATCAAGAGCTTTATACATGATGAATTTGATTGGTTAGTTTGAATGTTGTACCTAAAATGAAATGGTATGTATTTGATGCTAATTTAGAATATTTGTTGATTGAAATTATTATGGTATTTGTTTCAAATACTAAAAAAGCACATAAACACTTCAACATGAATATTTTTGTGTTTAACAGTTTTCAGTATTTTTGAAGAAAACATTGTACAATTTCGTTTTTTGCTGCTATATATGATTTTTTTGTCAATTTAAATTCCAGTTTTACCCAATATTAAGTAAATATTTTCATATTTTCACCTAAAAAAAAAACGTTTTAAGTGCTTACATTTTGCATTTTCTTATGAGCTGTGTCAGATAGAAATCGACCTTATGCAAATGAATATCAACACATTTTGTTAACCTATTTGAGTTGAAAAAATCTTGATGCAAAGTCTGTAACTGTTTGAAAATTGAGTTGATATAAGAATACTACAAAACAGACAAACATTCATCTTTTATCTCGTATTTGAATGTTCCAAAATCAATCAAAGTTTTATACATGTACATGTATATTTGCACTTGCAAAAGGTCGATTTCTATCCGCCAAAGCTCGTGTATTGTTGGGAAGGCAGTTTTATATAACATATCATATTAATTGAAACGTCCAAGTTTGATCAGTTATCCTTTTTAAAAAGGAAATTGATTTATATACATTCATTCATTAATACATAAAAACTTATATTAATATTCATATCTTTGACATGTAATGTTTGAAGATAAGCTGCATTGTAAACTCAGAGTTTCCAGAGTTTTTAACAATTCACGATCCACAGGGTTTTACATCAGACATTGTTTTTTTTTTATGTATGAGAGTGGTAAGTGTATAATTGTGAGTATAACTGCTGACCAACAAGATCTGGTGCTTAATTTTGACCTCTAACCTTCAAAGGCAAGGTCATTTCATTGTAATTATAGCTATTTTTGAGGATTTGTGAATAATGAAATGAATTGTTATAATTGATGTATTTCCGTTTATATTTTATTTATACATGTTGTGCTTTCATTTTACATAAATATAATTTTTCATTTTGGTACTGTTATATGAATTGTATTTTTTATACTTAGTTTTTAGAAAATTCTAGTGTATTTATATGTTTTATGTGTATTTTTTATACTGAGCTTTGAGAAAATCTAGTATAAAATCAAAATCAATTATTGTACATACAGATACGAATAATTTCCACCTATCTTTATTGAACATGTTGAAAGGGTTTTTACGTAGCAAGGTTTATTGCAGTAATCACTACGCTTTATAAGTATTGTATATCTGCTTGATGTCACACTATCTTATCTATTAAATGCAGAACTAAAGCCTATCACTGGTACATCAACTACTCTTTATAAGTACTGTTTTACTGGTCTGTATCTCATATTATCTATTTTAAACGGGACTAAAGCCCACTACAGGTACATAAACGTTTTAAAAATATTTGTTGATTGATGATTACCAAGTTCTCTAATTCAAATTGGAACAGATGGCACAAGTTGAAACAGTCATAACTTTTTAAGTAAGTTCCATTAAGCAATTTATTGTGTTGATTCTGGAATGTTTAACAGCATCATTGGTTTTGCTGTTAAAACTTCTCTGATAAGATAAGTTTGTCTTTATGATTGAAGGTGCAATCTTCATCTTTGATCACAAGTTTAACCATTTATGTTGAATGTTATACAATTATCTTGTCTATATGGATCTGTCTGTTTCTTTTATGAATCTTTAAAGGAATACATTTTTTTTGGCTTTTGATGCCTGTTCAAGTGAAGCTTTTAGTAGTTTATAGGTTGATCTGGTGAAGTATAATCTGTTATAGAGAGAAAACTCTAAAACGTTTCATTTGTTATACTATAAATATTATTTATGATAAGAAATTTATGTGTTGTGATATAAAGGTTGTGCTTTGTTTTAACATTCCAGTAATTTTAGTTGTATTATGTGATATTGTTGTATATCATTGTACAAAGTTATGTTGTGGTTATTGTGTTTATTAAAAAAAACATCCCTCCGTAATCATATGTTATTAATAATTCGCTATAGTTAATTTTTTTTCTGCAAACACTTTCATCTTTTCCAAACTGTTTTAATCAACCCAAGTTTCAAACATTTGCTATATTTAAGTTTTTTTTGGCAAACACTTTCATCTTATTTTACAAACTGTTTTAGTCAACCCAAGTTTCAAGCATTTGCTATAGTTATTTTTTTTCTGCAAACACTTTCATCTTTTACAAACTGTTTTACTAAACCCAAGTTTCAAATTTGAATTATTTTTAAATACCTATGTGAGTTTTGGTATTCAGTTGAATATGTTAGGTGTAAGATGATTAAGCTTTACCTCCTTATTTTCTATTGCTTGTCCACAACAAACTGTGATGAATAATTATGAAATGCCAAATCTTAAAAATCAAAAGCATTATATTTTATACAAGTTATATGAAAATTGTTGTTTGTAATTTTCTTTGTATAAAAATGGGTTCATGAAGCCAAATATTTTCAAGTTTATTTAGTGTTTAGATTAAAATATTATTTTTTGGGCACTAGAAGAACAGATTAGTATATAAAATGGCCAAGAAAGCCATCATTTTAGTTTATTCTTATGAAAAATATTATTCGAATTTATAAGGGAAAATGTCAAAAACTATTTAGTATGAGAGATAAAATTGTTTTTTGTTTCATAAACACATTTTTCATGCAAGAACATCTTTAAGTTCTTTAAAGTATTGTTACCAAAGAAAATTGATCTTCCATAGAGTAGAAGGTGTGATACGGCCGTATTTGTCCTGCTGTTCAAATTATAAGTACTATTATAGTTTACAGTAAAACTATTTTCACATTAAATTTATATAAGAAAGATGTTATTTTGATAGATTAAGGTACACTTGATTTTACTAACAGGATATTTTTACAGAGATGATATACCTTTTCCAAATTATTTTTGATATAATTCAAGTATCTTTAGTTTTGTTACTCTCATATCATTCAAAAATTGAAAGTTTGTATAAAGACTTATTTCGAAGAAATATAAAAAAAAAAAACATATGAAATGGCTGTTACATTGTCATTGTCATTTTAAAACAAAAGTAATCATAAATTATCTAGGATTATTAAAAGATTTCAGATTAGGCAAAAATAGCAATATCATATCTTCTTCTGTGTATAAATATTTATGAATCAGGAATTTTCATACAATTTGAACATATGTCTGTAGTTAGAATATAATAGAAAGCTAAACTATCATTGTTGACAGTTTTAAATGATTAAAGTTCATTAATTAGCTTTTGATATTTATATGTTTTAAACTTCTCCTTAGGCACAACTTGCAAGTATTAAACAGTTTGTAGTAAATTAGAAAAACCTTTAATTTTCCTCCCTGTTTGAAGACAGGTTTGACATAATAAGCACATTTACTACAAAATATTGAATAGATAGTATAAGTGTTCTAGTAACATATGTTTTTCCAGTTAATTTTTCAGGTAATTGTATACCTAAAAATTGACAAATTCAGATAATTGATGCTGCAAATATAAACTGTAACGGTCAATGCAATAATAAATGGATCTGCCAAAAATTGCTGGAAAATACCAATTTGTTTATTCCTTTTTATTAAGACTTAAGTAAAGACCAAACCATATTTATTTTGTCATGTTTTTTTTTTACACACACACATTGAGGTAATATATTACATAAGTGTTAACCTAGTTTACCTTTCAAGTCCATTGTAATTTTTTTCAGTTCCACTTCAAGTTTAAAAAAACTTAAGTGATGCATCATTTCTGTAATTTTTATAGAGTTTTACACACATTAAAGTAGAACATACAAGTTTTATTCTAATATAAAGGTACAACTAAACTTATTCAAGAATAAAAAAGAATTGTTCAGGTGGTCATTTTTTTAAAAATTTTAGCAAGTGCTATTTATTGATTGGTCAGTTATTGAAGACAACATATTTGAGTTGATGCAGTTTGCTTCAAGTGATCTTACAACTAAAGTTGATGTTAAGTATACTGAATTGTTCATGACTTACAATCAACTTTAGTCATACATTTTTTGTGAAACTGATCAATGTTTCCTAGGCCTTAGCAAAAGCAAGCTAATCTACTTTGATCAAGTGGAGAATAAAAGTTGAATTATATTTTTGATTTCAAATATTTGGTTTTATACTTTAATACATGATGAAGGATAATTCAGGAGAATATTAGATGTGCATTTTAAGCAGTGTCGTACATTTATATTGTGGCATTTGAGTAAATTCAAGTTTGACTCTTTCTATTGAGCTCTAAAGTACCCGATTACACGAATGTATGACAAGTGGAACAAAATTAAAAAAAATATCAAGAAAAATATCCAAGTAATGTTTGGTTATTTTGGTTCAATTTTATAGTACAGCCTAGTTGGACAAAACTCATAAATATATGTTACAAATGGTAGTGATATGTCTTATCAAGGAACTTGAGATTCCTGATAGGGTAGGAGTTCTTCCAAATTTATAAAATATCAGCACATCATTTTCCATTCCGTCTCACAACATATTGTATATTTATCATAGCTACTAAGAGACAAAAATAAAGTGATTATATATAGTAATGTGTTTGAAGTTTGTTTTTAGGTTATTATTTAACAATATAAAAACACAGATAGTTACCTGATAATAATGTCCTCCTGTATGATGATTTGAAAAGTTTGAGAATATTATTCATTTGAAGCTACAGGAATAGGAAACTTAGAAAAGTGTTAAATTTAAGATCATCTAAGAATTCTTTGATGTATGAATATAAGTCATATTTTGACATAAACTGCATTATTACAATTAAAAATGTCAAAAGTAATTGTTAAAACAACAAACTAGACGTGACAATCAATATTGTCTTGGACAATAATTAGAGGTGAGAGTAGTTTACTGTTTATTTCATCAATGTATCAGAATATGCTCAAACAAAAACTGAAAAAACATGCATGAACTCAAAAAGAATAGGAAACCTGGTCCATCGGCAGGGTAGACATCTATTGCTAGTTAATTTACAGATAACACGACTTTTCTGATCTCTGAAAAAAAAGACCTCAAAATTATATCATTAGTGAGTTGCAACAGACATATAGTATCACCAGCCCAAGAATCAGCACGTCTGCCTTGACATGAACTATTAATGATGTATGTTGTTATTCAAAACACCCAAGGTTTTTCTACCACCATGCATAGATGACCATCTTTGATGAAACTAGAACGGTGCCACTGTTTTTATTTTTACAAAATTCCGATTGTAATTGATGCATTTTCATATAAATTGAAATGGTGTGTGAAAACTTATATGGTTTACACCACTGAGACGACACTTCCACACAATAAACCTACTGCATTTAGACCATAATACAAAATTAAAATCACACAAGGGCTTCAAGAGTTTGAAATAAATTAAACATCGCCTAACAAGGATCTGCAACTATTGCATCAAATTCCCTAAAGGACAAATACGAATACAAAACTAAAGACAACGACTGTCAGATGCATGACTTGCAACAGGAACACCGAACTTGTTTCGGGGAAAAAAACTTCATCTTTTTAATATATCAAGTGTCCTCGCTGTCAATCAAAATCAGTGAAATGATTTACGTTAAAATTAAATTTAATGCCTGTTTACTTCAATGAGGATTGCTGACAGCCAAATGACAAGTGGCTCACCCCATGACAAATACATAGTCATATGAAAGACCCTGCAATCGAAACTAGTCAAAAATGCATTTAACCATTTAGTATACTGACAGCAAAGCACACATATTCGTTAAACAAAAGAAACATACCTGTTAAAGTCTGTTAGCAATGACTGATTGCAAGCTCAAGTTATTGCCTAGTTAATATGAAATAACGATGTCCTTATTACTCTTTAATCTAAAATATTCGGTTGGAAACATGATCAGATAGGTTACATTTTCTTATTGTGTTATTGTTTATAAACTTTGTAATGTCTTATGATTAGATGAAAAGTAAAATAAAAAAAAACAGAACTGCAAAGAAAATTCAAATCGGAAAGTCCCTTATCTAATGGCAAAATTAAAAGCTCAAACATATTAAACGAGTTGAAAACAATTGTAATATTCCTGACTTGGTACAGGCATTTCCTTATGTAGCAAGTGGTGGATTAAACCTGGTTTTATAGCTAGCTAAACCTTTCACTTGTGTGACAGTCGCATACAATTCCATTACATTAACAATGTGTGAACAAAACAAACAGACATAATAGGTAAAATGTCAAAAATAGGGATACACTAGTTAACATTATGTTATAATCCTAATCACTAGAAAACAAACAAATATGTCAAAAAAGAAAAACAAAATGGCAAATTGACAAAGCACATAAGCAAAAATGAAAGACAAGAATACAAAAAATGACCATTGCATAATAACACAACGGCGGAATGAATAAGTACTGAGCCACGTCATAAGGATATTACCTCTTACATCAAATTCGAGGTATAAGTCTAAAAATTAGACGAAGGAAGCCGTATCTGTCGTTTTTTTAATATCTTGTTCTGGAGGCTATATTAATGGAACCCAATCAGAAAAGTTTGGATTGTTAATGGAAAGAACATCATCAATACACAGTTTATCTGAATGTGAAATTAAATGATCTGGCTTCTTTGATCTTCTTGTGTTTTGACAAGTGCCTGAAGGAACTCCGACTCATATGAAAATAGGCACTGGCTACGGTTACATTGAAATGTAACAATAATAAAAATGTTATTGTTACATTGGAGACTAATTGCCGGAATGCAGGATCGGTTATGTAATCGATTAATTACCAATTTAACAATAATATTTGTTTCTACGGTTACTTTGTGTTATTGTAACGTTAATGCACTTCAATGGATGCTGGGACTAGTAATATGTATTAAAGTAAAACTTCAAAACTTTTCTTTGAATTTTACAATATTGCGTACAATTTTTAAAATTTGTATTTACAAACTAAAGCAGTTTCTACAAATTCAGTATGTTATTTTGGGAGCATGATTCAGTCCGACGCTTTTTTGGTGAAACCACTCTAGGCAGCCATCACATACGAGTGATTTAGCAATGTGCACGTCGGTTTTGCAGACTGTACAATTCCACTGCAATATCCCTTTTTGAAGTTATAGAAACATTCAATGTCTGCCATGTCTTCAGGTGAAAAATATTTTTTTACTCTTGCGATGTTTATATTTTCGTCAAATATTTTTGTTGGAAACATGTGAGGTTGTTTCATGTTGTCTTTTAATATAATTTCATTGCCGTCCATTACTGATTTTATATTCACCTCCGATTTTTAGTTCATTGCTAGCAAACTTTGCTTTTGACGTATCATTTTTTCTAGAACTGCGTTAAACTTTGTATAACTGTATAAAATTTGAGTCTTGATATTATTTTAGTTTCGATTCAAACGCATCCCAAGTTTTAAATTTTTCACCAAAACAAATTTTGTAATAGGAATTACCTCATCCATTGTTCAAAGTATAATGACAGTAATAAGGGTAGGTGTGTAGTTAAATACATAGAAGTGAACACTTTTCTTCTTAACATCGAACCGTTCTACAATATTGTTCGTCTTTGGCACTGCTTAACTGTAGTAGTTTCTTGGAGAACATTAAAACAATTAATCTTTAAATTATTTAAACACTATTTGTTGAATAATAATAATAATAATAATAATAATAATAATAATAATAATGATAATAATAATAATTATTATTATTATAAGTAGTATTATTATCAAGTACATATCGAAGAATTAAGTGACAAATTAAAGTTATAGAAGATTAAAACTTTAATAAATCTAACGTAACAATAACACAACGTAACCGTAGACACGAATATTATTGTTACATTCGTAATTAATCAGTTCCTTACCCAACCTTGCATTCCGGCAATTAGTCTCCAATGTAACAATAATCTTTTTTATTATTGTTACATTTCAATGTAACCGTAGCCAGTGCCATGAAAATAAGAAGAGGTCGACAAGGAGAGGCACACAGTTCGTTCCCATAGGATTGCCGACAATTTGTTGAAAAAGTCTAGCTCCAAATTCAACAAACATGTCAATAAGAAACTCCAGCATACTGATCACTTGTTCCTTTGTGTAGCATGTTTTACTTTTTTTTATCACTATTAACAAAATATGTCATGTGGTATCCCAAAGTAATAAATTTATAACGTATGCTACCATGTTTATATTGAAAAGCATTGTTGGTTATTTTTTTTAGACGATTTTTCAATTTCACATGGGGAATGGTGGTATACAGGGTTGAACATTCAAAAGTTTTGATAGAATTAATTTCAGAGAAGGATCGAGATTTGAAATTATCCAGAAGTTCTTTAGAGTGTTTTAGAATCCACATATGGTTAATACCACTAAGCGAGTGAACAGTTTCATAGTATTTCTGAAGACCCTTTTTCACTGCGAACATAATTTTTGTCAATCTAATGGATAATTCCTTTGTAGAACATGCAATGTACCGTTGTTAGTACTGAATTGTGTGAAGCTTAGGTATACAATACACACAAGATAAGTCCTCAGATATAATATTCAATATGATGTTCATTGAAGCCATGAAGGACTTATGATTCGCCAAAATCTCATCCTTGTCAAATGATATGTTTTTGTATCTGGGGTGACCTGAGTGCTCATTTATTCCTAATTCTAATAGTACGATTTACATACAAAGACAATACTATTGGAAGCTTTGTCCACAGGAACAACAACATATTTATCGTGAAGAGACACAGCTTCTTTGTCTCTGAAAACGGACTTTGGTCGATCATTCACACAGTTTTTCAACTTATGAATTCGACATTATTAGGTCTGCCTTTCTGCCTTTGCATGGTGCATACTCACCGATAATGAATAATAGCTGCAGTTTTGTTGTTGATCAGAGCACTAACTAGCATGTGAGCCCATGAGGGTATAGTTATCCCCAGTAGGCACTCCTTTGCCACTGACAATATTTATCACCTTCATATTCTATTGAGAAACTGAGGTAACAGCTCCCTCAGCCAAGTTGACTAGTTAAATCGTTTGCTTATTCTGTTCATGTCTGTTTTGGTCATATAGCTCTCCAAGAATTTATATATCTCCGTGATTCAAATTATTGGTTTGAAGCGTTCTTGTTTAATTAAATGCAGGAAGGCGCGTCAAACGCACCATATCTATCAAATGTTATATTTGATTTCCTAGGACTTAGTGAATACTTGTATATATAGACTAATAGAACAAAACCACGACATTGCGGGTCCGTGACTGAATGAAAGTGCCTATGCCTTATTTTAGCCTGGATTTTTAGTATTTGTATTGTCATTTGATAAATGAATACAACTTACTATAAACTAAATTTAATTTTTAACTAATTAACCAAAATTAATAGTGGTATTGAGGTGGCAGAAAATAGAAACTACATGTGACATATACTATTGGTATCAGTATTGGATTCGACCCGGAACATGTTAATTATTGGTTATATTAATAAAGTGGAAAACAAAATGGCCTGGAATGGTGTAATTTTTAAACAACATCATTGTCCTATAAAAGTTATATATAAAATAGAATTCTTTGATTCGTCGT